CCTTTTCGATGATCCGGCATCAGCCTGGTCGCGTAGGTGTCGGAATAACGAACATCATTATTTTAAATTTATTTTTATTCTTTTCAATGAAAATATCTATCAGAGTTTCTAAGATGTTTTTTCCTTGTGTGCATATTAATGCCAGTAGACCTTCTAAACGTGCTGATTTTGAATATAGTGATAATTGAATTTATACTTTTGAATATATTATAAACCTAACGCCAGCGTTATATAAATATGAGTCGTATGTATTCGTTTGTAAACAGAGACTGTTAAAGTAATGTTATAACTTCTTTCAATTTTTCCAGTAAATTGTATTGATTGGTTTGATTGGATAAGACAAAGTAACAATTGAGCAATTTGCCAAGGAAGCGGTATCTCCAGGGAGGACGTTGGGCGGAAAACTGTCGTCTATTTAGATGTTAGACACGTGAAGAAAGCCGGGAAACTCCAGTGACCAGCTCGTTGGCGGGGAACGAACCCACGAACGCTGTTCAGTAGTGTTACTACTCGGCCACCGGTGAGCAAATTGTATTGATACAATTGCACTTTATGAATATTTTCAACATAGTGTAAGAATGCAGGTGATACTACTACTATTGTTTGACTGTCAGGAATGTTGTCGTATTTCAGACGTTCGCCACAAAGTGCCGTCTTATTGGTAAGTCCATTTTGTATCGTCGTTTACCATTTGCTATCGCCTCGTTCGACCGTGTTTTTAAAAAATTCTTACAAAACCATATCTTTTATATAATGTGTGCATAATTGAAAAGGTAAGTATTATCCAAAGAAAGAAATAGTATATACATTTAAGACAACAAAAGATTTGGAATTGTTTAAAAAAGATGTTTGTGAAAAGCATTTTTCTCTGCATCAAATTCTTCGTTGGTGAAGAATATATAAAGATGGAAAGGAAATCGTCAACGTTCCTTATACAACTCCTTGTTTCCGAATTGTCCATTATATGTTTCTAAACCGAGCAAAATACTTCGAAAAAGTCTTTTAATTACCTTTATTATAGTTTATAAAAATTATCCAACCCATAACCTAAAACATACTTCTAATTGCTGCATTTTTTCTACAGCAGTGTATAAAAATTATAACCAAATATTTTTTATTACAGCGGCTTTTGGGGATAATTAGAAGAACAGGATGTCAAAATAAACATCCTGCTCTTCCAAAATTTTTGCAACTATAAGTTGATATATATATATATGTTACTGTGAAAGACCGAAATTAGAGAATGTCGATATTCTCCGGTGAATGTCGACACATACAAAATATGTCGGTGAAAGACCGAATATTTTGTTATATTATTATACATTCGAACAATCGCCGGTGTATGTCGACAAGCACAGATAAGCTTTGGTGGAGGTCGAAACGACACCCGAGAAGCCGATGTCGACGGAGAGGCGACAGTCTGTCGCCAAATTCTTCGCCGTTTCCTTCTGCTGAAAGTGGCGATACCGTACGAATACAAGTCCCTGATGTTGACCGTAGCTGTACAGATGCCCGAAATGTGTTGGCAGTTGTTGTTAGAATAGAAGACTCCGACTTTTATAAATTAGCAAACAAAAATGATACCCTCAAGCAGCTTTATACCCGTAATCAGTTCGTAATTTGTAAAGAAAATTTTCCATAGGTAAGATTTCTTCTCAAGAAATATCGCTGAGAGAAGCAGCTGCATCTAACTCGAAAAGTGGAGGGCAAGGCTATATACGCTGTCATTACAAAAAAAAGTGTTCCACGAATAAATGCAGTTGTAAAAGCAAAGGACTCTTGTACAATTCAAAATGCCATAACAGTTTAAGTTGTTGCAATAAATAAGATTGTATAATGTTAATCACATAATTTATGTGTAAATTTATTATTGTATTATTTTCTTTAATGATATAGAATGTACTGTTCGTTTTAAGTTCAACAGTTTATTTACATGTACAGTACTATTACTTAATCTTTCTCCTATTTTGACATATTAAAAAGTTGCATTTTTGTCTTAACGTAATAAAAATATTTTTATTCAACGTTCACCATCAGCGCATTCTGAATGTCGACATTTGCCGGTTTAAGTGAGAAATAACGATATTTAGCAAATATTTCGGACATACACGAAACGACTGTGTGAATGTTGACATTCGCCAGATTTCGGTCATTCATAGTAACATATATATATATATAGGCCTATATATTGTCGTCATTACATTCTCTATTAAAACCATCAAGATCTGGTATTTGCCAAATTCCGTTTGATGAGAAACCGAGAATTCATTATGAAGAAAAAACATTCGTAAAGAAATCCAAAGAGGATCTTACCCACTTGAAAACATTACAAGAGAAGTTGGATGGACATATTGAAAAAGATATTTAGGAGTGTGATGAGATAATTGATCACGAATACGCAACTGCAGATGTATTAGAATGCATAATAAATTATGTCTCTGGCTTTGTTGCAAAAATTTTTTAATTTTACAGGTTGTGAAGTTTGTATTAAGGCATTGACCAAAGATGAACGTTATCAATATGTTGCACAGTTGACCTCATAACAAAAAGCAAATTCACATACCCAAATACTTTTATTTTTTGACTAATTAATCAAATTATCAGCCAGCATGCTTAGTGATGACATTCTGAATAACAGTGCAGAAGCAATGTCATATAAAAGAAATCACGTTTCCATGTAAAGCATATAAAATGAAATGTAAAACATTATGTACTATACTTCTAAGGTTAATTAAAATAATTTGGTAGACACATCACATATAACTTGCAAGGCATTTCAAAAGAGAAACGAAAATATTCCAAATTTCTTTCTGAATAAAGCTGTTTATTAATATTATGTACAAGTAGATACTGTATATTATTGAGTTTATAATGTTTGAATGATCTGCAATTGAGAATTATGTCGCAGAAAAAATTACTGTATATGCCAAATTCAAAACTGCTCTCAAGGGCGTACAGAATAAAACCGTTCGTAAAGGACACTTCTAAATAACGGACACCTTTAATTAACAAGCATTTTAACATTTTACAATGCCGAGAAACATTAATAAATTTCATATTAAAAAATTCATTACAGATCTGCAAAAAAAATCGGGTTTTTTTAATATTGTTTATGGGTGTTACTGTGTGTAATGGGCACGATTTTGTTCATCCTTTTTGAAGCTTAATAACTCCCGTGCTTTTTATCGAACATTTCTGAAATTTTGCAGGGAGGTTTGTGTATTATGGGGAAAGATGCTGTTAAATTTTGATGATTAAAGGTCGAGGGGTGGGAAAATAAAGGGGATCGTGATTCGTATCTCGAGTATGGTCGGACGTAATGACGACTTTACTCGTTATTGGCATTCATAATATTTTTATAAAACCCATTCCTATTTTCAAAATTAAGCTTTTTGTCATTTTATAATAGATAAAAAATATAACAATTTTTAAAATAAAATATCATAACAGATAGCGCCACCAAATGTTGCCGGGAAAGTAAAACAACTCGTTTCTGTATTTTTTTTATTGTCATTCTATTCGTTCCATGGGTCCTTGTCACTTGCAAACACCTCCACTTGTCAACTCCTAAGAATATCCTGTATATTGTATATATAAAATATAGTTAATAAATCAAAAAATATTTTACTAAATTGTCATCGTTAGGAAACGAGTATCAGTGAATTAATAATTTATAATAAACTAGCAGACCCCGCCACGCGTTGTTGTGGCTCAAAATGTATCTATTATAAATTTAGAACACTTTCCCCGTGGGGGGGAATATCGAAAAATTTCTTCTCAGTGTACATTCTGTTGACGTACCCTATTAAAACGCAATCAAAAACGCAAAAACCCGCATCTAAAATAGTATAAATAGAAGCAGAGTTCTTTACCGTAAGCCTTAATCCTAACCATCTCCTCAGTGGGGTTGAGTTTCGACATGTATATTATATAAAAACACGTGCGCATTCGAACGCAGCGTTGTGTCAAAATTTCAAAGGAATCGGTAGGAACAAACGAACATTACATTTTTATTTATATAGATAGATAGAAGATGATCTGCTTTAATTCATTTTCACAGAAAAGCATAATGACTCACAGAAGAGAAAACTTAGGGCGTCGTACTCGTAGCGCCATCTGTTGGACATAAAAGCCTTAACCATAGATGATATCATTTAATTTATATGAATGTTTAACGGAATAATATACAGCCTATGTCCACCCCGAAGTTCCATTCTAAATATTGGTGAAAGAATTTTTGAAATCGGATGAGTAGTTTCGGATATTACCAGCTACATCCAAACTTACTACTTACATACTTACAAACATTACCTCTTTATAATATTAGTATAGATATTTATAAAATAAATCATTTTTCAAAAATAAAATCTGACCAAACTTTGTTTATTTTATTTATTTTAGGCTATCTCCCACTAAGATTCGATGTTCTGAATCATACTGAATTACAGTACAAAATTATTGTTTAGAATTACTAAATTTTAAACCGTTATTGATATTATATACAAGCAAACTATTCACTTTTTAATGTTAAATACTTCATTGTATACATTTTTTGAATTTTTTAAAATGTATATATATAGGGCCAACATTAAATAAATAAGTGCAAGATAATTCAACAGTGGTGGATAAACCTTTATGAAGGCTCAATTATTCAATTTACAGTAAAAAATTTGAAATAAAGATTTTTCTCCCTAACTCGGTTATCTTTGAAAATCGGATATTTTTTTACAGTAAATTAAATAATTGATCACCTTGTAGTTTCATCCATCAGTTTTGAATCATTCTGTACTTAGTAAACATTTCTTTACGACAGCTCGTCTAATGCCGATTTTCTAGAATTAATATCGTGTTTTTCACGTCCAGCAGTAACTCAGTTGCTTAAAACCTTATTCTTGGGATTTAACTACATTAAACTAAGAAACTAGAGTTACTACTAACCTACATCACAGATGTAACTCCAGCGATGTAATTAATACGGAAAGTAATTTTAGGAAGTAAAATTTAATGTAAAATTTTATTAAAGAATCGTTTACATCAAATTTAGGAAAACTTTCAAGTGTTAAAAAAGAGAATGGTATGAAAAATTGGCGGGAACAGACACCAATTTATGGAATAGTGTGACGTATTGACGGATTTAAGTGTAATTTCCGTCGTTGAACACGTTACCAACGCGAATGGCAGTCTTCTTGCTTATTTTATACACGATATTATCGTTTATAGAAGTTGAAAAACATGGATAATAAGGGAACCTGATGAAATCTAAACACGAAAATCGAAATTTTACGCGTCCTTTTTCCATGTTTGCGTATTACGCGAATTATTTCCTACACGAAGTATAGCTAAAAAAAATGAGATCACCGAGCGGAATCTCTATCCTACTTCCAGAAAGGACTCCAGAAGAGACAGAAATGCCACAAACACCTTTATTCTACTCTCGGAGGGGAGGGAAGACGTTATATCTGTCACTCCTTCCGAAAGACGGACAAAGGTAAAGTGTTGTAATCAGTCCGAAACGTCGTTATCGGGAGGTACCACCCACAAGAAGAGCTGCAGCAGTCGTGTAGACCAATCTAAATAAAAAATTTCCTGTTAATAAAAATGGCGTAGAGATAAAAGGAAAAGAAAAATTACCTACCGGAAGCTCGTCGAAGCTTCGGAATTGTGAGATTTTTTCGAAGTAACAACAGGTAAACCGGAATTCCGGTGAGGGTAAGGGCTAGACCTACGCTCGAGTGTATAGGACTGGCGTAGAAGGCCACTGCCGTCAATGGTATTATGCCCAATAAGAAACTAATGGGAAAGAAGAGGGAAACTCGAAGAGGGTAATTTCTTATCGTTTCTTTCCTGCGGATGAGAAACAATCCCGCTACTGCTACTCCCGCCCAGGCCCACTGGACGAAGCCGAAATAGTTGATAAGAACGAAAACGTCGCTGGAACTCAGCATGACCAATGACAGAGCGCACTGAAAAATTAATATTCATATTGAAAATGTTAGAGATTTGAGCCTCCTAACCAGGCCCGTGCGTATAATTTCGAAAAATTTGGGGATTTTAAAAATCGTATTATAATTGGGTTGCAATTTGAAAATATCGCAGATCTATAAATTCTCACTGGCTGTCTGTCCTTTCTTAATCTCGAGAATGGAGTTGAATAAATAAAATAAAGGATGGAAAGATTATGTGTAGGAGGCCCAAATTAACTATATATAAACTTTCGGTCTAGACCGGAAGTCACATGATTTCAATTAAAAACTTTTCCCATGAAAGCAGTCAGACACATGACCGGCACGACTCTTCTAATAGGAAAAGTATGATGTACAGGGGCGAGACACTACTAATTATTTTATAATTCTTCCGAAAGGGGAACTAAACTCCGAAGATTTTTCGTGTGAATCGCCTCGTTAGAAACCGATATCGATGTACCAGGTCCATTTTCAATGGACGACTCCATTTTGTTGCGACCGGAAAACCCTCTTTTTCAAGATTTTATGAAATAATAATACACTCATCTATTCGTTAACAAGTTCAATACATGCCTAGGGGTATAGATTATATATATATATATATAGACTACAACACAAGTAAAAGCGAATAGCGATCTTCCCCAGTTACGAGCATTAAATGGGAGCACTTAAGTGATTTCATTTTCTTCGAGTTCTTGAAAATTATCTGCACATAAATCCGCTTTGGTTAAGATTATGAGAAAAGACGGTCACGTGGCTGATCATAAGTCATTTCTTTCATTACGTGCCCTTTATAACGTTGAAATATATCTCACTTGTTGTACTTCTACCTCTGTTCTTTAAAAAATATATATATTGATTAAAATTAAGAAAAAATTTACGAGAAAATTCAAAATTGTCCTCATTTCTATCTTTTAACCTTTAAATGGATTGCTTAAAAGTGGTGTGGGCTGTTACCTAGCCAACGAAATGTGTCAAGATAATCTTCGATTAACAATGATGCCATGACAACGGCACACACAAGATGGAAGGGAGGAAGATGGGAATGTCTCATACCACACAAATTAGAAATTGATAGGACAGTTAGCTAAGTTTTTTTTTCAACCGAATAAAGATGGAAAAAAAGCCAAGTGTTTAATTAATAACACAATCTTGTGTTGAACAGTCAACACTTAGTTAAGGTTAACTCGTAAACACTCAGCAAGCTGACACAATTTGCAATAAGAAAATTGTCTAAAATTAATACTGTATTTAGTCTCGTTAACTAGCATTTTTGTTGTAATACTTACCGTGAAGAGCAGAGAAGGAATGGGGGTTCTATGCTGGAGATGGATCATGCCAACCACGGTCGGAAGATGACCTTTTCTGGCTCCTACGCAAAATAACCTGCGATAGAAGATAATTATTAGAAGGTGATAAAAATTAAGAAAAAAATGAGTCTTACCTGGAAGACGTGAAGAGCAACCCATTAACGGAGCCTAAAGTGGAGACTGCTACAAGAAGAGGCATGGTCCAAGCCAGAGAACCAAATAATTTGTTGGAAAACGTCTGAAATAAAAGAGATGATCTTGAATAAAGAGGAAACGTAATGAAGAATTTTGAGGGAATCACTCAAAATTCCTCATCGCGTTTCGTCATCTGTTTTCTGCATAGTAAGCGAGTTAGAAGAAAAATATTTTCAGTCTATCGCGAAATCTATCGAGAAGAAAGGTCTAACGATGGTTCAAAATATACAATTTTATCGTAAATTTCAGATTTAAAGTATAAAATTAACTATATAATGTTTTAATATAAAAAATTATGGCTTATATATTAGCTTATACCAGGGTTCGCCAAAGTGGATATAACATTATTGGTGGGGGGGTCGATGAAAAGACTAAAACTTACAAATTTTGAACCAAATATTGCTAATCTTGCTAAGGATTATCCTGATTTCTGGGATTATCCTGATAAGGATTATCCGTATTTCCTGAAATTGTCACATGAAGAAAAAGTATTTTTTTTCTCTTTTATTCGTGGAGAGAAATGTTTACCAAAAACTTTGCTCAATCAAAAAAGAAATGAAAAGAAAAAAAAATCAATATCAAATTTGAATTTTGAAACTTGTTCACGTTTGCTTTGCTGATGATCTTATTAAAATCGTGATATACAAGGAGAATTTCTAAATCTTTAATAAAAGAAACTTAAATTAATAATTAAAAATTTCAATAAAGAATATTCTAAAAGTAAACAAGTATTCTTTTAGTCTAGAATGGTATATATTTTTAAATAAACAATAAAACTTTTGTAACTTTAAAGTGATTATTTATCGCATGTTTTCTACAGAACGGATCTGCATAAATTTATGAATAATCTAAAATTTTAAGTCTTGAAAATAGATTANTCAATCAAAAAAGAAATGAAAAGAAAAAAAAATCAATATCAAATTTGAATTTTGAAACTTGTTCACGTTTGCTTTGCTGATGATCTTATTAAAATCGTGATATACAAGGAGAATTTCTAAATCTTTAATAAAAGAAACTTAAATTAATAATTAAAAATTTATGAATAAATAAATAAAATAATTTATCATATCAAATTTCAAAACTGATAAATCTTTGAAAGATACTTCTTTCGATTCAATATTATTATTTTTTTAAAAATTAGCTATATTGATTGAGATATATATTATAATAGTAAGAGCTTTATTTTACTTCTAACACAAACTTTTTGGTGGGGGTTGATGTAAGGTTTCGAAAAGTTGTAGGGGTCGACGATCAAAAAAGTTTGGCGACCCCTGGCTTAAACCGTTGTAAGCATAAAAATTGCTTGAGAAAACGAATCATAAAGGAACACAAAATGGAAATACAGGTCTTAACTGTGTATGTTCTCTCAAGCAATTTTATGCTTACTTATAACAATTACAGCGAGAACAAAAGACAATCCTGTACAAATAGCTTAAACCTGTACCATACAATATTACATTTGTAACGCAATATTGTGTCAAAGAAATGGAAATACTGCTAAATTCTCGAAAGAGACTTATATAATTTTAAAGCTATATAAGTCACATAGTCACATTATAATACTCCAAACAGAAATTAAGAGATTCATTTAAAGAAAGTGATATTCTACAGAAGTGAGAACTTACCAGAGCAACAGCAGGAGAGGAAAGCATTTCAGTAGGAGAGAGCACAGCAAAATAGGCCAAATTGGCCAACAGATAGACGGCGGTGACCATACCCAGTCCTATACAGATTGCTCTTGGTAGATTTCTAAGAAGAGAAAGCACCATTTTTAAAACTCATTCATCTAATGCCACCCCTCACACTCACCTTTCCGGGTTCTTCAGCTCCTCGGTGACGAAATTCAGATAGTTCCTATAGAAAAGAAAACAATGAGTGGAGAAGGAGGGGAAGACCCCCACCCGTACTTACCATCCTCCGAAGGCGAACAGTCCCGAATAGAAGGCAAGAGCTAATTTTTCGGCTCTGAATTCTGTGCCAGAAGATTCCACAAAATATTTAGTCTCTCCTGAAAATAGAAAGTCATTATGAAGTGTTTGCATCAGGTGAGGAAAATAGGAAAAGATATTACAGGAAAGAGCCGACTTTACATGGTGATAATACTAAATCCTTTGTACTTTGTATGACGTTTACAATAGGCTATTGTAATCCGGCTATCTTTTCGAAACGAAGACAAAATATTTTATAATCCTTAAGAAATTTAACAAAGAAGAATCTTTATTGAAAATCTCTTTTAAGATAGAATTAGTAGTTTATAACAGAACACCCTATTTGATACATACATTGGTAAGTAACGTAACGTGTCCGAAACAACAGGCAGTTACTCTGTATCAATATCCATTCAGCCTCTTCTGTAAACAACTGAACACTGGTCGTGGATTCGCACCTGGCCAGCGGGCTGGCTACGTGGCGTTTCCCGGGTTCTGGAGTAACACCTATCTAGGGCCAGTTTTCCCAAAAATAAACTTCTCAGGAGGTACCCCTTCTCGGCAGATCCGTATGCGAATAACCAAACCACAACGAAAGAAGGACATGTCCTCCTTCTTAAAAGATGTCTCATAGTAACCTAACTCTAAAAATATAATAAGAAACACTTTGGTAATAAAAAATTTGATTTATTTAAATTATTTCTATACTTTAAGCTTGTTCAAACACATCCATAATGTCCTCCTTTACAGGCAATTTGTCCTCTTGTATTATTCACCTTGTGGTCATACGTAATTTGAGATAGATTGTGTTTTCACGTGCCATCTGTTCTTATTGTTTGTGAGTGTATTCCGCAATTTAAGGCTTCCGGAAATGTTTATGTTTACGTGTTAAAAACTTTAAGTAAACATTCAATGTTTACTTAATTTAGTTCTTAATATTATATTGTAAACTAGTGTTTGTAAAGTTTGGAATCATAGTGGTGCCGGATTACAGAACGTTTTGTACAGTACTTTCATTTCGATAAGTTATATGCCATCCGAACGTTGCTGTAAAATTTATACCTGCGCAGAATGCTGTACGTTTTCTACTTGTTTACTCACGCTCACACTTACATATGAAGATAATTTAGTACATGACTTCTGCCCATAAATATTGTTGCAGGCATTTCAATACCTGAAACAATATTAATGGGCAACATATTGCACAGAATCAACCTTTACAATGATTCGTGTTTTTATGTGATGTTTCGATGTATTTCCGCTAAGATGTTTAGCTCACCTCGTGTCCAAACAAATTCTAATTCGCATACCGGATTATCGACTACTTTCTAGAGGGTCTTTCTTGTTTGGTTATAAAGGAAGCAACCATCTGTAGTGGTTCTACACATTTTTGAGCTAATGAAAATTTTTGGGGCTTACTCACAAGCCTGTGTAGCTTGATAAGATGCACTAAACGAAATGCTGATCTGCAAGAAACAACCGCAAATTTGAAGATCTGCAGTTGTTTCTTGTGTGAAATTACATGAATAATATTTTAAAAAATAGACAAAAATTAGCATTTTTGAATTCGTGGCTCACCAATATGCTGCGATACATCGGCTGAGGACCATTGATTTATGGCTGTCGTCTTGTGTAATGAAAATAAATCAACTCTTAGTATAATTAGAGCACGTGAAGTATGACGTGGAAGGGATTTTATACGCAATATCCAGTATTTCCGGTTAATGAATGAGCTGCCAGTAAAGTAGTTGAATGTCTGTATACTTTCTTTATATTTCCTGAGTGAGCTTTGAACTCTATACGTATTATAACGCGACTTTCTATTCGAATTTTTGTTAAAACACTGCTAAACTCATCCCTTACTTATGTTAAATGTTATATAAGTTGACGCTTTATGGTACATTAGTTTATACACTAGCCCAAGATGCGTAAAGGCACACTGTAATATATGGTTATAGTAGTGTATTATCAATGTACGTAGAGATGCGAAGTCCCATAGCTATCTGAAGTATTATAATTTTAAAATTTGAAACTTTCTTCTTACTCCAGCAGTTCCATCAGAAAACATCACTTCATAACAGAAACCGATAATAATTATGGTAAAGTGTCCATGAAAATATCGCGTATGTACCAAGGGAAATTGTAAGACATTAAATACCTATGTACTCATTGGATTCAACAAACTGCAGCGATTCTAATTGGTCATGTGCTAAGAATGGACCAATATAAAGCATTGCACAGGTTCTATCCAGAAAAAAGATCACGAGTTCGTTCAAGGAAACGGTAAGAAGACCAGGTAAAGGAAAAACTCAGAATTGTGAAGATTCCTAGTGCATGACAGATAATAATGGCAACAAGCTGTGTCTTCAGCAAAGAGCCTCTAGTATTCGCAAAGTCAAAAAAGAGTTGAGTTGGATTAATTGGATAAAGCAACGCGACACATATGCGATCTGTCAACGGGAGAGTTTCTATGGGAACCTGTCTTTATTTAGGTGTTAGATCGGTGAAATAAACACGAAAAGATCTCTCGGCCAGCCAGATGGTCAGCGACCAGTGACCAACTGCCAGTGTTCATTGGCTTTATTCATTGAACCACTAGTGGACAAGGTCAGAGAAGATAGTATCAAAGTGGATAACCTTGCAATTACAAGTGGAATTGGGAGCAAATTAACCAATAAATACCATTATTATTCCTTCGACATTGTACAAAATGGGAAGTAATTTACATTATAACTGACACTTTACAGAACCACAAGAAAGGCGTTTCACAAATAATCCATATATATTTTTAACAATATTTCAAGAACTTGTTAGTATTCGCATTATTAGAAACTAATGTATGAAACAATCTTAAAAATATACCGAACTAACTTTTAAGCCACCCTTATGTAAGTTTAACTCCAGACTTTTTATATTTGTGTTTATCAATGTCACAATGACATCGTTTGAAATGTTACATAGTATTTTGTTTCTTTATGCATGTCCTCCTTTCTAAGAAAGGGTCTATACGTTTTAAACAAAAAATAAGTTTTGTGAGTTGATATTCACACCTTGTATACCTTGATATTCATACCTTGTATTTCTGTTGTCTAGAAGGATGTCAGATATCCTTCTAGACAACAGAAGGAAGATGAAAATCACTTTCTTTGTATTGATTCTTACCTTGACAGAGACGAACTACACCAGCCAGAATTAAGATCAAAAGGGCCAGCAACTTGACACCTGTAGATAGGTCTTGCACTCCCAAAGACCAACGAACGCTACGGCAGTTAACGTAGGTCAGTGAACCTGCCGAAAAAAAAGAAAAAATTCAGTTCAAAGGTCACTTCGAAAGACGTGGAGTGACTGCCAAACTGAGAGGCGACACGTCACTTTTTTCTACGAGGAGGAGGAGAAGGAGAAGGAGGAGGAGAATTTCACCCACCCCACCGTTCAAGTCAGAACCAGTTTGAGCGGCTTTAAAAAGTGGTCCAACTTCTCCGTTTTTGTCAAAAGTGGGCGAAAAGAGGGTAAATTATTCCCCGAAGCTAGAAATCGGATCGTTCGGCCATCCGATCTACATCAGGGATCGACTTTCGTCGCTCGGGACACGAATAAGTCAAAGGTCATCTAAGAAGTGTCACCTTTCTATGATCAAAAGAAACCTTTTGAGACCAGATATCAGATAATCGATCTCGTGCTACACTCGGCACCTCTAACAAGGTATAAAAACTTTCCCTACATCCTCTCACAAGATTTTATAACACCAAAAGAAATTTATTTGCAATTCCCTTCATTTTTTATAAGAATATACAACTTTATATCTTTTTTTGTCTGTACTCTATGTCAGTCATCAAGATTTCTTATATAAAAAAATTATACGAATTTTTTTATGGTTTTGACAAGAAATCTTGCAGAAATTCAAGAGGAATAGAATTATTTTATATACTTCTCGGAATCTTATTTTATCAATTTTCAATTACAGTAAAACCTGTTCAAAACGGAAACCTGTCTAAACAAAAGAAATTCTTTGAAACGGAGCGGTTTTTTATATTTAAAGGAACCTGTTCAAAACAGAAACCTTTCAAAGTGGGAAAAAATTCGGTTCCGTGCCATTCCGGTTTACACAGGTTTTATTGTATAACTTACCCGAAGCCATCGCAATCACACAGGTGATGAATAAATCAGTCGCACCTCGTTATAACTACAAAAGACGTGGGATGATTCGCAAGTAGTCAATGTGGAGGGGTAGACACTTCACATTGTTCTTTTGTGTTTGCTTTCTTTTCACACAAATTTAACGATCTCTTGTTATCTGCTATTAAACGGAAGTTAGGAACGTGCCTGACGAGAGAAGGATAGAAATTTCTCACCCTTCACTCTACTAATTGTCACATAACTACGGGAAATGATCCGTTCGTTAGTCGCCCTCTCGTTAAAACTATCAGCATCCCGCTATCCCCATTTTCCTCTTCTTACGTCAAACTGTACACCGCGATCGACGCACGTTTTTGTCACATTTTCGATAAATTTTTCTCCTGTTGACTAGTTCATACTTCGATCTCTTGCTATTGTTCTTATTAATTTAACTTTGCTTCCGTTTGTTCTTTATAAGTACTGTACATGAAGCATTGTAAATATTTGATAAAAATCAATCTGCATACAACCGGAAATTCTGTATTTTTGCTATATAGGGAATAAAATATATATATTTAAAAAGAGATATCGTAAAGATTCTTCTTTTCGACAGAATCTTCATAAACAATAGATGCATCCAAATGACAATAAGCCAAATAAATAAGCCAGTTACGAATGCACACATCCAGTTGACAAGCAGTTCAATAAGTAAGCCTGTTATGAGCATATCCAGATGACAAGCAGCTAAATAAGTAAGCCTCTTACGAATGCACACATCCAGGTGGCAAGCAGCCTGTTACGGGAGGCTGTTACGGGAGCTTGCAGGCGATAAGCAATAAGTAATGACAGTTGTTTATCATAAAACTATTCATGTCATTAGTTCGCTTATTTAGTCTCATAAACGTATTCAAAATTTCCTAAATTCAAATTAAGCGAACTGATGATCTTGCTTAAAACGTAAGTTTGGAATTAAAAAATCATAATACGTCACTCACTAAGTTACATAAGAAGCAATACTATTAATTACGTAAAACATAAATTCATACACTAATTAACCAATTTAACTTTCTATTTAAACTGCCTTCTATATTAAATTGCACGTTACTTTGTTATAAAATAAATTATTAAATATTTTACTGTAATTGTATACGTAGTGAAATTTCCGTTCTCGTCTTCGCGTCCTATTTTAAATTCTCGTGTTTAATAATAAATAAAAGTACAATATAATTTTAATTTAAGTTAAATAAATCTCCGAGGGATATTATACATAAATTTTTAATAAAATAAATCATTAAATTCGCGTGTGTCCCACAGAAGTCGTAACAACGAGGGGACTTAAAATGTGGGACATTGCATGATAGAAAGGCTTTAACACAGCCGGATAAACGAGTCAATTGCCTGTTTCAAATGAAACAGGCAATTGACTTTGTCATTTGGCTCGCTCATTCAGCTGTGTTAATGCCGCTTTAACAGGCAACTTGCCCATTGTATTATTGTCTTCTATGCTTACACATGAAATAATCTTTAAATTAGGCCCACTTTTAAACGAATATATTCAAAATTTATTTGCTGACTAATCAAAGTTTAAGAGAATGATTTAAAAAAATGTCCAATCATTTGTAAAGTTTAGCAACTTATGTACAGTATTATCCAGTACACTTGAAAAGCGATTTTACTTTCCCGGCTGTTATATACGTAGTATAACATAGGGAAAATATGGCATGGCTCCGCAAAATTTTTAGGCTCGAGGAACTTCCAAAGTCGAGAAACGCAAACAAAATTTCGGGTTTTTTTTCTGTATTTAGGGATGTTAGTGTTTGTGGGGGAGGCACTATTTCGTTCACCCTGTTTGAAGCTTAATAACTCCTGTGTCTTTCGTCGAAATTTTCTGAAATTTGGCAAGGAGGTTCGTATATGAAGGAAATTGAGGCTATTAAATTTTGTTGGTTAAAGATAAAGGATGTGGGGAGATAAGGTGTCACGTGTCTCGAGTGAAGTGACGATTTTACTCGTTATTAGCATTTACATTTTTATATATACATATTTTTTTTAGAAAGTCATCTCTACCCTGAAAATATAACATTCTGCCATTTTATAATATTTAATAATGTAAAAACTTTTTAATAGAATCTGATAACAGATAGCGCAACACGCAATTTTAAATTCTTTTGCTGGGAAAGTTACGCAATTCGTTGCTTGATTTTTAAAGAAATTCGAAGAAAAAAATAAAAAGAAAATGACCGAAAAGGTAAGATTTAATTTGTATAATTGTCAGAGTTTCCTTTATGAAAAAAATGCTGTTTTCAAGGGCACTCACAGGTGGAACAACTTCCACTAATGTAAATGATTTCATTTCTTTTATTTTTCTATGCTGATTTTGAGTAACTGTTACGTAAGGTAAAGGCATTAAGATAAAAACAATGATGACGAGATGGCCCCTCTACTTCACCTTTAAGCCTTACACAACGGCTTATTTTGGAGATTGCTTCATTTATTCGTATTTATATCCCTCTCCTATGAAGATAGGAAAAAAATTTAATATATTTTGAAGTAGATGTTTTTTTTCTGTCTAACTTATATTTCCCCTTGAAGCACTATCTTGCGGGTGTCCTTGATTGCTACAAACCATAAAATGTATTGAAATTTAGGTGTTATAAACCCTATCAATTTAATGTGTAGCTACTAGATATACAGCATTCCTCTCTCACCACTAATTAATATGTTAATTAATGTTTAATTGACATGTTTAATAGGAACCGCTACTGGTACCGGATTTATATCTCTTTCAAGTTAAATATTGTCACCAAATCGTAGAAAATATGTTGATTTTAACATCTGTCAGTCATTTTATTATTATTATTATTATTGACAGTTCTAAACACATGAAAAGCCATCATTAAACAAAGCTGACATTGGAGAATGGATGGATAAAATATCAAAGTAGAGTAAATAATCCAAGAAAGTGAAATATCTACCCTTTATCTTATTCATATATATTCTATACAGCTCTTATCAAAGACAAATATAGAGAAAGATATCGGCTATAATGACAATAGGTTGATAGAATGGCTGCTGATAGATGCATACCATCCATCATCCACATCCTCCTCACCTCTTTAGGACTATTGTTTACCAAACTTATCATAAATAATGTATTTTGTATTTAAATTGTGTTAGCGGAAAATATAGAAAGATTGATAATTATAAACAATAAAATATTACTTTAACATCTGGTTCTTTTANCTTTCGAAGTTTCTAAGTGTAAAACTTTTTCCCTTTCACAAAATCATTAGCACCCAACCGTTTTATGACTTTCCCTGAGGTTAGAAATGGGGGGTTGTTCTATAAATAAGTCTATTTCTAACTAACACTTTCTGGTTTAGATATCGAATATTTTAAGTTTAATACAGCGAGCCAAAATATATAAAATAAAGATATATACAAATTTGCAAAAACAATAATGGTGTACTACCACAGTTCACTCTTGTGTTACAATGGAACAGAGACAACAGAATATAGTGAAAAGCGACAACACTACACTAGTTCACACTACAATCAGTGTTGCTGAATCGTTGTCTCGCTGCACCAGAAGTGACACAAAGCGCAACTCACGAAATTTATGACATAAAGCGTGCCATTTTCAAACTCTCACAAATTATTTTCAATATTTTGCATTAAAATCTCGCGACCCAAGATTTCGCTAAGCGACCGCAAATTAAGAAGCCCTGATTTAGTTTAATTGATCTATAAAAAATTATTATATACAAAAACATAAGTCAAATGCTTGTATATGTACGAATAAGTGGAAATAATGCGAACCCTTCATTGTTGAAACTCGAGGTATGTAAAATGGAACAAGATAATGCTAAATTCTAATTTTCTGTATAAATAATAAAGGTTATTTTATCAAAATACAATTAAGAAACGTTCTAAGGAACCACCAGAAGGCAATAAAATATCTAATTAGACCCTATAAATTAATTAAACTTAAAGAAATAATAAGAAATCGCTTCTGGTGTTCTACTATAAATACAGAATACAGTTGACTCCCGATATAGGGAACTCTCAAAGAGTTGAATATACACAAAATCGTTCGTTATATCGGGTCAAAGAGTCACATTACACACACGCCGGATTGCTTAAACAATATCAAATTTCTGCTATTGTTATATCTAATTACAGATATTCTTTGTTTTAATATATTTATACGTTTATATATATATATATATATATACGTAGAGCAGAAGTAAATAAATGTGAACTGAATGATAACAGAAACATCTGTAAAACATAAAATACATAATACAGAAAAATTTCCCACGTACACGTACACGGTTGTACAATTTTCTCGGAAAACAGCTGTTAAAGATAGAAGAGAAAAAAAAGAACAATCGATTTAAAACACGTCAGAGACGGCAACACTTGAAATACACTGTCTCGTGTCGGCGAGAGAGAAACGGGTGTCTATTTATCACGTGTTTACCTTCAGGTATATGAATGTCGACACAATTAAGAATTTTCGCCTGTTTACTATGATTTATATCACTCGTACCGGAAGGTGAGTGAAAGAAGCACGCGACGGATGTATATAAATACCGGGACGGGTGTTTATCAAATGGAAAAGACGAGGGGAAGAGAAACGGAAACGGAATTTCCTCCCGGTGTTGAACGCGAGAGGTTTTAAAATAAAGAAAACGGTTACTTACAGAGGCATACAGCAGCCAACAGTCGGACAGCCTGGTCAGGGGGGTGACAGTCTGGGTCGAGGGCCCTGAGGGCGTAAGTGGCGAAGGTGAGAGCGACGACCGCCTGAGCGGTGGGCCTGACGATCAGCAAAGCTGCCCACAATCTGAGGAAAGCGGGAAGGGGGCCGAACGCTTCCAAAACGTAAGCGTAGTCGCCCCCCGAATCGGGGACAGCTGTGCCCAATTCAGCATAACACACGGCGCCTAGTGCAGAGAAGGCCCCGCACAGGGCCCAGACCGCCAGGGAGGCCCCCGGCGATCCCGCGTACTCTAAAACACCGGCTGGGGTCAGAAAGATGCCCGAACCCACCACCGTGCCCACTATAATGGCCACGCCGTTGATCAGGGTGATCCTCTTCTCCACTCTCACCCCCGAATCTCTCGCGCTCGCGCTCTCCGCCGCTGACGCTTCCATTCTGACCCGACCGGGATCGACGTCCTCCCTCTCGCGCGAACGCCACTCCACCGGAAATCGTCCGGTGACGTCATCAGCGTCGGTTTATCGATCGGTGCGAAGGACGGCGCTGGGGGGAGGTTGACGCCTTTACGTCCCTTCCCCAATGACTCACCTAAATTTAACGTTACCTTTACGTCATGAGGATAAATTTTATACAGTTTATACAAAATTAATCAAGCTGTATAGATATAACGCGTATAAAGGTAAGAAATTTAAATATTTTTAAGCCTTTCTCGAGAAAATTAAAACCTGTAAACTCCAGGTTAGGAGCGTTTAAGTGGAAGAAAGGGATCAAATTTTTCCCAAAAATTAAAATTTCAAGGGACTTTTCCTGTAAAATGCATTTAAAAGTTAATTTATTTTTAAAATTTTAAACATAAAATCAGATTTTAAAAACCTCTGAACAGCGGACACTGAAAGGAACGTAACAAAATGTCCATTGTTCGGAAGTTATTTTGTATGCATTTAAAAAAACAAAATGTTTCCGAAATACACGTCCGCTGCTGGGAGATTCTTCTATATTTAATTGAATAGAAAATTAAAAAAATGTTGAAAAATATCGTTTTATTCGGATTAGATTTTCTCATACCACGTGATCGTTCATCCACGTGCGACTTTTGTGTCCCGGTTGCACGTGCGTGAATCGATCACGTGGCGTAACGAACGTTTCACCCATTGTAAATCATTGTTAAGTGTTAATTAATGACTTATTTACAAACTTGTCAGGGCTATTTTTATATTTTGTGACTTAAAATTTGATCTTTATCCGCATTTAAGTAATTTTTACTTGTAAAATGTTCATTTTTAATGAGATATAAATTTAAAAAACATGCTGAAATAAACTATAATAACGTATTAATTGTTATTATTCTTCATAAAATAATAATAAACTGTGTCCCCGTATGAGGCCTCACTTTGTTTTACTTTAAGGCTAGAACATGGTTTAAGTTCAAGTTACAGGGATACAGTTTAAGGTCTCATATTTTAAATTTATTTTTGTTATGGAAAATAAGGATCCTTTATATTAAGTATTCACTACACTTAGGAGCGTTAAAGATAGTCATACGGAAATGTTAGAAGGGCCTTTTGGTCTGGGATTCAGACACGGAAATGCCTCAAAATCTGTCTTTATTGATTTTATGGCTTTCAGAGGATGTGAGCCTGTATTAATGAGCGGTTACGTCTTTATTCGTCTCACTCAAGACTGGATATAGCACTTAGGGCCTATATTTTAGGCACATGATCATGTAATCCTTCATTGGGAATTATTTTTAAAATTTATCGGGCTGACTCACTGAATAACACAGATACTAAACACTCAGATTGATAATTCGATTGTATAGGATCTGTGAAATTGGAGTAACCAGTATCAAATTTTCTGTATTACTACTGAGCGTTGTACTAAAGAAATTCGTGTTTCATCATTAACTTAATTATCCTTTAAAATCATATTAGAGATTTTTAATATCAAGTTATGTATTAATTTTACTTAATATAAAGTGTAGTAGTCCATGTCAAATAATATGGTATTTGATTGAGAGCACAGGCGAATCTTTACAGTAGTTAATTAACCGACTTCTGGGCCATTATGAATGTTCCTGTTTCTTATCTTACACTAAGGAATTGTACTGTTGAGTTTGTAATGTTTTACGTTATTACAAACTGGGATTTCATGTACATTTATCCAGATTTATCCTGGAGTGTTCGTGTCCTGTAGGCAAATCCTGGATACAGTAACCACGAATTTATTCAGGATATTCTTGTAACCACGAGTTAATAACTCCAAAAGATTACTTTGATGTTGATTTTAAAAATATTAAAATGGTGAAAATTAAAGATAAAAATTAAATATGAATTAATTTGTATTTTATAGTTNAATTAATATAATTTAAGTAATAATTTTTTTAAATAAAATTAATACAGTTAAACTGTCCAAAGCGGAATCTTAGTAAAACGGAAATCTGCCTGAACGGGAATAATTTTTAATAAAGCAACAATTTTCTGTGTTAAATAACCTGTTCGTGACAGAAACCTGCCTAACTTGTGAAACGTGCGATTCCGCTTTACACGTGTTTTACTGTAATATAAAGCATTTCGAAGATCAGAAGGACCTCATTGTCTGTGCCCTACTGGTACGGTCTCTGTCTGCAGACCTTGTTTTGCAAAGCTGGGGCCTTAAATTTTAAAAAATCAGACAAAAGTGAAGGTGCTTTCCTCAAATATCCAAACTCAGTAAAACGGAATTTTCGACAAAAATCTCCCCCAATCATTTTTGGATTTTTTGTGTGAATTTTTAACGCATTTAATCATGATTTAATAAATATTGCAATTATTAATATCGTTACATGGTTTTATGCCATAGATCAAACAAGAAATATGATTTAATTAAAGATTAGTTTAGTTGTTTGTTAACTATTTTTTAAACAATGTTAAAATTGTCGTTAACAAAAACAAATTAATTCTGTTTTCGATTAACAGATGGCAACACGTTCCCGTCTTTCGCGGCAAGGTCTATGTAAAAACTCTCCCGTGATTCTATTTTGGGCCATTTTGGGACTTATCGATAGACTACACTCCATACGTAGTTCTTGCGTGAGTCGACTATTATTACGTATATAAGTACTCAAACTTTTAAACAATGGGTTATTGTGTGGTACCAAATTGTAAAAGTAAATTTACAGACGTTCGATTGTTTAGATTTCTTGCAAATAAGCAGAGGAAAGCAAAATGTAGCGTAGACATCAACGGATGGTTCATGATGCAGTTCAAAGAATTTGTATGAGTAAAGTTTGTAATAAGTGGTTTAAACGAGTGGATACCCTTCGTGTCGAACGAACTATACATGGAAATTTTTAAATAATATCGGCAATCCAGATAGAAAAATGAAAAAAATTACATTTATTTTATATCTGATGATAAAATAAAATAATTAAACATATAACTGTTTTAATATGACCATATTGTATTTAAAAATAAAATTATGATGATGGTATTGACTTATACTCTCAATATTTATTAATAAAACGTTGCAAAAAATTTAGTTTAATAGTAATTTATACTTAATTCAATTTAAATAAAATTTACATTAATTTTATTGTTAGAATTTTTATTTTAAAAGTAGTGATGGAAATCTAAATAGGCTATATCTAATTAAATTAATTAAAATATCTATAACCATAAGGTAGATAATAGGAAGGGCTTACCACACCAATGATAATGGGCACAAACGCTCAAGAATCAAAGTAAAAATTTAATAAAACAAAAAGGGGGTACAATAAGATGATTACATAAGTATAAAAACCGTAAAAATCCAAAATGCATTTCGGACTATTTTCCAATGGAAAAATAGTCCCTCATCAGTTAATAATAGCGAGAGGTCTTAATATACTTAAAATTATACAAGGTGAAAAAAATATCAAATTTAAAATTAAACTTAAAACTAGGCCTAAAACTATACAATATAAATATGAAGCCATCGCCATGACTGTATGAGCAGTAAGCATTATCAATGTAGACGGGATTAACATTTCTTCCTAACGTTGCATGGTAACATGATGAACAGTGTGCTGATACAAAAATAGTTATGAGTTAGCCGAAATATTGATTAACAGTTATGAACTAATATTATACAGTCAGTTTAAATTATGTACATACCATATCTAATTCTTATAATCTAGAGATTCTATAATATTTAATTGATTTTATTTATATTTAATTTTTTCATTTGCATAGCAATAATTATTTGTCACTGATCATTCATATCTTTTATTCTGAACATTTAAAAACAGATTTTATCTGAATAACATAAATTGTTTTTTTTCTGGAGAAAAAAAATGTAAGGATCAGATGCGTTTAAAATGCTTCTGTGTTCGTACATCTATTTTCAAAATACTAGTAAAAATAATTTAGCTAAATTGTGCATTTGACACATTTTTCTGGTATGGATTTAAAGTGTAATGATTTAATATTTTTCTCACCTTTAAATATATCAAATATAATTCAAAAGATTTAATATTTTTACAGTAGTTTTTAGTAGTAAACTTTAAATTTTATTATTAATGCAGAACATGTAAACAAAANACTATTGAATTTCATCTTAATTTTATAACCAATCGTGCTTTAAAAAAATAATTATAAATTTGTTATATTATATTATTATATTCTTTATTATACTTTAAATTTTCTTTGATGTTATTGCATCACTTTACGAAGTGCCTATATACGTAATTGCACCAGTTTTAGTACCTATTTAATTAGTTTCAATCATGACATCAAATGAGATGGATGATTGTTTCGTTTAGACTATTTGATAAAAACGTTATATAAAATTGGGGTTGCATAATCATCCGAAATTATAATATTTTTGACTGGAAATCACTGGATTTATGCAATTTTAGTTTAATTAATGTCGTATAAAACTGAATGCTCGTACAAGTTTGCTACTCAAAAAGCCCCAAAATGGCGGCTCAAGAAGTAGGTCACGCGTGTCCTGACCTTCTTATATAGACCTTGTTGTTTTCAGCGTTGTATAAAAATCCAGCAAAGAGTTACTTAACTTTCCCAGCAACATTTAAAATTGCGTGAGGCGCCATCTGTTATGATATTATATTTTAATATTTTTTTTTAATATAAATTATTGTAAAATGGCAAAAAGCTTAATTTTGGGGTAAGACGAGTTTTATATTTAAAAAAAACTTGTAAATGCTAATAACCAGTAAAATTATTAAGTCCGATCCCACACGAGATACGACGACACGTAATCCCCTATATCTCTCCATCCTCCCGATCTTTTAACCACCAAAATTTAGTAGCATCAATTTCCCTAATACACGAACCTCCCTGCAAAATTTCTGAAATTTTCGACAAAAAGCACAGGTGTTATTGAGCTTGAAATCAGTTGAGCAAAATTGTGCCTCTTCCGAAACACACACTAACATCCCTACCATTAAGAAAAAAAGCCCAATTTCTACTCTTCCAGAGACAGAAATACATTTAAACTGTGGTAAATTAAAGATACTTCACTGTAGGAAGAGGATTTAGAATAAAGTCCTGCGGCTTGATGGCAGTTTGAAAAATTCCGGATAACCGGCAAATCTGGCAACACTGTCGACACAAGAGCGATCTTCCAAGGAGATGTATAGAAGTGAAAGGAGGATATCTGTAAATATAAAAGTAAAGATTTAGCAGATTATTCTCTCTTTTCACATTACATGCAACACGGAAAACACATAGTCATGACACCAACTGTTAATAACTGAAATACGAATGTTTACTATATGTTTTCCTGGGTATACGTCTAATTATACATTATACACAGTGTATGTGTAAATATATAATAGTTTATATTATAAATTTTGAATTATTTTGGCGAATCTTTGGCGAATGCCTAAAGTGCGTATCCAAAATAATAAATGTCAAAAGTAGGTCTAATCCCCTTTCTAAATCTTCCATTCGTTGCGATGGAACAAACATTTCATGATCTTCCTGTTTAGTCCATTCGAATGTTGTGTAAATCAGGAATTTTGCTCGTATTCTACATCATTTTGTCTGTAAATTTAATTTTTGTTTCCGATTTTCCTATATTAATAGAGAGGTTGCCGGTGTCGTATTCAGCCCAAAACGTGAACGGCGGACGGTCGAGCGCCGCCATCTGGCAATTATAGACGGTCGATAATGGCGTTCGCTACGTCTAGTATGGCGAGTAGATCGGTGTAAACTTCATTTTTTTGTATTTGGGGTTAAAATTATGACCTATTTTACTAAAATAATGAATATTACGAATAATATTGTAAAGAAACAGTTTTAATCCAGAAATTATTTAATTATTCAATTTTTTAGTAAGTGGTGCGAAGTGCCTATAGAATTTACATATATTTGCCTTCATAATAGCTTATCTTAAGGTAGGTTTCTTCTACCATCAACAGCGTAATACGCTTGTAAATTTTCTAAAAATTAATTTTCCTAGCTGCTTTCGGATTTACATAAGCCACTACTTCCCTCGACAAAAGTACCGTCCTATCGTCCGATCGTACGGTAGGAGACACCACGCTAATTAAAAATAATTATTTAGTGTTATTAAACATCCTATAAATACTTTGAAATAGTTTAATTTGTTTATTTACCTTCGCTGGTAACCCTCGATGTTAAATGCATCCGCCATTTTTTCAACAAATTTCCCGTGAGTCGATGCGCGACGTTCACTGAGTCACGTGATGTTGCGAACATGCGCTGCAACGATATTTTCTTGGAGTTAAAACGTAAACCGTGTACTTCTGCTTGCCATGTACAAGTTTCTGAACTTCATACCATCTAACCTGATAAGTCTGATGGAATCAATGAAAATTTCGATAAACTGACTCCTGATTATTTTTGTTCTTGCTTTAATCAATTACTACATAAGTTACCATGAATCAATCTACACATGAAATACTTTTGACCTCGTCTAATTCTTGTTCTGCAAGTGCATTTTGTGTTCGGTAAGTACTCCTGTACTCTAGGTGTCTTGGAGATCCTTATGGACAAGTTTATTCTGAGGAGTATTTGTGGTTCCTCCCTGACAGACTAATTTCAAGAGAATACGCAGTTATTCCTGGCGGTTCTGTCCTGCAAGACTTCTTCTGCAAAACTTGTTCTACACGTACTCAAGGCGTTTTGGAGGCCCTTATGGACAAGTTTACTCCAAGGAGTTTTGTGGTACCTCCATAACGGACTTATTTCAAGAGAGTATGGAGTTACTCCCGGTGTTTTCTCTGCACACTTTTCCTCTATATTATTCCATTGAACTCTCTCTTAGCTTTAATTTTAGTTATTAAGTTTATTTTTCTTATGTTAGTTATTAAGTTCTAAATACTTTGTCTGCAATATTTTCTACATATGATAACTCTGTATACATTGCTATTCTGTAATAATATTTCATTGTTATTCTGTATTAATGTTATTAATGTATTAATTATTCTCTCTGTAATATTTTGTATTTAACTGACAGTTTTGTATACACTGTTAATATGTACTATTGTAAATGTATATAATTTTTCTCAGCTGTGCTCTTGCGGTGCTGAGTATGTGCCTCGAGCACCTAATAAAAACGATTGATTGATTGATTGCCATGTACAAGTAACGTTTGAACTTGCGCCGCAACCTCTCTAATATAATTATTATTAAAATTTGTAACTAAAATAGGTTTGTTTCATAGGATCGATATGCCACCCGGAAGGAATTTCTACGTTGCAAGTAGACCCTGTTTAGGTGTTAATAACTGATAAATTGTTTTCAATATAAACGATTTAGGGTTAATGTTACCCTAGGTATCGAAGATGGGGCGGTCGCCAATTCGGTCGGTGCTTCCGGTCGCTATCTTGTTTGCACGCGTGCATGCGCAAACAAGATGGCGACCGTCGACAATAACCAAAACACGCCTATATTTAAACTTTTTTTTAAACTAAAACATTTTTAAAACGTAAATTTGCTACTTTTTTGTCCCGTGCTTTTGGTTTCATTTCCTACTTTTGGACCGGAGACGAAAAATAATAAAGCCACCATACTACCTGAAAACAATTGATAACTGGACGTAGTGAATTACGAGATTCGATACATCAATGGTTCGAACAGGATTTGCCTGAAGTACAATTATAAGCTTTGGGGAACTGCAGCCTCAGCGGCTCGCTTCGGCCGCGCTGTCGAGCGGTCTCGGCATACAAATATATCACCACCTAGGTTAGTAAAGGATGAATCACTAACCTCCGGGAGGTCCGTCGGGAGCAGGAACAGTCGAACGTCACTTACTTGTTAGTGGAAAACTAAAACGGCGTAGAATGCATTGTGAAAGGCACGTTTTAACCGACAGATAAACAGTAAAAACAATTGGCCAAATTTTCTTACTCGTTAACTTAAAAAAAAACAGAAAATTGTTCAAACTTTAAAAAAAAACACGAACTCCATTCGAAAAGATAACAACATGCACCATCCGTCTACACCATAACCGAACTCAAAGTTTGCATAATTGCTCATGTTTTCCGAGCGGAAATTTTTGAAGAAAATTTGCATACGAAATCGTCAGTATGATAAGCGCCATCTACATTTCATTTCTAAACGCGCATGCCGTCGAGGTTACCGGAAGCGCCGCTTCTTCGATACCTAGGGTAACATTAACCCAATTTAGTATTAAATTACCTGTCATTTGCACGAGTTATTTTGCCGCTTATTACAATTTATTAGGACAATAGCAAATTTGCAAGAGAAATTTTGCAATACAGTACGTGTTTAAATTGTACTGTACACGGTGATTATAATTAAAGTTTCGCTACTCAGACCTGTCTAGAGCCCGTTTTCGTGGACGTATTTTGATGAAACTTGGTATATATGTTATATGGATAATGGGGAAAAGAAAATGCAAAAAAATATTTAGTTCGAATTTTTACCACTAGGTGAAAATTGGCGCACGAAGAACAAGAAACATAAAATGGAAACACGCAAAAGCTTTTTATTCACAACATTTGTTCAATGTGCAATTCATTTGCATCAATTACATGTTCAAAACGACTTACAATGCTAAATATTTTTTTGCATTTACCTTTTCCCCATGGTCCATATAACATATATACCAAGTTTCATCAAAAACGTCCGCGAGAACGGGCTCTAGACAGGTCTGAGTAGCGCAACTTTAATTATAACCACCCTGTACTTGTTTTTCAACTTTCTGTTCTGACTTCTTTGCAGTTTTACATGATTCTTTACGAATCCACGACGTAGAAGGAAGAAAATCGTTGGATGCCAAAGTATTCTTTGCAGGTCTTTCAGAAATATCTTAAGTATAGTAATAGTTGTAATTATCATTTGGCATTTCAGAATTTCTAGACAAAGAAGAGAAAGGATTTCCTGAAGGAAAATTGTTCTAAAAAATTCTCACTCTTAATTAGTATTTTTTCAATCTTGCAATAGTTTGTTGACGAAGAGTCGCCATTTCTTCAACTAAAATTTCGATTAGAGTAATTACACTATAATAAGCTAACTATAATAATCTACACTATGATGATCATAATCACTCTGATCGAAATGTTTCTTCCATCTGTCGATTCATTACAGGATGATATAAATTGTGTTTCTGCTGAAGACTGCATTCACTTTCTCCGATTAACATGTTCTCGATTTTATAAATTTGTAATGAAAAAGAAATTTATGCAAACAGAAAAAGAGACAATATAGAATCACCCAAAACTATTATCGACAATAGGGGTGATACAGTAGTTAATTAACCATGTGGTTAAAAGAGAGAATGAAGTTGGTTCCAACTGGAACAGTCCACAAAAGCAAGATCTGATAATACCTCTTTATTATCTGGATCGTATAAATTTAATTTTCCTCTCATCTTTGCAGCTTAAAACGCAAGCAGTTTGAAGGCCAAAATTATAAAAGAAAATAATCGAATTTCCTTGAATTATTTTTTATATAAAAGTTGATACAATGGTCTTCATAATAATGTAAACACAATGTCTTCACAGGAAATTATGTTTACTTTGTTACTCCATTATTGAAGGATAATAGATGAGTTCAATAGATAAAAAAACCGAGAGAACAGAATTTTATACCATTTCCTGTCTTCAGGTTGCCTTTCGTAGGTGAGTATTCGAAATTTTATAGTGTAGGTAAGTTCAAGACTATTTCTGTCCTTTGTTTAATAGGTAAAAGTCTAGAAAAATATGAATTCGATCGCATTAATTCATATTCATCCCGAGAAAATAGAGAAGATCACGAAATCTAATTACGAGGACGCTTGGCAACCACTTCTTAGAATAATGCTCCTCTTGGGACTTAAACTAGAAAGAAAAAAGTTTAATATTCTTAGCATCTTTAATTTATTCTTTATTGTATTGATAATTATATTTATTTTCACGTCATGCATTGCTCAATTATGGGAGCAGAAGTCATCTTTCATAGTTATTTTGACGGCTATTCAAATTGAATTTCCCAATCTGATATCGTTGATTTCTTTTCTTCATTTTCATGACAATAAAGAAAAATTGTCGATTCAGATAATGAAGATTTCTGAAATTTCTGACGGCAGAAATCATGTGAACAAGAAATTCCTTGTAACGAAAATCGTCGTTGTATGGTGTGTTATTATTTTCGGTACTTTTGTTATTATATTTGCATTAAATAGCGAAGAAAACGGAATGATACCATTCTGGAATATAAATAATTTTTTTGGACAGAGAATTCCAGAAAAGATTTCATTGTCCATATTTTATTTAATTCTCTATCTTCGAAGTATATTTGTCACAATACCACAAAATATCATGTTTATATTTTTTGCGATGATATGTCGAAGCATTGAACAAGCTTTCAAAAGTTTGCATGATAAAATACGTTTCTGCAAAGATGAGAAGAACGTCAGATGGATACGAACCACTTATCGAGATATAATGAAGATTGCAGAAATTATTTCAGAAACATATTCCATTATCTTACTTCTATGGAGTGTGCTGGTTGGAACCAATCTGACTCTTTCTCTTAGTCGCGTGGTCAATTATCGACTGTCTTACCCCCTTTTGTCCATAACAGTTTTGGCTGATTCCACGTTGTCTTTTTTCCTGTTTGCAGAAATTTGCTTTTGCATATCTCGCATTACAGAAGAGGCTAAAGCGATTTCCTTCATAGCATACGATTCTTATGTAATGGAAGAAGATAGGCGGATGGTAGAAACGCTTTTTCGATTATCCGTCGAATGTCGACAGTATCTTCCCTCATTTAATGCCGGAAGAATGTTTTCTGTGGATGCTAGCCTTGTTATGGCTATATTTAGCGTTGCATCTACTTATGCTCTGTTTGTGTATCAATTAGAAGCTAACTGATTTCCTTCTTGAAATATCTTAAAATTTACTTTTTCTATACAATGAAAATATGTTGTTTCCATTTATTTAAACAGTAGACTCTCACTACTCTGGCAATCAATAATTAAGCATCTCAATTATCCTTGGTATTATCTCAATTATACGGTATTGCATTTTAGTGCCCCGTTCGCTCTTAAGAACAGAGCAATAAGTCACGTCATTCATTGTTTAAGTAGTCTTTAGGTCTATATACTCTCAGCAATTCGGTACTCACGCTAATTTGGCATCCCATCTGTGCAAGAAATGGCCTGATTAGCCACAATGTACTATATATCTTTTAAAAATTTGTAAAATTAATAAAATTTATCTTTAAGTTTATAAACTGTGAGTTTTTTTAAATTATAAATATTTATATTTATAAGTTGACTTCGGGAATTTGGTATTGAGAATGTTTTCCTCTTGTTAATTAATAAGAGGAAAATTTTATTTGTAATGTAAAATACAGATTGGCAATCACTTAAATACATAAAAAAATAAGCTGAAATGAAACTAATAAACTTCAAGCACGTGACTAAAAAGGAAAGCAATTATAAATATCATTATTTTCGAAATTTTCATCATTAATACAGTCACTTCGACAAATATCAGGTAAGGAGATGTTTAATATAGAAGTTAAATTAGATTGTAGTGACTTGCAATTGTATAAATCAGTGGTTTACAACTAGAGTTCCACTTCAGGGGTGCCGCGAAATGTAGCACTGAGCAAAGATATAATACAAGTAAGCTATAACTGTACAGTGATAAAGGAATAGGGATGCCCAAGAAAAATGTACCAAGTTGGGGGTACCACTATTAGGAAAAGTTTGATTGTAATGAAATTATCTCATTTTCATTGGTAAAATTTAATAATAATCTAATAATCTCTTCTCTGTGTTGAAACAGTGCCCTCCTTTATGTTATACTAGCTAGGGTAACCGGCTTCGCTCAGGAAGTTGATATGAGATTGTGTGGTAGTTGGAATAAAAGGACAAACTTTAAAATATGAGGTAAAAATTTTTTATTGAAAACATATTCTAACTATCAGGTCAGTCCATAAGTTCGTGCGTATTTTATGATCTTGAGAAAAATCTTGTTTTGCTGTTAAAAATGCCAGTCTAATGTGATACTTTTTACACTGAAGTGTTAAAATTGGATCTCATTCATATAATACTGTTCAGAATTGGGAACATTTCAGTTGTTTATTTTCGTTAAAATGGAAGTAACAGCTGAATATAAGAGACATGTTTTATACTTTTTATTTTTAAGTGGTGAGAATGCTACAAATGCAGCCAAAAAATTAAATACTGCTTATAATCAAACTGTAACAAGTGTAAGGACTGCGCAGAAGTGGTTTGAAAGATTTAGAAATAATGATTTTAGTGTGGAGGATAAGGCTCGTACTGGAAGACCCGTTGACTTTGATGATGATGCTCTCTCTGCACTAGTTGAAGCAGAACCATCTTTAACAGTTGATGAAATTGCGGAACGTTTAAATTCATCCCATGGAACTATTCATAGACATCTACAACAAATCGGAAAAGTTTCAAAGCTAGGAAAATGGATACCACATGAACTGTCAATAGCTAACTGACAACAACGTCAACTGCTCAACTCCAAAGCTTCAACTGGGAAATTTTACCTCATCCACCATATTTGCCAGATATTGCTTCCAGTGATTATCATCTTTTTCGGAGTTTGCAGAATTTTTTAAAAGGAAAAACTTCTGAGGATGAGAACAATGTAAAAAAAGGCTATTTCTGAATATTTTGATTCAAAACCGAAATTATTTTACAAAGACGAGATTAAAAAGCTACCATCAAGATGGCAAGAAATTGTACAAAATAATGGTGAATACATTATAGATTGAAATAAGATTTAATTAACATTTTTTGTTGCTTTTTTGTAGATGAAAATGCGCACGAACTTATGGACTGACCTAGTATTTACAATACTTGTTTATAAACAACATTTTTCATCTTGTTATCTGAAATATATACAGTATGTACAAATTTTTCGAATTTCCTACTCGAGAGCAAGCTACGTATGTGACCGTGAGAGAAACATAGTCTTTGAGATTGATGCCGCAATGTTTTAAAGTGTGTCCTTGTGCTTTGTTAATTGTAAAACTATAGGCTAATTTAATTGGAAATTGCAGTTTTTTAAATTGGAATGGCAGTTCAGTAGAGATCAGTGGTATTCTGGAGATAAATACTGTGTGCCCTTTCCAGAGTTCAACTCTCATATTTTTTGTTAGTCGCAGTATTTGTATATATAGCCAGAGATGTGATTTTTTTAAGCATGCATTAATCTCGTCTGCTGGTGTTGAATTGGGGATAACTGGAAGTGTTTGTCAAAATTTCGACCGTTCTAAACGTTTCTAATAACGTAATTTTCATTTCTTTTTCGGTTCTTCCCTTCGTCACTGATAAGAAACTGACGTTCGAACCCACGACGGATCTCGCTTTATATACCCCCATCAATAGGTAGTCCCATCCATACAAAAAAGGCTTCGAATGTTCCACAATGTTCCAAAACATTCCACAACATTCGAGAGTGTTCTGGAATGTTACACAATGATATGGGATGTTCCGGTATGTTCCCGAACGTTCTAGAACATTCCGGAACATTCTGGAATGTTGTGGAATGCTCTCGAATACTCTCGAATGTTCTGGACTGTTTTAGAAATTTTTAGAGGGCGAAACTTCCAGCCCTTATATCGTCAACAGCACGCCCTTCAGGTAAAAACGGGAACCTTTCTCATGGATGGGGGATAGAGGGCTACCACACCATATAACTCCCTTGATCGTACCGGGACTCGTTTTTGAGTTTTAGCGGCACGCGCATTGTACACTTACCTTTATAATATATATTGATTTTTTGAGACACATTGGCAATTGGAACAATTAGTTTAAAGACTGTAAGAAAATAAAATGGATGTGATAAAGTCCTATTATCAACACTTCATCATGTCTGAAAAATATAATAATAGAATTTCGTGTTATGAAGCATTCCATTTCCAGAAAAATAAACACTAACATTACTTAAAGTGTTAAAAACATAAAGATTAATCTTCGCACATGGTTTTAATGTTACCGAAACCGAAAATGGTATTTCTGTTTGCTGTTTTAAATATAAAATTAATTAAAAGAGATATTTATTGAAAATAGCAGTTTTATGAATAAATTCAAATTATTATGTGTTTTGAGATAAGTGTTCCAAGCGTAACGTGGTGCAAAATCAAATAACCATATACGAAAGTAACGTTATGTGAGGTGTATTTTACATGTAAATTTATTAATTGGTGCGAAAAGCAAAGATTTTTACTAGAGTAACATTTTGTAATGCCACCATAACCAAATATTCCAAACAAATACAGTAGATTTCCGCGTAACATAGAAATTTATTGCGCAATATATTTGTAAGGAAGTTGTATCAGTGACAAAATTTACAGTGAAAATTTTACTTTGACATTTATAAAAGGAAATTTATTAATTATGTTTAAAAAACATTCAAATTTTATAATTAGACAAAGGTTTTATAATGAAATCGTAAAATGAATTAGCGCATGTTTTCCTCAATTTTATTGAGGAAAATTTATAAATATTCCTATTAATTAAAATTAAGTTTCCCTTTTTATTAGAAACAATGTTTTCATTAATTAAAATCGAAGAGATAATTTAGCCTTTAAAATTTATCGATTAAGTTTTAAATACAGTCGACCCCTCTATAACACGGGTTCATATAGTTCGGATTCCTATATGACGGCGATAAAATTGCGACACTATTCATACAAACACGCCAAAAAAACTCGTATAATTTGGTAAAACGTCATCTCCGACTCGTGTCGCGACAGGATCGGTCGAATCTAGACCAATAGCGGATATTGTACAAACCGTTGAGTTTAAACGAGCAGCGGTCCTATTAAAAAACCAATTATTATTTAACGTCCATAAAAATTATACTTATATTAATGATGTCTCCAAAGTTCAGCGAATTTTTCGCAAAGAAAAAATAATTTGTCAGGAAGCACGCGAGCGCCATTCGACGACAAGCTCCACGATGAAAACAAGCTTAAGCAATGGCGTGGTCGAACGGTGCACACTCGGTAAGTAATCCTACAATTTTTTGTTTATAGCATAATTTATATGGATTATTCCCAGAAAATTATACGTATTTTGGAAATGTTGAGTCGAATTAGTCTAGAATCGATTAATTTTATGGAAGAAAACCTATCAAACAGCCGTAGTTTGTAAACTGCATACGTGCCGGGCTGTGATTGGCTCATGTATTTAAGGACTCGTAGAACATCAATTTCATAAAGAACGGAACGTATCTACCGTGTTATAGGGACTGTATATGATGATGATTCTAGAAAATTTTTAAATTTAATTTTAAGAATGAATATTTTCAAACTTTATATTCTTGATTGTTAATGACTGTATTTGTTTATAATTAATGATAATTGAAAAGTTAAAATAGCACTTTAATGAATAAAACCACTGAATACTGGATCAGTGGTTTTATCCACTCGGCCTATGATAGATCTGATCTAACCATGGAAAGGTGTTGGGCAGTAAATTCGTCAGAGTACACATCGTGAGTAGGCTTTGAATGCCTCAGACAAGCAATATAGTTGCAATGATGTTTTTGCCGTTTATATAGAAACATATATAAGCCTCAGTATAGAAATCTGACTCTTCTTGTACCACCGGAAGGCTACTAACAGAAAAAATATATATGGACGACTCGTGGTCTGTCATTAGCGCTCTAACATTCCAGTTCTGTTTGGAAACGGAGGACCACCGTGTTAGTGTGGAGTACCACTAATGTGTTTTTCAGTCCTATCTTTACTACTAATCGGCCCGATTCCTTTACTAGTCTGAGTAACCATCTCGTATGACATTTGGTCACCCCTAATAGTGGTACGAGGAAAAGTAACAGCTGTACATTCAGGAAATCTGCACCTGTGCAAGCAGCCATTTTCCAGCAGGATAATGAATGCTCGGCAGCATACAGCTAAAATTTTTTAGGAACGTGCCACATTTATTTTGTTTATCTGGTCTCCGAATTAATTGCCTATCCAATATTTGTTGGATAAGATGTTCGCTAGCTTCGGCTATCTATCGTTATGAGAAATCTAGAACCGCATTGCAATTTGCAACATTTTTCGGATAATATAATACAGTATGACATACAGTGCCTGTATGGCTGTGTGCCTATATGTCCGACCGTATCGCCGCCTATTTCCAGGAAAAACGAAGTACTACAGAGAACATAATAGTAAAGGTTGTTAATTGTACATTTTCCTATCCTAAATTGACTCTTTATAATGATACTATCACTTATTACTTCTAATCACTAATTACTTATTACCATGATCATTACCTTCACAATAACAAAGTTCCATTCTATTCAAACGTTTCTTTGATGTATAACTTTTTTGTTCACGAGTGTATTAACAATTTCTATGAAATGTCCCAAAACACCAATGACTCTGTCCACTTCTTGGACAGTCATTCGCTCATGAGTCATTTTAACCAATTAACCAATAAGCTCTTGCGTACTTAAACTAATACGAATGGTAATTGTTTAAACTTGTTTTTCTATTATATATACAATATACACAGAGAACTCTGAAAGAGATTAACTAAATTATACACTATATCAAGAATCAACGATAACATGACTTTTTTGAAAAGAATATTTACAGAGAGAATATGCATGAAAACATGCTCAACACCATAGAAGTTTCCAACTTTGCATTATGGATAAAGGACACAACTATTGGTTTCGTAGAAGATCTATTCCAGTATTTATGTGTATTCTTCATGGAGAGCGTAGGTTGTCCATGTCAATTAATCTTTTTGTTTTTCTTCATCTTGATTGTTTACTATTCATCATTTACTTACAATAAAACTGTGGTAAGCAAAAATACATCAATATTGACACCATTAATACGAAATTTATAAGTAACAGTAGCGAAATAAACAAATTTTGTGTTCTCTTGCAGGATTTGACCGAATGTGGAAATATAAAAGTAGGAAAACGATACCAAAAGCGGTCTCAACTGTCGAAAGAAGCTAAAGGTTCAAGAGACTTGCCTCCTGTATATCCTAACGGTTGGATACCATTAATAGAGTCCAGGGATATCTTAATTGGTCAGTGTAAGCCTGTAAATGCTCTGGGTAAGGATTTTTTCATTCGAAGTTTTTATTTAACAAAACCATTAATGCCTCGCGAAAATTCATATTGCAATTTCAAATATTTTCTCATATCTCGTATTAAAAATATTAATGTATACGGTATTTACTTAGAAATAAAGATGAAGTAAAATTTTATAAAGTAAAATTTCAATAATTTTATCAATAAAATTGAATGCAAAAATAAGATAAAACTGAAATGCAGAAACTAGAAAGTATGGAAAATGGTTCCTTGTCTTTTTGAATATCTAAATAATGATTATTTGTTAAATTACAGGTCAAGATTTTGTTATTTTTCGAGGTAAAACTGGCAAAAGTTTCATTTTAGATGCTTATTGCCCTCATTTGGGTGCTCATTTAGGAGTTGAAGGTAAAGTTTACGACGATTGCATCGAATGCCCTTTTCATGGATGGAGATTTTCTGGTCAAGATGGCTTATGTGTCAAAATTTCATATTGTGATAAAGGTAAAAGCTGCTGAAGATACGAAGATTACACAGGTCTGCAAATTTCAACTAATAAAAAACTGTTTGGACTTTGAGATGTGATTTTTACTAACAACTATGGATACAACTAAAAACGACCTCTCAAATGTTTCCATCACGTAACGTTTTGATACAAAGTTTGGTAAAAAATTCATAAAAGCATATTATATAAATATGCATAATAGTGTTTTAATTTATTTTAACGTGGAAAAATTATCAATTTCAATTTATTATTAACATATATGAGTAAAAAATACAACATAAGCCACTAATTAGCTTCGGTGCTTATCAGTTCTGATTTTCTTTTTTGCCCTAAAACTGTGTTTCGTGGATCCTCTTTATGATCTGCATCTTGAATGTCCCTATGCATTATCAACAGTAATCCGCCGTCATACTGGCATCCCATCGTCCCTTATATCTTCTTTCCATCTCCTTAATGTCCTGATGGAATCTTTCGCCCTGTTCTTCACTTACAGCTCCTAGATTTTAAAGAAGTAATCCAAATGCGAGTTCAGAAAGTGTACCTTGAGGCTCCTATTGCAGCCTAGTTCATGGTACTTAAATACAATCCAGGCATTCCGTTCTTTATCGTTCATTGAAGAAAGAAGTTCTGTGTCTGATATTAATTTCCTTACATCAGGTCCTGTAAATACACCTTTTACAAGTTAGTTTTGCTTCGGACAAGGCTGGGAACTTTTTGCATAAATATAAAAAGCAGTTTCCATCTTTTGGTAAAGTCTTTATGAACTGTTTCATTAATCCCAGTTTAATATGCAAGGGTGGCAGCAGCACTTTCTTTCGGTTCACCAAGCTACTACTCACAATATTCTTCATGCCAGGTTGTAATTGTTTTCTAGGTAGCCATTGCTTCTAAACCCGATGCAAATTCCTGGCTGTATTGTCCCATTCAGAGAAAACACGGAAACGTGTGAGAGACCGGACTTGACAGAAAAATTTTATTCAAAAAATTTTTTCGAAAAAAACAAAGATCGCTACGGATATGATTATATCCTTTCTCACGGACTTGCTTCCTCGTTTGAGGTGACACATCGAATGTTTCACTAGGATCAAATGCAAAATCGCCATTGGACGATTTTACCATAAAAAAAAAAAAAACAAAAGGACAAGAGTTGCGAGGAGGAGGATCCCCAAATAAAGGAGAAGGTCCGATGACGCGACAGGGAGTTCGCCTGACAGGAGAGGGTTGCTCGCCTGACAGGAGAGGGTACTCGAAGGTTGGTCGTGTGTTACACTCGGATATACTTCGCTGCCGATGCTCCTCCAATAGCCAGCGATCAGAAGCTTAATCGCCGATAGCCGATGACCCCAAGTACCCACCAAGGATGTGTCTCCACCGAAAAAGGACCCAAATCAAGAAAGTGATTTCAGGTAAATACCACGCGCGAACATTTGTAAACTCTCTCTCGCTTAAAGCATATGTGTAACTAGTTTATATAATCAATAAACGGGTATTATTTTCTATAATCGAATTGTAAAGTGCATTTGTTTAGCCCAGTTGGTCTCCATCCCGAGTCCAACCGCCCACAGACGCGACTGCTCGCGCGTAAAGGCGAACGTAACGGTCTCTGTGTCTACCTAAAAGACACAGTAATATCAGTCCTGACGAATTAATCATTGCAGTCTTTGCCGACGCGATGTCGACCCTTCGGTTCTATGGTGCCGAAGCATAGGGGGTGCTTCGCGCATTGTCACACTTGGTATAACCTAACTGCTGACCTAATAACATGCACCTGATGCAGTGTGTTTGATTACGTGTATATTTTGGTTAAATCAGGAATTCTAAATCAATTTTTTTGTTTTAAAAATGTAAGTATATTTATTTAACAAAATAATTAAATAAATTACGGCTACTGAAACATGTCACTATTAATAATATGCAAAGAAAGGTCAGTTTATCCAATAAAAATGGTTTTGTAGAAAAACATTACGTGATAGAGAAAAATAGTTACATTTTTTAATTCAGCATGAAAAAGCGTATAAGGATCACATAAAGAAGTAAAATAGTTTTTCCACTGCAGACCTGTATTATTAATACATAAAAATTAATATTTGCTTTCTAAATATATTTGCTTTCTAAATGTAGTCCCAGACGTGGCTAGAGTAAAATCTTGGGAAACAATTGAACAAAACGGTTTCATTTACGTCTGGTATCATGCAGAGGGCGAAAATCCAACATGGAAACCTCCTGTTATTCCAGAAATCGAACAGGGATCGTGGACATACAAAGGCCGTTCGGAGCATATCGTCAGCTGTCATATACAAGTAATTTAACATTTAAAATTTAGAAATATAAAATTTAAGGGTTCCAATTTTATAATCTCGTTTATTTTAGGAGATTCCAGAAAATGGGTCTGATATAAAACACTTTGACTGCATACATAGTGCCAGCATTTTGTCAGGAAAGAATAATCAATGGACTTTTTGGAGTTACGATTGGCGGGCTACTTGGTTTTCCAATTCTTTTCCTCATCACCATATGACTTCAATTAATATCTCTGGGGATGTGAAGTTGTTTGGTCTATCGTTACCTTTTGTACAAATGAAAATGGAAGTTAAACAGGTAAATATGGAATTTATTGTTTTTAATATATATTCTCTATAATAATTTGATTTACTTGGTAATTTTCATGATATAAAAATAATTAGAAATTTCAGTTAATGATTTAACTGTTTTCATCAACAACATACTTCGTATCATTTAGCATAAGTTTCCCAACGTAGAAGATCGTTAATCCGGCATTATGGGACAGAGTGGTTTCGGATTATCGAAAATGCCAGATTGCCGGGACATATTTGCATTTTCCTAAAATTCCATAAGTTAGGCTATATGTGGTCTGAACGTTCAGACATTTGTAGCGTACATTATTTAATATGCCGCACGTATGCTTCCGATTTGTTCATATAAGCTCTTTATCAGTCTGAATTTGATATGGCCCATCAGCAACCGAGTGGATAAAACCAGTGCCGTAACTAGGCAGGTACAACAAGTGCACCCGCACACGGTCCAATTGGAAGGGGGGCCAAAATGCATGTATTTGTTTTATTGTTTTCCCAAACGTAATTAATTAAGGGGCCTAAATGCAAATTCTTCAACAGGGCACAGGAATAGCTAGTTACGGCACCGGATAAAAACTCCGAACACCGTTAGTAGGTCGTGGGTTTGCGCATGGCCAACGGACTGACCAAGTGGAATTTTCTGGGTTTTCTTCGTATTACAGTAGAGCGTCGTTTATCCGAAAGCTGGTTATCCGAAACGTCCGTTATCCGAAAGCATTCCAGTCGGCAAATTTAAATTTTCGCTAGTGCTGTGGCGCTGCAATCTTCGGCTATTTCTCGGGCTACTCAAATATTTTACGTTTTTGATACTAAATTAACATCTGATGTATAATTTTTTATTGTTTTTATATTTTTCAATAAATTTATTTTGTTTGTACTAAATAAAAATATAATTTTTAACAATACAATAGTCTTCGCTAGGCTTAACATCGACGAAAATTCAACGCGAAGCGACACGCAACGGAGAAAAATTTCAACACGGTATAAATTAATATATTTTTTCGTACATGATTCGTTATCCGAAAAATAAGTTATCCGAACCACCCCAGTCCCCAATTGATTCGGATAAACGACGCTCTACTGTATTAAAACTCTTCTCTTTCTCTTTCACACTTTTGCATAATGAATATTCTAGTTCGTTGCCTTTACACAACACAAATGGCATACTCCAGGACTAAAAGGTAAATGGTGGACGTGTATTCAATTTCTTCCAACATGACGTCGCTACAGCCACTCTATGTAGTATATAGCTCGTTAGAAAGTACTGTATGCTAGTATTATACAGTATAATGTATAACATTTTAAAATATATTTTTATAAATTATGCTGGAAAATGTTATAAAAGAATTAAAATAACGATTAAAAACATAAAATAATAAGTAAGATTGTAAATACCAAGATTGACAGCATTACGTGCAAGTAAACACTTACTCAAGCGCTCCTACGCTTTGCTGATCTCGTGTACGTACTGTGTACATTTGCAAAAGACATCATGTTTCATGAATTTTTAACTTTTCGTGAATCTACATCCTGTTTTAGAGTAGTTATTTATTGCTAAATATTTATAAGTTGAATTTATCACGAAAATACTTTAAATTTTACTATTTTCAAATACTCTTCAATTTTCAGATAGGACCTGCGATAGCACATATATACATGAAGAGTGTATTTGGAGCAGGAGTGTTTGTCCATAACATCATCCCTGAACTTCCGTTCAGGCATAAGATCATTCATCATTACTATTCCCCTCGATTTTCACAAGTATCTGCTCACATTCGTTTTCTGTTGCAAGAAAATATGGCAAGATAATTATTTATATTTAGATAGTTTACTTTCAGAATTAATTCTAATTAAATATTATTTTTAACAGTTTAGACGAGATGCTGTCATATGGAATAATAAACGATTTTTGAAAAATCCCGTGTACACAAAAGAAGATAAAACAATTGCACAATTCAGAAAATGGTATTCTCAATTCTATAGTGAAAATAGTCTGAAATTTCCCAGTAATCTGAATTGGTAGCAGATTAGTAACTTTAAATTTTTATATGTTTAGGATATAATATGTGACCTTTTGTAACTTTGTAACACATATATTTTTTCTTATATACAACACCATACAACCACTGGGGTTTCTGTGACTCCATGAATTATCTAGTGAAATATTTAAAATTAAATAACTTATATAATTGGTGCAAATATATATATATCTCTAATGGTAGTGGAAGAACTGTTTGTAATGCATGGCTCCAAACACGTTCAGGAAGACTTTCTATCAAAGTATTCTCTTCAAGACTTGAAGCACTATCTTCGGAATGCTTCTTGTCCCATCTTTTCAAGTAACATTCGTTTTGTTCGCACTGTACACTCTTCAAAAATTTATAAATATTGCTTGGATTCGTGATTACTGGGTCATTTCATGTAAACGTGCTTTAATAACTCAGATATTTTCTAAACGTAATTTCATATCATTTTGCGCACACTCCACATACAGATGCTCTGCGTTCTTTGCATAGATTGGTTACAATTTCGGAATAACATTTTGTTTTTTCTATTTTTGATCTGTAACAAAATGCACAGCAAATTCTTTTTTGTAAATTAATTGGTACTGAACTATTAATTGTTGTATCATGATGTTCTATGAATAAACTGAATATACATGGAATAACCCATTGATAACTCAATAAATAAACATTAAGGGCGATTTTAATTTTAAATGGTATCTATGAGACTCTAATTTGCTGCGAAGGAAACAATAGTTATAACTCTAACTTGAGCGTGTTCAGATTGACGCCCTTTGGATTCCCCATCTGTCACTATCCGGCCTCTCCCATTATGACCTTTGCTAAACCTACCATGGTAAGGAATAAAAGGGTCTCTTAGTGCCACATCTTGGGAAGAAACAGTTATAAACAAAAATCCAGGAAATGCTTGCATCCTAGGTTAATAATTACTGATCTATACAATAGTCTATTTTATAAAAATAATTGATAAGGTAAGACTAATATTTTTTTATTAAATGGAAACTTCACAATATAACCCGTATAGAAAACTTTATATAATCTATATCAGCAATTACTGATATGCTTTCAATTAAAATACAGTGGGTGATCAGTTAACGAACAGATCGGATAACGAACACTTTCGCGAAAGATTTTTATGTTCGGACAACGAACACCTCACAGAACAAACACAAGAAGAAGCGACGTAAAATAATGAATACGATTGGTCTTCCCTTGTCTTCAGGCAACAATTCGAAACTTTTCGGAATGTGGAAGACGTCGACATCGACGCTCAAGCCGGTATATATCGATCGGATAGTATTCCTCCGAACTTTGAAACTCTCCCTTGTAATTCCAGCCTTTTATTTTTCTGACAAAACAATTCTTTTCTGTATTGGCGAGACTGTTGGGTAGGGTAGGGAACTCGTTAAGTTTTGCGTTTTTTTTTTTTTTTCGAAAGGTGAGGGTATAATAACAAAGGTAGAGAGGTAGTGGGCAGAAAATGCCTAATGTTGCTAGGCAGTATGGCGTGAACAGGTCTACAGTAGGCCGCAGTTCAATCTTATTTAAGAAAAATACTGTATAATCAAGAAGACTCAAGCAGCTAAAGGAGTAACAAAAATCACATTTGAGAAATAAAGAACATCAAAGAGTTCATAATGGATCCTGAAACGGATCTGACGACAGAAGAACGCCAAAAACTCTTCAATGAAGAACACCAAGAAACTCGGCGAGATATGTTTTCTTTTGAAAAAGAGGATTAATGCCGATATCTGTTATTAAAGATCCTTTGAAGAAGTGGGAGGATGTCAGAACAACGGTCTTAGAATGGCATCCAAATTAGGTTGAGGCTTGGGGATTTCTACAATTGCAATGCTATTAATTACTTACGAAAAATCCTGAAGAAGAGAGAAAAGCAATCTTTAATTAACCCTTTCAAACGGAAAAAACATGACTAATAAAAATGCAAGACTGTGTATTATGTATTTTTACTATTACATATAAATAAACGTAGTAAGAAACTATATATTTTTTTATTTTGGGGGGTCTCTAGAACGAATTAATTAAATTCCCATTAAAACCTATGGTAAATTGATAATCGGTTAACAAACAATTCGGATAGCGAACAAAGTCTTGGAACGGATTATGTTCGTTAACCGATCACCCACTGTACTTAAAATTTATTATATACTAGCAGATTAAGATTATTACGTGAAGATTAAGATTATTACGTTATAGTCAATCTTACCCGATTTCAAAGAATGCAAGAATTAGGTCTCCCTGTTTCCAGACTAATTAGAGAATTTTTAGATGGGTTAAAAATGTTCGATTTCCCGCTAAAACGAAAAAAACTGCATCTGTGTCTGTAAATATTGTCCGTCACTTTCTCTTAACACGTCCATTGTTGACACTTCCCAGCGGGAAAGTGTTAACAACCTCACCCCCGCTGGTGGAATTTCGAAAAATCCCTTCTTAGTGTATATTCTCGTGACATACCCTATTAAAACGCAATCAAAAACGCAAAAACCCGCATCTGCGCCTGTAAAGCTTGCACATCGCTTTCTCTTAACACTTCCATTGTTACTTAAGATGAACGGAAAGATCCGGACAGGAGGCATGTACAGTATTTCAATAATTGGTCATTTAGATCTTTGCAATTTAATGATAATGTATTAATAATAATTATTTTTTTTTGAAAAATTAATGAGTTTATTGTTCGAACTCGAGCTTAATTATTTGTGTATTTTCTGTAATAACTCATCAAATAAAATCGCTTCCTAGCTTGAAATTGAGAAAAAATGTAAAAAATGTCACGCCCACTAGCAGCCAAACCATAACTAGTTGCATTTTCAAACTTCGCCAGAAATCGTCTATTCTGACCTTCTTTCTAACCTGCGAGTTTCATCAAAAAATATTGGTGGGACCAAGGTCATCTGGGCAAACAAAGGTCAGACTTCCCCCATAGGACCTTTTTCTTAACTCTTTCCGCCCTGTGGCCACTAGGGAGGCCTCTTTTTGCAAGCCCATTATGCGTTCGGCCATGCCCACAATGGGGCTGCCAGCTGATGAGGGACGGGGCCCGACATATCCGAACGGCCCACCCCCAGAAAAATCCCTGGGAATTTTTCGACCCGTTCGGATTCGAGCCCGGGTCCCCCAGAGCGGTAGACTGCCAACTTGACCGCTCGGTCATCCGGCCGCTCCCCCATAGGACCAATGTTAAGAAATTTGGCCTTTTTCCATTTTGTGGAAAATTGTACGCATCGATTTTTATTTTACTTTAGTACTCGTAGGGGGTAACTATGGGCTATCGATTGAGCCCATTTTGAATCCGGTCTCAATCACAATGTCTTGTGTCTTCTCAACCTTTTAACGCATAATTACATAATAATTATACACAGCGACAACTTTTCAGAAATTTAATCCTCTGCATTGTCTGTCCGATGCTACGAATTTATTGCCTGTATACATCCGCCCCCTGGAGGGGTTTTTATACTTTATTTTTGTATTTTCTGTACTATACTCGACGCTACTTGATATAGTCAAACACACCACTTCAATAATCGAGTAAGCGTGCCAACATCTTCAGGATCGAAAGGTACATCATTTTAGTTTTGTTACCAGGAAAATATTTATTGTATTTACAAGCATAAATCAATTATTTAATTTTAATGTGTATTCAGGACTGTATTAAATACTTTTGATGAGTTGGCACAATATCTTTAGCCCATGAAACCGCTGAACAGATAGTCAGTCCATGGTTTCAATAGGCTACGTGGAGTTTACCGAATTATCATTCACAGGACTAACTAGGGACCAACTTTCCATAAAAAGTTCTCCTGTTAGGTAACCCTTTTGGCAAATCGCCCATGTAATGTAATGCCTTATTCTATCAAACCAATTCAATTTCCTTACAGGATATGAATGTAGAACGAAAATATTAATAAAGAGCAGTAAAGTGAGACCTCTAAGAAGGCGAGGCCCCAGCCAGTCCACGAGTTAATTAGGTCATGTGTATATTTTATTTAAAGAAAACAAAAACCAAAAATGTGAATATTCGTTCATTTTATTTACACAGCCATTTTACGAGGTGAAAGTTCCCAGCAGTTGTCTGTCAGATGGACATTTGGTAAATGGACAATTAATACTGTCAATGCTCGAAGTATTCGGCTTCTAATATTTTCTATATATGTATATATAAATGTATCTTCTTTACATTGAAGACATTTTAAAAATTGTAAAAAAAAATGAGGCTAAAAGAAAGATGATTTTGTTTGAAAATCAAACATTTATAAATGATTAAATGATATTTTAGAGACATAAATGGTTATCAAATACAGTTATTCAAACCTTAACCCGATGGTAAAAAAATAATTGTTATTTCTGTAATATCACGTAGATTATCGATTTAGATGATGCGAATTATCAGTGATTTTTTTTCAAGTAAAACGTACGGAATTATGTTTATGTAAAAAAATTTTACAGTGCATAGTGCTGGTATAAAACGTAAAAAATAATAAAAAATTCTTTAAAAATTCCCAGATATCAATTGGGACAAAAACATATATAATGGTCATCACAATTTACCATCTGAATTATTTCATTTTCCTGATGGTCTAAATTGCTGGGGCCTAAAATTTGGTTGCTCTTGTGTTCCTTGAGCTTGTCTTGCTTGATTTTGTTGCGGTTGTTGTTGTTGCTGCTGTCCACTTCTTGGAGGGGGTGCAGCTACGTTTTCTTCTTCGTCATCGGGTTGAGGAGATGTCGGTGGTGGCTCGCTGTAAAATGATCAAAAAGTTCGGAATAATGCCAAAATTATTATCAATTAATATATGTGTTTTAAGTAAATCTTACCATCCTGGAACATTGTCGGCCAATTCGCAACGAGCACTAGTAGGGTTGAATGCCAAACCTGCTGGACAACGTTGAAGTCTTGGATATCCTCCTACACATAACCAAAACCTCACGCATGATTTTTCGATGGCCACGTGTCCATTACCGGTATCCTTACATATTGCTGTAAACAGAAAATGTAAATAATTATATCAATCAGATTATCAGGGTGTGGTTAATGAGTCATCAACCCGTTATTTTGTAATCCTATTGTTCCAATGATTTCATGCTCGAGTGAATGCCATTACGCAAACAGGAAGTAAATTTTTATTACTGAAATTTTTTTTATATTCTCATACTTACGGTGCTTTTGACAATCGGGAACGTTATCCGGCCAATCGCAAGAGTGCAGAACGTCATTGTAAAGTAGAGAAAATGGACATTGCTGAATGGTTGCTGTACCGTTCCAACATTGCCAATACCTGGTGCAACTTGTCTGATGAGGGAAAACACCGTATAACCAGTTGCAATTATCGCTTCCGGATGGAGTTTCTAATTAAAAACACAATAGGGTATAAAAATTTTACAATATTAAAATATTTAATGGGTTTCGAAATGATACTTACGACCCATGGTTCTTCCGTCATTATCAGGACAATGCACTCTATGAGGGTAATCGCAGTTACTTAACAATCCTCTGCCCTTTCCGGAAAATGCCAAACCATTTGGGCATGCTTGCAATGTTGCCACTCCATCAATACATTCATAATAATAATCGCAATATTGATCGTGTGGATAAAGGCCGTAATCCTTTTTGCAAATGTTATCCTTTGGTTTCTGTTGAGCCCATCCTGACAGAATCATGAATACATAAAATCATATCAGGAAAATCAATTTAAAAAAAATAATATTATTATTATATAGATAATTCTTTATATCTATGATTAGGTTACTACCTTGTATAATTATATTTCGAGAATATTCATTCTCAAGCTATGAAACTTGCTAAAAATGCGCTCTAAGTTCTAAAAATAATTCATGTAAATAATTCAAATTTGTCATTTCATAATAAAAATAATTACTGAATAAATTTAATAAATTTACTTTTTTTTCATTGTCTCATACGAAAAACAAGAGTTGATTGAAAAACATGTTTAACTTGTTTGCCTAAATTAAGGTTGCATTTTTATCATACTTAGCATGTTTGTAAATTTTTCGGATTATTAAATGATGATTTGAAAAATATGTTAAAACATTTTTAATCATTACAACTTTTTGTATAATATTTCAATTTATTAATTCCAAATTTAGCTACTTTTTCTGAAATTGCAAAGCGGTAAAGCTGTACGTACCCGTCTTCTTAAGTTTATTTAACATATATCAATTTCTTCTGTTTAAAATTTAAAATTGTTAAGATAGTATTTCCGTTAATTTACCCAGAACACATCTTAATTTCCATAAATTACCTAAAAATAACTTTTAGTAAACAAGTAACGGGTGATTTCCTCTTTACAAGATACTCATTAGGAGCTATATGTCAACTTTCAAACATGTTAAGTATTACTAGTTTCTACGTTTAAGGAAATAATACGACTATGACAAAACTATTACACCATTCACTGAACTCTTATCCTTAATATCTTCCAAAATTATACATAAATTATTTATCTTTTTTTATAATCGTAACAGTTAGAACTGGATGTAATTTAGCGTATAAGAGGAAGGCGCTTCTAGCACCAAAACAGGAATCTTATCTGTAAAAAATCAATTACAAAGATATAATAAGCTTAAGAAACATCAAAAATTTACTTTCCATATTAATATTTTGGTAACTAGTTAGTTAAAGGAAATCTTTCACCGGATTTAACACATAAGGACGTTGATCTATCCAGTTTACTTTTTGGGTATTAAAATAACCGTTCTGTGGCTTCTGTTGCACAATTTTTAGTCCCTGAGGCAACTTTCTACATATTTCAAACAGGAAAATTGTTTTTTCTTATTCGGTTAATGCAAATTTCTATTCACAAATTGATACTAAAGTTAGATATTTGTTGTTTCGTCTGTAGATTCATGCCTCATGCTGTATAAATATTTTTAGAATATCGACTCGGTTGTATACCTCGTTATCGGCCTCATGGCAAGGCCTTCCTCGTTGACCCGCATTCTTCTATCATGGATAGTTATGATTAACTCGAAAAACCGGATAATTTTTGTATATCTTTTTATTTTCTTGGGTAACTCCCAGATTGACGATCCATTCTTCTGATTAGGATCGCTAAAGATTTACGATCTCGTAAAAAAAGAATAATAATATTATATAAAAATATTCCAAATGGTTCTATCAGATTAAAGGGAACAGAAAATCTAATTATCACATGATACATTAATTATTAAAAAAGAAAATTTGTGGGTCACGTATCGAACTAGTTTTCAAAATCGAAAGATTGCCAAGAGATAAGTGTTACTTAAAGAAAAAGACCTAAATTTCCTGTAGACTGCTTCAATTTCTATACGAAAAAAATTCCAATAAAGTCATAAAATTCTGTTTTTAATGTCGTAATTTAGTAAAAAAAACACAGTATTTTCTGTGCATAACACATCTTAAGTTATGGCACATGTGTTAATTTCTACAAATGGTACAGACAAGTTTACAATGGGCACAACTATTTCCAGCGTATCAGAGCAAAGAATAACCTTGTAAAATCCTAATGTTTGTTCAAAATATAAATTTTATCTCACACAGATGCTACTACAGTAATAAAAAATTCAGAAAAATGTCAAAAAAGTATATTTATATGTACTCACCCACTGTTAAGATAGTGAATAAAACAATCCAGGTAATCATATTAAATAGTAAACCTAGTTCCAAGAGCTTAGGAGACACACTGAGATTTCAAATATGCTTGAGTTCTTTTTGTGTCTTGGGAACGTCGCCGGGCGAAACGGTTTTTGATTGGACGATTCGAATCTACATGCGCGCGTGCTCAATTATTCACCCTCGTTCCAAATAACGGTCCGGTTTTTCAGTTAAAAGAGATTCTATGAATCGAAACGGTAACATTCTCATACATTTGTATCTATAACTATACAAATACGTATATACACATATATATATATATAAACATACATATATTTATGGATACATAAAATGAATTGTTAAGTTCTACCGAGTTAATCTTTAATTTATATATGACCTAGTTAAATGTTTTGATCTGATGATGCGACCTCGAAATTGGGTTAGTGTCACATGCTTTTATGTACCCGAACTTCTAGATGTGTAATTTATTCCGGAAATTTTTCAAATTAGTTTTATCGAACGATTCTTTGGTTAAAAAAACATTTAAAAAAGAAAAGAGTGTATTGTCCAGGCGCGTTTATAGAGGGGTGCAGGAAATGCGCCATATTACTCCAATAATATAATGTAAAGAAACCATTTTGTTACATAAAACTGTTTCCTGATGTTCTAAAAATTTTATTGTTATTTTTTTACACGAAATTCGTGGACATTATCATTTAAACATGAAATTGTGCAAGTTCTAGATGTTCACAGCACAAAGTTCAGTTCCTTACTTAACACAGTATTAATTTATTTTATAATTATAATNTATAGAAAAAATTTTTTTTTGTCATTTTTAACTTAATTTCTTTATCATTTTAAAGATCTTTCTCCTCCATAATTTGTTTTAATCGCTAAATTAATTTCTTATTATTTAATCAATTATTTAATTATTTTAATGCAATTGACTATTATTATTTTAAATACGTTTTAAATATTTTCTTAATTATTTTCATTTTATTTTTGATTTTTTTCATAGAATTTCTTCAAGACGACCTTCAAAAGTTGGGTAGAACATCAGTGGCCTGAAGTAGCAGACGTCTACGCCTAAGAAAGGGTTGTACATATATTTAATTTAAAGAAAAACGTAATTCGAAAGCTTAATTTTATTTATATTCATGTACATGTTAATAAATATGAATTAAATTTACTAAAATTTTCATTTATTATGTGATATCTCTTTAATTATTTTAATTAACTTGTCTTGCAAAAACTCAACTCCTCATTGTCGTAAGACGTGAGATGAATACAAAAAATTTTCTTTACTATCAGGAATTTATATGCTCTACATGACGAAATTTTGACCATGATTAGAATGATAGATCATGAAATATTACACTAGTAAATATCAGATGTAGATCTATAAATAGAATTGATCTATGGCTTCAAAATGCCGAACTAAAAATAATTCCAGACACGAAACTATTGAACAGAAGCATTATAAATAAGCTCCTTTATCCGAAGAATAGATGTTTAATGAAGCAAACGACATTGTACTGATATAATCTTTTAGAAAAATACAAAAAAAATGATGTTTTTGTAAGAACAAGAACGTGTTTAACCATGCGGTATCAAAATTCTAATCGAGTATAATACATTTACTGTTAAATACGTTTATAAAACTGACGAATAAATTGTACGATTTGCATATTTGTACAGTTACATACGTCTTTTCGTGTGATGTAGACTGATAAAAGAATTATATATTTAAGAGTAATATGGCGTTCTGGATGACAACTTAAGTAAACAGGTTGATTACACAATGGTCAGGAAACGAGATAAGCGAATGGTTCTCAATGACAACTGATGCAGAAACGGAGAGGGACACTTCCGAGTCACTTGGGACTATTAATTTCCAGGTAATCAGGAAATAATCAAAAACGATGAAGATTTCCTTTTAAGACGTAAATCAATCAGTCGGCACCATCTTTTCCTCCAGCACATAATTAAAACTTTCACGAGTATCTCCTCTTCGTGGCATGTAACCAATCTCTACGACAGGACCAAAGTTAAAGAGGGAGATGACATTACTTTCCTTACTTCAAAATAAGATTATTATTATTATTATTTTTTTTTTTTAAGTTAAAAGTTTCGTGTAAAGTGGAAGCGATTTTTCACAACTTCCTCAGAATCGTGCACCTGGATCGTTATCAGATGGCCGAACTGAACTAGAGATTGTTGGATCGTTACACCCACATAGCGCAGAAAATTAGTAAATATCACGATTGCGTACAAGGACGTGTAATATTTTATTCATATTTTCACGAATTTTACTTAGAAAATCTCCATTGATAATAGTTTTTATGAAAGAAGTGGGCTCGATCGTTTCTATGTGGCGAGATCCGAGCGAACTTTTTATTCTTATTCCGATCCACTCGACACCTATTTCTAAGAAAGTGGAAAGAATCCGAACGGAACGGATTCGAGAGTATATTTACCATAACCAACAATTCAATTGTCACAATTTAACTTTTGGGTGTGATGCCAACTATCTCGGGATGTCAGAAATCCACCTCTAAAGGGTGGAATTGCAGTTTGCTAATTACACGGGGCTGTCTTTCCAGTCAATAACCTGTTGTTTAGAGGAGAAAACGGAACAGTGGGTCAACTGGGTTCGACGACTCCGGTGACGCCTATTGCTTGGGGTGGATATCTCTTAAATTAAACTATTGAGAGCCATCTTCAACAGAGACATGCAGTCTATCCAATAATATTCAAAAATTCCAACATCCTATATTAATTAATCTATGTATACGAATTTAATCACTTTTCTGAAGGTCCCAACGCTTTTCAAACCGAAAAACTTCGCAAAATTTCTCGATTTCACATGGATAGATCAACTTTCCTTTATTGTAAATTTACTATACTCGTTCTTGTTATCCTTATTATTTAAAAAAAAAACTATGTTTTTGTTTTGTTTTTATTAGTAAAAGCGGTGATTAAATTATTCTGACAAATTATATTTTTCTACATTTCGACTTATGGAGACAGTCAGTGTCAGACTCCGTATTTATATCGAATTAAAAATAAACTTGTATTTATAAATCTTTTTTTCGTCTTCCTTTCGTTTTTCCTTCTTTAGTCGGTCCTTGAACTTTTACAGTCTTTGGGCAAAAACGAAATGAGGTCAGTCTTTGCTTTCTCACAAGTGAAAGCTCTACTGAGTCGTCCTCTTAGATATGACATTTAATTAGATGGAAAAATTGGTGTTTCTTAGGTCACAGGATCCAATTTTTTTGTGTTTTTAACCATTAAAACACTCCTTTATGCAAGAAGTAATTTGATATTATATTGTAAAGTTAAGTTTGCCATTGTTCGAAAGCTGTTTCAGTTACTTTACAAACAATGCTACTCCCAACAATTTCCATTTCTTAAGTTAAATATTTTCTAAGAATTTACGCTTGTAATTCACAGTAAAAACTGATTACATATTAACAAAGTAATCATTATTTATTTAATTTTTTATAATGGATTTAGGATGTGTAAAAATATAAATTAAGCAGAAATTTAGGATCGTAAATTTGGACTTCACGTAAATATCAAAAAATTCTTTATTTTTAATTTTTATTTCTTGTCCATTTTAGTGCCCGAGGCACATTTTTTTAAGTGTAGAAATGGAATTTTGTCGAATCTTTCCGCGTATTCTGCCAATTTGCCAAAGGGATTTGACCCTAAGAAGATAGTCATTGCAGATAATGCATATTTTAGAAAGCTTCAATTAAAAAAAATAAAAATAAAATAAAATAGAAATTTCAATCAGGTTAAATTTTTCGCATTTTACTTTATTGATACAATCGGAGATAATAAAAAGATAATTAAAAAAGCATTTATTCACGATTAAAAAAAATGCATGCGATTAGTCATGCTTTGTAAATTTTTATCTCTGTATTTTAATGAATAATCTACTTGTATGTTATATCACGACCAATTATAATTATTTTTTACTATAAATTTTTTAAAAACTTACTGAATTTTTTAATATTTCTCTCATTGTGGACCTGGCCAAATCCGTAATAGGTATGATTAAAGGCCCTATTAATGCTCACATACTTTAATACAGTAAATCACAATTACTTTATAAGATTTAGAGCCCCACGTATTCACAAAGATGTCTCGTAAGTTTGGAACCATAGGAGTTACATTAATTTTTGTTTATTATTTTAGGGAGTAAAGCATGGCGCAAGTAAGGACTTGTGGTGAGTATGGAGTTAAGTAAGTGTTGAGTTGAATTTTAGTCTTTTTGGTGGTAGGACCCGCAGTCAGCACGAAGAGCTTAACAGGTTCCGAATCTATGGTGCATCCTATATTTACCATTAACTAAAGAGATAGACTTTGTGGATTTTGCATTCAATATATTAAAATTACGTAAATGGAGTCAGTACTTTATGTAAATGAAGATATCTTAAAATAGCTTTGCTTTATGTCTTACAAATATTTAAATTTGTACTATTAACATATACGTGATATCACATATCTGCTTAATCTTCATATTAAGGTGTCTGTAAATACTTGTATCATAAACATAGACCCTTTTCAATACGATCTAATTGGTACCTGAAATATCGTCGTAAAACGAGACATATCATTTACCATAAGCGGAATGGAGTAAGTCGAGATTAATTCCCAAAAATACAGGTTGTTTTAATACTGAGAAAGCCAACACCACTAATAATAGAAAATTTGTATCGGTCGTAATAACTGGAATGTTAAAAAGTGTGCAGTCGTAGAGAGTGGTGTAGTGAACAACTGTACTTTCCTTAAATTAGCTACAAATATTCAAAGAATCTTGCCTTAATTTCTTAAAATNAGCAATTATTTATTGTGACATCGTCACAATGCCGGGCTGCAATTTTTAATCACATTTTTTATTTATATAATTTAAAATATATGCTCTCCACTTCAAATTAGTAGTTTCTTGCCTCCGTGTATCATACTTTCCTGCTAGCAATAGAGTCGTGCCAGTTATTCATCTAATTCCTTCCAGGGGAAATTTTTGAATTGAAATAATGTGACTTTCGATGCAAGTCGGAAGTTCGTATATAGTTAATCTGGGCCGTTTGCCTCTAAGGTTTTCGTACCTCTTCTCGGATTTCACCTATCTAACTTCATTCTCGAGATTAAAGAAGGAAGGACGGACAGACATACAGACGACAGTGAGAATTTATAGGTCTATAATTTTTTTAATTTTTATAAATTGTAGCCCAAAATGGAGAGTTTGGAATTTTTAAATGTAAACACCTGAATAAAATATAAACATGTTTTAATATACAGTGTAACTGAATTTTAAATGTTCTGATCCATATTTCATGCGTGACAATTCTAATTGAATGTTCCCTTTTTAATAATGCCTAATAGAGCTACTGTATTGTTATTGGTCGTTAAACCATTTTAGCCTATTTCAATTAAATTATATTTTTAAACAGTAACAAATAAAAAAGAAATTATTGTTTTACGTTAAAGAACAATTTGGTCAATATTTATTTATTTTTTTTTTATTACTACAAAATAATATTCTTGAAATTTTCTTTTACATTATAATATAATTGACACATAATATTTATTTTAAAGCATTACATATATAAATATTTTAAATAATTAGCGATTGATTTTAGTTTTAAAAATATTTAAAATACCAATTTTCGAATAACAATAGTAATTTGTATTTAATGATGGGGTTTGTCGTAACAATACGAAAGTAGTCGTTACGACGTGTTACAAGTGGTGGGAGTGTTTACAAAAATGTTACTTGATGCTAGAGTGTTTAAATCGACTGATGATGTTTGTTAGATATGTACCGGTTAAGTTATAGGTAGTTTTTTTTCGCCAAATGGAGACATTTTCTCAGATTTGGCTATAACTTTCGTTGTCTAATTCGTCAACAAAAGAAAAAATAATAACGAACACGAAAGAAAGAAGTGTTGCATACCGAGCCGTTCTATTTATGTCAAACCGTTCTATTTACGTTATACGTGTAATTAATAAAGTCATGTAGCGTTCGGTACCCCGAGCTGTGTATTATTTCTTAGTACAATTAAGGGATACCCGTTGCGTAGTTTTGGGAGTGATATGTGCAACAGAATTAAGGAGCATTACGGGGTAGAATTGAAGTTAAAAAGTATAGAAATGGCGTAATTTATGGACGATCCCGAATATAAAAGATTAATATTTATCTGAGACGTGTCATATGATTGTAACGCTCGAATAAACTCCAATTATATTAGATATTAGCTTTATCCGATATGAAAAGCGGGTAATCTTTTATCCTTTGTTTAGCCATTTTTATTCATTTATTGTATTTAGTGTGTATTTTGATTTCTATTTTAAGTATTTTTTTAAATAAAATATGACCAGAAATTAATTCTGTAAAAGCTCCTGACCAAATCATATTCCTGGATCAAAATGTTGTTGACCATTTCGTGAGAAAATTGACGTCGTTAAAACTATAAAACTTGACATAATTTTTTAGATTATTTTTTTGTAGGGCTACAACCTGTTACATCTTTATTAAATATTACTTACAAGCCAAAATTCTTCTAGATCATAGTAAAATAGGCCAATTAGTAAAGCTCTTGTTGATCTCTCTTCCTTCAGATAAGTCTAAGCTATGAAAATAACATTAGAATCTATGTTTTCAGGTTACTTTTTTCTTCTTTAAAGGGTAAATATTATATATTTATAGCCTGAATTGTGTAGAATTTCTATTAATACTGCTTAGGAAATGAAAGGCTTCCTTATCTTAAATATTCTTGTACAGAGAAGAGGAGAAATAAAAATACAAAACAAATAATTCAACATGATTTTTATTAAACTTTTTAACCTTTAGAAACATTTACATAACGAATAACAATTTAATAAGTAAATAAATTGAATAAATTCGTAAACATGTTTAAAACATAAACATAAATTCATTAATTTCTTTATACAATAGTTTCTTTGATGTGCGCTTTTTCTAGACATTTTAATGATGTGGTGGTTTGCTGTGGGGAAAAATGAAGAAATAATTAAATATATTATAATTTTATATAAAAATCAATCATAAGCTTAATAATCAAGTAAATACGCCACTTATAATAAACATAGACTTATATAAAATAATTCCATTTTAAAGTAAGAAGATATTTAACTAATTAAACTAAAATTTTAGTTAAAAACTTAATTTTTGTAAAGCCAGGAGCTTGAACACATGATCTGACCAATAAAATTGGTTCCTGCGTACAGTCAAACCCCTAGACCAGTGGTTTTTAACCTTTTTATACTAGCGGCCCACCAAATATTTCATAATTTTTTAATGACCTCCATTTTTTAATAATAATTTATATTTGTTAAATTATCTAAAATAAATTGATAGTTTTTTATTGCTTTATTTTTTATATAATAAATGTAAAACATAGCTATTATTTCATTATCTATTTAAATAACATTCAAACTTCACAATTAAACATAAAAACTCATTAATTTTTAACAAAAAATAAAATAAGAAACATTTAAAAATTCATAGAAAAAACAAAAAAATATTCGAAAATAATTTAATGAGATTTCTGCTGCTGAATATCCTCAACTAATTCTTGGTTCAATTGTATGTAATGCTATCCGCATGCAGACATCTAATTGCAATCGATTGCATTTTTTTGTTTTTATATCCACCATAGTTGAAAACCCCTTTTCACTCAAATATGCATAAATTTTGCATAATTTCGCGGCCCTCGGCAAACTTTTTATGTTAAGAAACACTGCTCTAGACAACAGCCACTGACAGGAACATAAAAGTGAAGGTGGCCGGAGGTTATTTTCTATTGTTTTTGTTCAAAAATTGCCTAAAAATATATATGTTACCATTTTAAGGTTACACATATTCATAAGAAGAATATGCACATAAGTATATATGACTCTAACTGGTCACGTGTACTCATAAAAATCACGTCTTTATGATTATAATTGTCACGTGTAATCATAGGTAGATGTATACACCGCTTTTACGGTATCAGTTGCTCATAAGATTCATATATATGAATACATTTACACGCTTATGAGATCAGTAAAAAGACGAAAATAATCATTCATAATTAATTCTCCATCTTCTCTTAATTATCATTTACAGTGTGATCATGTTTAAGTTGAATTTATTAATTTAATTTGTATAGATTTTTCTTACCAGTCTGGGACGTTCTTTATAGAGTCGCATGTGTAGGTGGCAGGGTTGAAAGCAGAACCATATCCACAATTTAGAAGTCTTGGTTTTTCGTTGACACAAACAATTAATTTGGTACAGTCGTGAGGATGAGGATATCTTGGAAATGGATAGAATTTGGTGGACAAACCTGTGATTTTCTCTGGGCATTTGAAACCGACGATATCTGTAAATATTTTCTATTATTAATACGCGTCACAGTAATTTAACATTTAACCTTAAATTGAACGAATTTTAGGTAAATTAATATAATCTTTGACATACAAGTTACTAGGTTTTAAAGTTCCTTACTTATTTTGTAGTTATTATTATTATGTTATGAAAAAAATAGAAAACTCTAGCATAATGAAATTTTTTAAAATATGAGGACATGCAAAATTTAGGCTGTGTGAGGCCATTTGTGAATATTCTTCTATATAAGTTTATGTAATGTGAAACCAATATCTTTCTTATTTCTCTCTCTCTCTCTCTCTCTCTCTCCTCTTACACGCTATTTGCTCAGAATCGTAGAAAAAGCTGGATTTTCTAGTCAAGCACTAGAAATTCATCATTTTCTACAATCCTAGGCAATTATCGTATAAGAGAAGTGAGAGATTACTGCTCTAAATTCTAGTTGGATGGATTTCTAATTCAGTGCCACGAATCCAATATTATCTATTAATAATATCGTAAATAAATATCACGTGAAAGTGGCTTCACATTATGTAAATTTATATAAAAGAAGCCTCATAAATTTAGTGCTAACTTGATCCTAGTTAGATGCAGTCAGTACCAAAATACTTAGTTAAAATCCTAAATAAATATCGCGTGATACGGGCCTCATATGTAAACTTATATAAAAGAGGCCTCAAAAAATTTACTTTCGCCTAAGGCCTGGCACAAACTGAAATTATTATTAGTGTATTCGCATTTTAAGTCTGCACGAAATGTATAAGGTGATATTTGTATCACACAATGCATTCATTGTATTTATAAATAGAAATTAATATATAAAGAGTAAGCTGTAATTAATTTTTTGTCTTTTGTGTGTATCTAAAAATATAAAAATTAAATTTTAAGTTTTTAAACGGATTAATATTAGTAATTTAAAATGCGGATTAATATTAGTAATTTAAAAAGTAATTTAAAATAAAGGTTTGTTTGTGCACGTTGAATATGACTTATAGTTCATATGTACTGTACTTTCTTCTATGTGCCCTATATGACCTACTATGTGTCTACACGTTTTTCTATTTGTCATTAATTTCGTGTCAATATTTTGATTTTTTTTATATTGATTTGATTTGATACATAAGTCATACATGGAAAATATATACCATATACAAAATTCTCAAACCTGCTGTTCATGTACAGTGCGGCTCAAAAGTCAGTTAACTAACAGCTTAAGTGCTCGATCACCTGATCGAATCTTATGAATATGTAGCTGACTGGCTGAAAACCTGTTATAATTTAAAGGTTATAACCTTCAGTTAACTGACTTTTAGTTCCCTCGTATATACATTTATGTAGAAAACAAATTAATTTTTGTAAGAGCGAGTCGAGTTATAAAATATTTATAATTAAATTAAATTTTAATCTTACCTTCACTGTTACAACCGTCTACTGTATCGGGCCAAACACATGTATGAGTGTGAATGTCATAGGCCAGACCAGGTTCACAATAAGTCAAATTAGCGATTCCCCATTCGCATACAAAATAATGAGTACAGCTATCTCGTTTGGCAAATATCCCCCATTGCCATGGGCAGTTGTCACTCTTAATTGGAGGTTCTATAAAGAAACATATATAATAAATTATATCGGTTAAACATACCCATTTATAATGTTAAAACTTTTATATTGTTCTCCTTCATATTGTATGAATAAACATTATAGTATAACGTGTTTAAAAAATAAAGGGAACGGTGGTAAAATTTAGTATAAAACATAAAAACTCGTACTAAAGGCCCTTTCTCAATACCCATTTTCAATTCGATTAGATCATAAGAGATTTTGGCCAAACTCAGGCACTCTTCAGTTAGTAGCCAAAATGGGAAATGACTCGATAGTTAAAAGGCGAGTTTTTGCGCACCAGGCTCCACCTAGCCACAAAATTCGAAGCAATCCGAACTCGAACCGGGACCCGCAAGAGCACAAGAATGCTGACTCTTCATTATATTCGTATTTTTGGTTTTTAGGCTACATGTATTGAGTTATAATCATCTTTCACGCGTGTAAGGGGTGGCGCAAAAGTCAGTTAGCCGAGTTAACCGACTTTCGGTTACCCCGTACGTACGATAAACATTACAGGAGATAATTTGTCCTTGCGTATGAAGTAATCTATAAGCATGAAGGCATTTTACAGTATTTTACTTCAGAATATTGTAAATATGTCACAATTGATTGATTGATTGGTTGATTATCAAGCGTGAAATGTTATAAAGTGAATATTACTGTTCGTATAATTCGTCGAAATTAATTAATATGTTAATTTTATAAGTTTTAATATATTAATATAAGGACAAAAATTTAAATGCCAAACCAGATTTAATAAATTTGACTATTTTATATTAATAATCTCATTCATATTCATGCGTTTATTATATATTAAAATGAAAATTATTTCCCCCCATTCCAACCGGTTCTTACAATAAGAATAATAAAATGTACTTAATTAAAATTAACGTACACAAAATAAATTATACCTTACAAAATTAGACATTTTTCTCTATTTTTTCAATATATTTTCTAAAATTTTTTATGCTAATTAATCTTTTATTTAAATTTTTTATCGAATATGTTTTTACCATGTCCTTAATTATAATTTACAAGTTTACAGTTCAAAGTACTGTACATTAAAATAATCTTCTGTGTTAACTGACTTTTGGGTTGATCCAAAAGTCAGTTAACAGGGGGTATACTTTAAAAGTGTGATTAAAATCGACGATGAGTAGCCGCTTGCTTCACTGGAAGAGACTCTGTTGACTGACTTATGAGACAATTTGTGTATTATATATGGTGGAACCTCGGTACGCCTCTACTTAACGGAGATTTTTACAGACCCTTCAAATAGGGTATCTATTATATTTACCTCTAAATAGCGGGAAAATGTCCCAATAGTGTCCACTATTCGGAGGTTATACTGCATTAACTAATTTAACAGCTTATAATTTTGCTCTTTGTATACGTTTAAACAATCCCCTTGAATCCATTTTATAGTCTATACCCCGTTTTTACGATCGAAATGCGTCGTAAATCGAACTGTAACTTTACATAGTTTCAATGTGATGAAGTAAAGATTTATCCCTACAAATATCTGTATAACACCACGCTAGTGCTTAAATACAAGGAGTCGTATAGTTACAACAAGTCGTAAAATCGGGTGGTCAGTTATATCAAGTGTACACCATATAAAATTCCAGAAAAATTCATTATATCGAGACTCTTTTACATATTATCGATAGAAGTTTATGTACAAACCTCTCTCTTTTCTATCACCGCAATCCACTCTCCATGGGTAATTGCAGAAGTGGAAAATTGGATGTTTGTCATCGAAAACTAATCCGTTTGGGCAGATTTCTCTAGTAAATGTACCATTTTCGCATTTGTAATACTTATCGCATGCTTTCAGATGTGGGTAGACGACGACACCATGTTCAGGACAATTGTTTACAGGTTCAGCTACTTGTTCCTTTGCATGGTGTGGTGGAGGTAATTGAGGTGCACCTGAAAAAATAAATAAATAATTATTTACATGGATTAAAAACATATATTTAAAGTAATTTCTTAAATAATATTACTCTCGCGTTATTTCTTAATACAGTCGAACCTGCCAACAACGGCCATCTCTAATTTTTTTACATGAACTCTTTTTTAACCAAATCATACAAAATAACCTCCAAACAATGGCAATTTTTATCTTCCCGTCAGTGTCCGCTCTTTACAGGTTTGGACGTGTATTAATGCAAGTTAAAAAAGCAATTTTATACTTTATAAACATAATTAAATGCTCAAATTTTAAGATTTTTAAGATTTTTAATGGAAGAAAAATCAAGTTTTAATAATCAAACGATTCAATTTTTACTTAATTAAGTGCAGTCATGCTGAAAATTTCTAATGTTAAACCTGTGTAAAATTTTAAATATTGGATAATGAAAGAGATAAAAATTATTTGTAGACACCGTCCAAGGTTAGTAGTGGACATTTTTCTATCTTTAAAATGCAAGACCGGTTAGTCTAGGTCGAAATTAGGTCAACACGAGAGGGTCTGATAACTGGACCGTAACTAGGACGTTTCCCCCTTTCGAAGGCCTGGCACCTTAAACTAATTTACTACTACGACTGAAAATTATATTGATGTACTCCCGTCTTTTCATATTCTTCCCTCGAATTATATATATAAAAATTGTTGATTTTTCTTTCTTCAAACTTCCTCGTTGATTCCAAATCAATTCGTGTCAATGTGTCATAAGTCTTCTTCTCCTAACCTGTGCTTTGTGTATCTGGAGCATTAAACGTGCTACGGATCCGATATGTCAATTATTAAACGTTAATCAGCGATTAAAATAATTATCATTATCCTTATTTTATAACATAATAAATCCTTTGAAAGGATAATTAAGATTTTATATATTTTTTTGCTATTTTTCTGCAATTGCATCCATTAAAATCTGACGTAATTTGACAGTATATTAACGATGAAGATTTATAGACTATAGGAGATTTCTCTGTTTACCTTAAGGGAATAATTAAATTCCTTACATCTACACATTCTTCTAAGTTTTTCCTCGCATTATTCTTTCACATTTTACTTTATATCATTAGAAAAAAATAGGAGAAATAACCTTAATTTCCTCATTTTTTTTTATTGCAGTTTCGATGTGTTTCTCTCTACCCACTACTGTAAAATTACTTCATTTTAACGAATAAAAGTTTCAAATTTATCTATTTACTATATTAATCTATATAATTTGGTATTTTTAAATATATTTTTCCTGCAATAAATTGTTTGGGATATAAAATTTTTCGTTGTCTCCTTAGTTTCAATAGGAAACGACACATATTTTATTAAGCAGTAACTTACTAAAAATAGTTTAATGATTTTTAAAAATAGAAAATGTTACAAAAACATACGTTAAGGGGTCATAAAATTTGCACGAGATTTACTCCTGAAATATTATAAAAATAGAACTTTTAGTTACGACTGCAACATCCTTTCTGAACACATCTCTAAGGATGGACTCAATGATCATTCAGTGGAAGAATTATCAGATATTTTACAAATGAATTCGATAATTTACGTGAAAGTTAACCTTTTTGCCCTTTCAATTCATCAAATTCTTTAAACTTTCTTTAACATTTTCAACGAAACCTTAATTAAACTTACTTCAACGTATTTAGCTCACTTGTCGCGGGTATAATATCGAGGCCTGTTTATAGAAATAACCTCTATTAATTATAGAATTTTCTGTCATAATATCATCAAAGAAATGGGTTAATCGAAGTACCTCAACTGGTTCTCGATTAAACACATTTCATACGAATGATTCTAATATTTATCCTTATGGCTCACGTACTGCTCCGAAAGGATGTCATAACGATCGCACGAAGGATTTCAGGAAATTGTTTAAATTAGCATTAAAATTACAGAAAAATATTGTTAAAATTGTAGATTTAGAAGGGAATTTTTTAAAATTTCTAACAGAATTTCTTAAATTTCAGTTACTCACATAGGACGCTAGAAAGTAAAACGTGAAGCGTGATGGCAAAGAAAATCATCCTCATCTTCGGGTGCCAATATATCTTTCTTGAGAGATACGCTGGAGAAAGTCAATGCTCGTAGGCGATCGAAAAGAATAAGAGTACGAGTCACGTGTTCGAGTTGGGTGGCGCTGCTATCGGTTGTCAAGACCACTTCCCCAACCCCATTTCGAATTCTAAATCACTCCGATAACAATGAGCAGCATACAACAATATTCACGTTTTTCGCCTCGTGTATCCTGATTATTGAACCGATTTACTTGAAACTTGTCATTCGTGATATTATACACAGAGTCGAAGGTCTTTGCCCCAATCACATGCAATTTTTTTTGAACTAAATTCCAAAATGGGTGTCGACCATACGAGTTTTTGTGGTGGAAAATTCTCATCGAAGCATAAATTTTCCTCTTTCTTCAATACAGGGTTATAAAACCTTAATTTCTCACGGATTTGAAAGGTGTATTTTACACAGCTTGCAGCCTTACGTCTGGATAAAAATTATTAAGATTTGTCTGTAGAAATGAGCAAAATTGGGGTGGAATCGCTTTAATTTGCACGTTTTCTTAGATTTGGTTCAAGTAATAAATTATATAACAATAAAGATATCGGATGATGGAAATTTGAAACCGCACAATGGACCCCACGAATTTGAGGGATTGGAGTTAATCTATGAAAGTTTGAATTCAGAAAGTATATTAAATTCTCGATTAAAGTATTAAATAGCCACTGAGAATTGATGAGTTTGGGTGGAATCGTTAATTTGGTTTATGGAATAAAGCAACGCAACACATGGGCGATCTGCCAAGAGGAGTGCCTTACGGGAGGACTTTCTATGGAAAAACTGCGTCTATTTAGGTGTTAGACACGAAAAGATAATTTGTAAAACTCCACGAGGTCAGGCTCGTCCGTTGGCCAGGTTCGAACCCACGACCAGTTTTATCCATATGGCCATCGATTACTTTTTCAATGGTATTTAATGTTTTCTACTTTACTCAATAACTCGCTTATACATCTCTGAATAAATTTATCTTGAGAAATTTGTACAAAATTATTAATTAATTAAAGACACGTTTGTCAACATTTATAATAATTCCAGTCTAGAGGTCAACCTCTTAGAAAAACTCCAAAATTATTAGGAAAAAAATTTCTGATTGCACTTATCTACATACATATCATTTATGTAAAGATTTTAAAATTTAGTTCATTCCAACCCACAAAAACCTATTTTAAAATAGAGCCCAGTTTCATTAGACTGCCTTTTGCTCATTATAAATTGTAATATTCTAATTTTAATCCCTATTTTATAAAAAAAAAGGAATAAAGAGGTTAACTAAATCATATATATTGTATAGATTTATATGCAGAGCTGGGCTTAAGTCTTCTTGTAGCCTTAAGCTATAACACATATAACGGGATCCTTCCCCTTTACCGTATAATAATAAAGTAAACAGACTATGTGAGGCCATAATATATAGACTCAAGACACGACACCCTAAGCTGCAGCCGGTTTATTTATGTGCAAATCCGGCCCGGTTATATGTCTTTACAGTAAATAACCCATAAACCTAAACAGTATTCGCTATATCTGTTCGTAGCAATGTTTCTTTGCGTTTTATAAATATGAAACTCATTTTTAATTGTTAAACCCACGAAATTTTCCAAGAATGCGGTCTACAAACCCATAAATCTTCCAGTAGATGGCGAAAATCGTACGTTGCTAATTCTGCCTATAGTCATTCAGGGACTTTTGCACAATAAAAATTTATTATAATATTCTATTTTAAATACAATAAATTGAAAAAAATTACATTTCGAATCATTAAAAATCCATTCCGTCTGATGAATTTTTAAAAGATGAAGAAGTGGAATTTACAAATGCATCAGAAAATTGCCGATAATGCACAGTCGATAGAGAAGTTTATTAATAGAACAGAGTTAAACTCGTTTGGTTTCCTTAAATTTCAATTCCTGAACTCACCACAAATAAAAACGACATCGGCATTCAAGGACGACATTCGAATCATGTGATTAAAATGCGTCCATGACCTAAAATTGTAGATTTTAACCTACCGTACCCCTTCACATTTTCTCTCTCCATCTTGCTTCATCGATTAAAAATAGCGACTTACCATTTATGACTTTATACATTAATTGGGAAAAAGTCACAAGAACGTCTCAACTTTATCATTTTATTCTTTTAATTCCACGAAAATTTTATATTATAAACCAATCTTCCATAAATTTCCATGGAAATTTTTATAGTTTAAAAATTATGAACTCGGGCTCGGAGAAAAAATCTCCGAATCCAAAGAAAATTTAGGGGCCTATAGTGGTTCATATCTCCTATAAAATTATTGCTATACTTACTAACAGAAAATAAAACCTTAAGACTGCTTTTTATTAATAAAGGAACATTCACATATGTATTACATTCGTTTAAAAAATAGCTAAAGGGGACCGCTCTGCTCCCTGCCCCATGCAAGTTCTCGACGGCCCTAGTTTCCCTCTCTCTTTGTTCACTTGGAAATACATAAATTGGTTTTATAGATTTTATATACGCGATTTTATTACACAGGTTCGAGCCTAGGCCCCTCTACAGCGCCGGGCCTCATAATTGCAGCCGTGGCTTTACTCCCTTTCATCGACTCTGCACACGAATCACATACTGTTAATGTAAATGTTTAAAATGTACAAGGTTTAAAAAAATTAAGCTACGATATTTTTATAAAATTTTATTCTATATGACCATTATTTCATTTATTAAAAAAATAATAATAAAATTAAAAAAAAATGGATGCTGTATCGGAGAAGAACTTTTAGTATCGCCATCTATCGTCCAGGTCTGGAACGAAAGGAGTCTCCGAATGACCCAGTGTGTTGTCGTGAAGATCCTGTGTTTGAAAATCCGCCACTTCTTGAATGTCCTGTGCTTTGTGAAGATCCAATATTTCTTGAATGTCCTGTGCGTTGTGAAGAACCTACATTTCCTGAAAACCCTGTTTGTCCTGCAGATCCTGCACTTCTTGGTGGTGCTGCTCTATTTAATCTTGGATCATCATCTCGATAGCTATAATAATTTTCACTGTAAAGATTATAAAAAAAAAAAATTAAGAAATTTTTCGTAAAAATTAGTTACAGTAGAGCGTCGATTTTCCGAAAGTCAATCATCCGAAACGTCAATCATCCGAAAGAATTCCGCCAGTGCTGTGGCGCTTTAATCTTTGGCTATGTCTTGGGCTACTCAAATATTTTACGTTTTTGATACTAAATTAACATCTGAAGTATAATTTTTTATTATTTTTATATTTTTCAATATATTTATTTTGTTTGTACAAAATAAAAAAATAATTTTTAACGATACAATAGTCTTTGTTAGGCTCAACATCGACGAAAATTCAACGCGAAGCAACACGCAACGGAGAAAAATTTCGACATCGGATACGTTAAACTATTTTTTCGTACGTAAATCAGTTATCCGAAATATCAGTTATCCGGACAACCCCAGTCCCTAATTGATTCGGAAAATCGACGCTCTACTGTATTTCAATTTATGCATTGGAATTTTCCGCTTGTTAAAAATCAAAATTTAATTTTAATTGAATTGACAATTGAATTAACCTGTAGCTATTTTATTGGTTAAAAATTAGTATAATAATTCAAACTAACCAATGAGCAGCTCGGAAAGCAACAAATCTTATTCGATCCTATACTTATATGAATTACTGGACTAAAAAATTCATGCTTATTTTTTTTTATAAATGATTTGAATAAGTTTTAGAAAATTTTATCAAATTATAAATATTCCTTTGGCTTGGCTCGAATGTTTAAATTAATTAATTAATATAAAATTAGGCTGTTTAATTTAAAAAAGGAAATTAATTAAGTGGATTCATGGTTGATGGTGAGGTTGATGAATAGGGCAACGCAACAGTTGGTCTTCCCAGGAGGACTTTCTAATGGAAATTGGCCCCTATTTATGTTTCAATTAAAAATTAACTTACCATCCAGAAACTTCTTTGTAAAAGTCACATTTGTTCAATGCATAATTAAAAACTGCTGGTTCTTCGCAAGAAAGTAAACGAGGTTTCCATTCATTCTTCTCTGTCAATATGCAAATAAAAAACTTTTTACAATCTCCTGGATGAGGATATCGTAATTGACCGTATTGTCTTATCTCATCTTCTGATGGAACTGGACAAGAAAAACCTAGAAGTGCTAAAAAAACAAATAGAAAAATTAATTTTTCTTACTGTTTAGAAGTGGTTTTAAAACTATAAATGAAAGAAAATCTGACAGATCAATAATTTGAATGTCCATTTTTCAGTAAGGGGAATCTACTTGGCATAATGGGTAGCTTTACAGAAGTTCCATTAAACTTACCTTCTCCATCACAACTTTCTACCTGATCCGGCCAGTCACATCTCGCTGTTAAATCATTCCATGCCAGTCCTTCGGGACATTGAAACGAATAAGATGTACCATCTACACAATTCCAGAAACGTCCGCAATCATGCACATTAGGGTACAAACCCCAAAGATGAGGACAATTTTCGGTGGGTTGAGCTTGCTCTATAGGAATAATTTTATGCGGTAAAACGTTTGATCATGAATTATTATTATTTATGAAAAGTTAATCATTAGTCAATTTCTTATGAGTACTTACGAACTTGTGGTCGATCGCTGCAGTCAACATCGAAAGGATAATCGCAACGAAGATGATTTGGAGAAGAGAGATGATTAAACATCAATCCATCGGGACAAAGATTTTCTGTCATGGTACCATTTTTACACTCGTAATAACGATCACACTGTCTCTCGTGTGGAAAATATCCATTTTTATAATCTCTGCATTGGCAGAAACCTAATCAAATCATGTTTTTTTTCAATTTTTTAGAATTTGCATTGAAGCAGTATTTATAAATAGAATAGAAAATATTATTCACGATTGTAAAACTTCTCATGCAATTGAAGCCATAGTATAGATTTACTACATTTTATAATTTAAAAATTATATATACTTGTTAATTAATTAAAAACTCAACAATGCGCTTCGTTGCGCCATTTTCTCTAAAAGAATTAGAAAAAATTTACTTGTGTGTTTCATAAAGTCTAAAACCATAGGAGTTATGTTAATCTTTGTTTATAAGTAAAGCATGGTACTGAGTAAGGAGAAATAAATTCAAGTTATTTTGATATTGGAGCCAGCGTGAAGTTCTCGAAGAGTTTGACAAATTATGAAATTGTCAAACACCATCACCATTTTTAACTCTCTATCCTGTAGAGTGTAGACAGTAGACAGACTTCAGGGCCAGAACTACAATGGGAACGATCGATTAATGAAAATCAGGATACGAGATCCAGATTAATTAATTTGTTCATGAGAATTTCTAATTTGATTCAGACTTGAATCCAGATCCTTAAGAGCCTCCTCGACTATCCGGTCTTCAAAAATTATCTCTACTAAATATAATTTCATTTCGTAAACCTAATTACTAACTAACCTGCCATTAAATGCGAATTAACTGTAAATAATTATGTGTATATAAACATATTACATATTCACCAACAGTAAAGAACATAAAGTAAATCTTACTAACTACAATATTTTAAATTGTCAGTTTTCTTTGATTCTGTATCTACATAAAGTTTAAATATATCATTAATTGCAGCTGGAAAATATCATTAATCAGGAACAAATAGGAAGAAGAAGATAGAAAATATCATTAATCAGGAACAATTAGGAAGAAGAATATGAAAAAATATCATTAATCGGGAAGAATTAAGAAGACGGAAAATATCATTAATTAGAAATTGTACAGTTTCTAATTAATATTTTCCACCTTCTTTCCATCTTTTCAGAAATATAAAATATTACCATTAACTTAAATAAATACGTTGTAAGAATATTCAGAAAGACTTGAAATCATATTCCTCATATACCAAATATTTTAAACAAATACGTATAGAAAATTTGTACCGAATACTTAATGATTATTAAATTTTGTAATTTTTTAATAGTTAAATAAAATAAATAAATCGAATATCCTTGATTTGTGTTTAAGTCGTATTAGGCTTATGTACTGTAATTTTATACAGATACTACCATGCTGAAATGTACAGTCGATTCCTCAACTATTCTGGAACCAATTGTACAGTACATTTAAAGTAAAAGCCGAATTATTATTATTATTATTATTATTTGCAAATTTTTCTAATGAAATCAATGAGAAAAAACTATAATAAACCTAGGATCGTATGACTTAATTAGTTTCTGAAAAACCGTCGTTAAGCGAGCCGTCGTAAATCGAACGCAAATTTTGCATAGTTTCATATTCATAAAATGACATTACATTCATTGTTATTATATATCCATTGAAATTATTTAAGCTATTATAATTTATCATTTTTAAGTACAGTTTATCATTAAAAGAAAGTGTTCTTTTAATGATAAATAAGATACCCCTGCTTTACGACGGCGCCAAATTTTCTATAACATTTTATGTAACCGTCACATTATTCTATTATTCCTTTATGTGTAATATTTTTAGTTCAAACTGCATATCTAGTAAAGTAACATAATTTATAATACTGAGCCTGCGAAATATTGTAGTTCGACATACGACAGTTTTCAAAAAACCAGTCGTAAAATGGGGTTTACTACGTTTCGAATTTCTAGTGATATGAAAGAACAAATGTAGCACTTCATTAAAACAGGAAGCGTGATGGAAATTTATAATAAGGAAAAGTTAAGGGAGAATCATTAATTTTTCATTGAGTTCACCTATCGTAATTACAAAGGGAAAGAAAAATAGCACAAGGTTATTTGGTTACAACTCGTCTTTTCAATCCCTTAACTAATTACATTCAAACGAGACACGTTTAAACCCCTAAAATTGTCAACTTAAAATATTTTATTTACTCATTTTCATAAATCAAATATATATAAATTATTTATTTTAATATTTATACATTGCTAAAGAATATTCCAAGGATGTGAATTAGCTGATAAACCTTAGCATAAATGACTTTATAAAATTTATAAACATTCAAATAAAAGAAATTTTAATGCTAATTAAATTGAATTTAAATCTGAATTAGTATGCAATTTGCCATCTTTAACCTTAAAAATTCTACTTGTTTAGCTTTATTTAGGTTACGCAATGGTAGAATTTCTCGGGGAATACCCAAATCTTTGAAATTCAATACGAAACAATACATAAATAATGAAAATAAAAGTAAAAATTATAAATTAAATAAGTGCCAAGTCTACTTTAACGAAGATAATTGTACACCTGGTCGGAATAATCAGAATTAATTTGATATTTAAATTATTCATGTCGAGCGCTTCCAATTATTTTAAGCTCTTAAATTGGCATAGAAAATAAAGACATTAAACAACACGTAAGACATATATTTGTGGCTTGCGTGTTGATTGATGTAAATTCTTTAATTAAATAATAATTCTATAATCGTTCGACCAATTTAATTTACACAAAAATAATTTATAATTGTGATCTCTGCGCCTATTGGATAAGACTACTAAACATAGTTAGTCGCAGGTTCGTTCCTCCCCACGTGATATTTTCTGGACTTTTTTTCACTTGATATACAGAAAATTTAATCTTTAATTATTTAGAAAAATTATAATTAATAATTAATCTTAATAAATACTTTAAAAAATCGTTTATGATTTTTGGAGACGGTGCGAGCAATTACATGCGTATCTATGAAGATCGCATTTTATCTCTGCAAGTTATGGAGTTTTTATATTAAATTATTTATGGTTATACAATAAAGGAGTTTTCTAGTCGATAAGTGTATGGCTTCTACTGAGTTCTACCCAACTCCACAACTAATTAATGGATGAACATTTTCATTCAGATCATAAAATTGGAAAACATTTACATTATTTTCCTGTAATTTTATTCATCTCCCATCCATAAAATTTGCATTTAATTAAAGTTTTAACTTGTTCTACCAGAATGAATTATCTAAAGATCACGGTAAGGAAATCACGGTTAAAGGAGGGCCAAAAAAAATTATCAACTGCATCCAGCCTATTTATTAATCAGCAGATGATACAGATACACAATTACTTTATCTGCTATAAATCAGTTTTAAATATTTATATAGTCTTTTTTTTTTAAATTAGTTCTATTTTTGGTTTCATGTTCAACACGTCTCTGACTGCAGCTTTTTTCCTAATTTCTTAATACATTTTTGGGCTTGGAGGATCATGAAACGTCGAAAAATGCAAAAAAGTTTCCTATATATGTGTGATGTTAATGTGTATGGGGGCGTACGGAGCATAATAACTCTTGATTTTGTCGAAAATTTCTGAAATTTTTCAGGGAGGTTTAAATATTAGGGGTATTGATGCTATTAAATTTTGATGGTTAAAGATCGACGAGGTGAGGAGATAAAGGGGGAAGTTATTATCATATCTCGAGTGGATCCGACTTGATTAAGATTTTAATTGTTATTAGCATTTAAATATATTTTTTATATATAAAAATTTGTCTTTATCCTAAAAGTTAATTATTTTAAAGTGGCAAAAAAGTTAATAATATAATGTTTTAACTCTTGCTGGGAAAGTTACGCAACTCGTTGTTGGATTTTTAATATTTTAAACAGTAAATATGCGTATAAATGATATGTAATGCAACTTACGTAAGCAATTCTATATATAGCTACACAATTTATTTTACTTTTTATAGTTTCCGTGCCATATAAAGGTGCGAGTCATTATAAAATTACATTAATTATAATTATTTTACAATATTTAAAACAAAATTTAAAAATTCATATATTAATTGAGGCTAAATTATATTTTTAGGATAACATGACTAGCATTATTAACCTTAATTTTATTTTTATTACAGCCTACGTCATTTTGAATTTTTAAAAATTGTGCTTTTAGAAAAATTATATTGAAGCCATTAAAAATATCATTAATTTTTATATAACTTTAGGCATTATAAGTTGGCCAGAGTTCAAATGAAAGCATTATTAATCATAGGTCGACATGGAGGAGGTGTTCATAAATGACGTATGAATTGAATTATGTATCGAACAATTGTTTCGACTGATTTGCCCTATATTTTAAACACATTAAAATTTTTGCAAAGATATTCGCGATTGAAATGTCTGATAAGATCTTTTATGCAATTCGCTTACGATAATTGTGTTCTTAATATAAAAAATTCCAGTTTGAGAGCATTTCTGGACTTGTTCTGGCCCTAAACTATAGCATACAATAGTCTCTTCCCCTCCATCAAATGACAACATATGTAAAAATGTCAGGCCCTAAGTTATAGCATATAACAGGTTCTTCCTTTCCACAAAATAACAATACACGTAAGATGTAAGGCCTTAAGTTACAGAGGCCCTAAGCTGCAGCTTATAACTTATAGCATATGTGCAAATTCGACCTGCTGGAGAAGTTAAATAATCACCGTTTTAGTACTAAATTTTTGATTATTTCGATAGAAATTACTTCTAAAAATTGTATTTTCTGTATTTTTATTATTAATTGATGTAAATTTCTAATATTTTGCATCAAACTTATGTCATAATGTACAGTTTAGTGAAAAGCTAATAAGAAAAAAATGAATGCATTTGATACTCTTAAGAGCATTTATACTGATAATTAACTATAGACTGAACTAATTAATTAATTATGTCACATGATATCTAATATTACTATCCATATCAGTAGATACGTAAGAAGTCTTTCCCTTTTACCATGTAACAATACGTATTAATTATTTAATGATGGAGGCCCATCGAAATTTTTTCCGTTTTATTCAGGTTCCGTTTTGGATAGGTTTTACTGTATAACTATTTTCTACCCTATTTTATAAAGTTTTTATCGTTTTATTTTCGTCTTTCATGAGTGGAAAATTCTCGTAAATACTTCTGAAGTTCCTCACTGTTGTAGGCCAAAAGATACCTTATAATCCTTCTGTTTTGTGTTATATTTTATTGTTAATAGTCATCATTAAATTATCTGGTGTGTTAATTCCTTCCTCTCTACATTTTCACGTTCTTATTTCCTCATTCATACTTACTTGTAACTCTTATGATACGCGCTCTTTACATAATACACTTTCCATCTTGAATCTTGTTTTCTCTATATTTGTAACTTTAATGAGGCATGACCTCAACATCTCACACTTTTCTGTTATAAATAAATTAAGTACAATTTAAGTACTTAAAATTACATAAGATACAAATGTATAAGGAATGAAAAAGTGTAGAGCACTTATATTTTTGTATTGAAGCAACTTAGAACTTCAGAAAAAAATAATTCAAAGCTGAAATTTTACCCATTTAAAATTAAATTTATGAATAAAAATGTCATTAAAATGTATTTTATAATAATTAATTCTATTTGAAGCCATTAAATTTAAAAATTCTTTTTGTAATGTAGCGTAGGAATGTCCACTTTTCTTCGTGTTCTTATAAAATCCCCGGTACTTAATTAAAAATAAATTATTATTTGATTTTAAAAAGTTAAATTTTATAGAAAAATCTACTAAATGATGTTACTAGTCACGAATTTTAAACATTATTTTATTTTAAAATTGAATTTTAAACATCTCTACACCATTTACAAAACGGGAAATGTCTTACTTCCCAACCTTGGATCAATAAATTAGAGAGTTTAAAGGTGAAGTATGAGAGAAGGAAACATGAAAAATATCATACTATGTCAAGGATGTCGTCCTGATTCACGCAAATCTTCGGGTTTTACTAAATCGTGTTAAAACTTTAACAAGATTCCCATGTTAAAGATTGAGTGCCACTTTCTTTAATATAGGAATCTTTACACAGTAAAGTTATAATTAAACCCCATCAAATTATATATTTTCCCTTATAAATTTTACATCGGAAGAATAACTTTATAACCATAAAAACAAATATTTAAATAAATCGAAATGGAACATTCTAACGCTCTTGGAGAATCCACGACGAAGCTGAAATAAATTTGTGAAGATCCTGTTGAGTCCCAGTTTTATTTTCACGCACAAAACGAGAATTTTTCTAGAAAATGACCCAAAAAAATATATTTTAAATACGTTTACTTACAGGCAGGAAGTGCCGCAAGAAGCACCAAGACTATCGAGGTTGGTACCATAATCACTTGCTTCATAATCCAACTTGCTTAACGAGAAACTGGAAAATTGCTCTTTAACTAAGATATATCTTCTGAATTACTCAGGGAACCGATCTGCAGGTGGAAGGAGGACAAAATTTCAAATCTTCTGATTGGTTAAGCTGTATGCTTTAAGGAACTAATCTATACATTCACTCTCTCTCTCTCTCTCTCTCTCTCTCTCTCTCTCTCTCTCTTTGTTTCTTGATGCAGAGCTCATCCACACTAGATTTGCAAGATAGAGAAACAGGTATTATTTCATAATGATTTTCTATTTTTTGGTTTGTTTGGCATTACGTGTGCAATTATTTATCTAGAAATATGCGATTCTGTAACCTGTTTATTATGTACACGAGCCAATAATACAAAAATACATTTGTCTCAAAATTTTCCAAGAACAGAAAATGCCCGTTCATTTCTTCACCCCCCTCAGAAAAACCGGATCAAATAATAAAAAAAATAAGCTTAAAAAATGATAAATCATGTATAAATGTTGATAAAAATAGAATTTCAAAATTTCCATTCGTAATTTTTGGGTTTTTATACTTATTCGTGTAGTCAATTACGAATTATTACATCATCTAGTTATTGAGGTTGTCTAGAAAAGCCACCTGTTTAGTAAGAAAATTAAAAAAAAATTGGGGTCAGAAATACTAACGGGAAAATTTCGTTGTTGTCAAGGATGACCTATAACCTAGGGGGTCACTAGACGAGTGAGATGGAAACCGGTCCATCGGCTTAAATAGCTCTCTATCTTCTCCTCTGCGAAAACTCTGTAAATCAAATTTTAGTGTATAAGTTTAGGGAGAAAACCTGTTTGTAATGTTTGATACGTTTTCAAACTGTTCAAACTCTTTAAATTTCTATTTAAACTGTTCAAAGTATTCGCCAAACTTCCTCTTCTAACTGTTCAAGGAATTCTCCAAACTTTCAAATTCCTCTTCTAACTGTTCATGTATTCATTTAAATTAGCCAAAATATTATTTAAATTATCTCATTTCTGTTTAAACTGCAAATTCTTTACTAAAGTTCCATATAAACCGGCCAAAATGTCCTTCAAAATTTCTGCCTAAACTGTGAAAAATACTTTAAATTTCAATTCAAACTATTCAAACTTTTCTTCCTGATTAAAAGTTTAAAATTGTTGAACATTAAACTGTTCAAAACAAAATAATTTAAATTTAAGTTTCATTAAAATGCAATAAAATTTCAAAAACTCGAGCTCGTATGTAAATTTCTTCAACGTTCAAATAATAATTTTACGGTCATTGAATATAATTTACTTGAGAATGAATCGGCAATGCTTACTTTCACAAAATGCATAAAATATTTAAAATTTTATAATAAAATACAGTAATATAATTTTGGGCATCTTTCTGTTGTTAATTTAAGTATATCACATTTTGAATTTTTTTTTTAAATTTAATTTTAAATAAAACGCCTGTAAAATTTAATATTTAAAAAATAAATACACAAGCCAATTAATTTTCTTTTTAACATTAATGAAGACGCAAAAATGTAATTTTAAAAGGAGAAATTAAATTAATTATAATTAACTTTCGCTTTCCTTTCTAAGACGAATTGCGTTAGTACGTTGCAAAACGTGTGTAATAAAATTTTAACGGCGTAAAACTTGGTTAGAACAGTAAACATTTTACTAGAAAAAGTAATAAATTAAACAGTGAAAGTTAACGTTAAAAATAAAAGAAAAAGTTACCTTAATTTACAAGAAAATGATCCTTAAGTTTTCATGTCATCGGAGATACCGGAATTAATATGTTGCAGTTGTTTAGTGATCCTACATTTTGGCCTTGACTCTGAAGTTGTGCAAGCGTGAAAGATGCAAATTGCCGTGTTGAAAATTTCCAAGAAATAATAATGACGATACGAACTGGCAAGTTTGAACAATAAACCATATTTAGTCATAAACCAAAAATTTCTCCATCGAAAATTGTAACTTAGACACGTGATGTAAGAAGAAATATTGTTAATCTAACACTTATAAAATTTATTTATGGTGAATTTTTGTGCTAAATTTTAATATTTTGAGTGTTTTTTTAGCTTATTTATACACTAAATTTTCGTAAAATCGATTTGGTATGAAGTTTTCTTGAAGAAACGACAGTCAATAAGAAGGCTCTAGCCTACGGGAAACTTCTATGGTAGAAGTCTTTCCATGATGAGAATACGTCATATATTCAATTTTATGCATACTAAATTTTAACATTTCGAAAGTTTTTAAGGCTTATTAATACTTAGAATCGATTCAGTACGAGGAGCCTTCTTGAAGATCGTAGGAAGGTGCAATAGACGTCTTCTCTGGTAGAAGTCTTCCTACAATAAGAAGACATCAAATATGGAATTTTATGTAGTTATGATTAATTTAATTAATAGAAAATTAACACTAGTTACATGAAGACACGACAGAAAGACTTTTAGTATCAGTATACAAGTTCAACATGTTTTTATAAACTCTTTATCCATATTAATATACGCAAATTTTAAAAATATATATGCGAAAAAATGCCTCATCGAGTTTATTATAAACAGTTGGATTATTGTTTTACGTTTATATAGAACTGAACACTAATATTCTGTCATGTAACAGAAGTGAATGTCATGTAAAGTATGAATAAAACCACAAAAATTCAGGTCATCGGGAGTACAAAATTGTATTATAATTAAGGAAAACGTATTAAAATTCAGTTTAAAATAAATATAAAAATGATAAAACAGTTTATTTTTTAAAATTAATTTTAAATATATTTATGCTTGACTTTAATGAATTATTTTCATTATGTAATTATAGCAGAATATACGCCCTAGTTCGATTTTTAAGTGAAATTTCGTATAAATTATCAATACGAAAAATGGATCATTTAACTTATTACATTATTTAACAGAGATATTATATTCAATTTTGCTAGCTTTTTTATTTGTATTTGTACACGACAACACGACACGGACTATCTGTCGAGGGGATGCCTTCCGAGAAGATTTTCTATGAGAAATTGGCCCCTAATTAGGTGTTACAAACGTGGAAAAACCGAAAAAATTCAGCTAGTTGGTGAGACGCGAACCTATAACCAACTACCAGTGTTCAGTGGTTTCAGTCAGGGCTCTGGAGTCGCGTAAAAATCTACCGACTCCAACTCCGACTTTTCCTTATCATCCGACTCCGACTCCGACTCAACAGCCCTGCCAGGGCTGTGGAAGTCGCGTAAAAATCTACCGACTCCACCTCCGACTTTTCCTTATCATCCGACTCCGACTCCGACTCCGGCTAAAACACCAAAACCCTACGACTCCGACTACGACTCCACAGCCCTGGTTTCAGTCACTCGTCCACTGGTGGGCAGTGTCATTCGTAACTTGCATTAAAAGTGGACGCGAATAGACCCATCTTAAATTAGATAATGATCTAAATTATATCCCATTTACATGGTAAAACTTGTAGTGTACGTATGCTGGTTCCTTGCCAAATATTCAATATTACTATCAATCAAAGCTTTTATACATAACTTTTGTTTAATGATGCTTTCTCGGTTACTTAGGCTACATTAAAGTATTAGTTAGGCTACATTAACTAATAAACATATGTTTTACGCCACAAATATAAAACAGGACACGGTTTCAAAAAGAAAATCAACAAATCTACAGAAACTAGAAACGGCAAGACTCATCAAACAAAAATGCAAAGACGCCAACACCAAGATCACAGAAAGGAAGAGAAATTACTCAACTAATAAAGGAATTTGATGGAAAATTTGCCATGTGTCTTTAGAATAAAACACAATACTAGTGTTTATTACGCCACAAACATATGTTTTTTTTAGCTTATTTATGCGATCATGAAATAGAATATATACATCATGTAGGGCCTCCTCAGTCCTTACAGACACTAAGAGGCCTTTAAACATGCTAAGGGCCACAATAGCAGCTGCCAGGTGATGAGAGTCAATCAATTCAACTACGAACATTTCGGAAATATTAATAATTCAGACTCAAACCCGGATTCTCCAGAACAGAAGTCTGACATCTTTACCGCCTCACCATCCTGTTATTATATTCTATATATGCATATATATGATTTAATATGTAACAGGAAAAACAAAAGTATAGTTTTGTAGTTTATGAATAGGCTTGAATAATGTGTTACACATAATAACGAAGAGGGCCCCGGCACAAAAAAATCTTACAGGGTGCTACAAAATCTACATATTTATTCATTTATATAGTTTGGCATCATTGGGACCTGTAGGATGCCAGATAAGTAATTTTGTCGGATTACTGATCGTTTTATTTATTTTTTAAGTTCTTTCAGCCCTGTGTACCCCAAAAGAGCCTTTTCGACCTGTATATACATACACATGAATCAACTGGGTCCTCGAATCACAATGATCACAAAGTATGCTGAAGTTTATTCTTAATTTAAATTTCATTCACTTTTTCAATGATGTTTATAGCAAGTATTTACACATTTACACATCGTAAGTTATTATACTTTCAAACTGCAGAATGACTTTGTATGTAATGTATACCAGAGAGTGATAAGTTTTGTAAGTTTTCTTTATAATAAAGTTTTTATAATAAAACAAATTTTTATGGAAAATTATTAAGATAAATCTCGCTACTAAGAAGTAGCGAGATGTCAACACATTAACCTACAAAGCCATCTACAGTTTCGCCCATTACGAAATTTCAGATATTGTAGTGCTCGACTTTTGTGGCAATGGGCTCTTAAATATGTCGAGCAATAGAGCTCCGTATTATGTTCCCTTTCAGAGAATTAAAAAGACAACTTATAAAAATTTCTTGTTAAGGCAAGAAACTGTTATTTTTATATAGTAAATATGTTATAATGCATAAAAGCATTATTTAAAATTATAAATTAAACACAGAACAAGCAATAGAGATTAATTTTTTACACAGGATATTGTTGTCACCAAAATCAAAACTGGCAAGAATTCTGATGACTGATTCAATTGAATTGTTGGGGTAAGACAATGCAATACATGGACGATCTGCCGGGAGGATTTTCCACGAGAAATTGGCCCTTATGTATGCTAGACACGTAAAGAAAATCCTAAAAATTCCACCTGGCCAGCGCATTGGTGAGGCGGGAACCCGCGACCAACTACCACTGTTCACTGGTTTTATCCACTACTTTCTATTTCGAATTTTTTTCCAGCTAAGACAGGAAAACCGACTTAAGAGTATCAAAATGTCATGTACGATAGAGCGAGAAGTCCGAAATGCTGGGACCATCTACTTTTTTTTTTACAGAATACACTGAGTAATCCATAAATTGTTCATTTAATCTCCTACTAAAACATCCAAATTCCACAAAAATATCAGCAAGTATTTTTCCGGAATTTAAATAAAGATACATCTGAGTTGAGTAATTGGATTATCTAAGTATAATGTATTAGTTCAAAACAGAAATCATCATTCTTTGATTAAAAGCTTCAAAGTCATTATTTATTTCATTATATGATAATTGGTTTTTCTGACTTTTAGTGGTTCTTATACATTGTCATCAAGAACATTCTCTGCAGGATTATTACTCTGTAGAGGATGCTTCTTGATGACAAGCTATAAAATGTTATATTTTTAAAATCGATGGATTTTTAGCACCAATAAGTAAAACAAAAAAAATGAAAATTTTTCATGTAAATAATAAACACCAGGTACACTATAAACATCACAATGAAGCCTTTATACAAATGATAGTTACTCGAAAGTCTTACTTTTTGAGACAAATTAATTTGCACACTTGAAACAAATTTTAACAAATGTCGAGTGACTTAAACACACAAACTTGTGATATTTACCATATGATTTTCAAGATACTCTGTCTTTTCTCCTGTCACAAAGGTGACGAATCTCTTTCCTGAAGTATGGACGTTTCTTTGTCACTCACTATACTGGATGTTGCACCACAGACCTCATTGCTTGATATACGTTTGTTGATCGACCGTCTTTCAGCAATGCTGAAGAATATGGTGAATAATAAATCCCCATTTTCACAGCCAACGGAAACTGCGGGCGATCGATTTCTTTGACTCTCAGAAAATGTACTGACTAACATTGCAAATGCATTGAACTTAGCGGTATCCAGTGTTGTTGGAAATGTGCATAGGCCATTAATTCATTTTGCAGCCAACAAAACTAAATCAGGGTTTAAATCCCGTTGTTCTGATGCACAGTTGACTTGCCACAGAAAATAACAAGCGGGATCCAAGATATGCTTATTTACAGACAGGGATGGGACTGACAGTCACAAAATTTAGGAATTTGAGCATTAACGGTAGCAAACTTTATTAAAACGGCGTGGAAAAAAATGTATTCCTCTTGTTAATACAAGAGCTGAGCAAGCGGCCTCTTTCCGACAAGCTCTACGTTATTAATGATTACGTTCCTGAAAATAAATTACTGTATTTAACACCAGGTTTTAAAAATTAAGTTATATAGAAAGGGAGTTTGTAAAACTAACATCCGTAAAAACGGGGTTTGCTGTAAATGTACATTAATTTAAGGGGTAAGTACTGAATTCCATACGAACACGGACTCATAGTGGATGCACGATCCGAATCCACATTAACACCTTTTTTCTGAGTAGCAATTATTATAATATTAAACAGCATAAGCTGAAATTTTTAAAAACTTTTTCAAAAAATAATATCCTTGCACCTAAATTAGAAAAGTATGCCGAAGTAACTTAATTTCATTTTTGCCTACACTAAACGAGAAGTAAGTAGTTTTTCTAAATTTAGACTATGCTAATTAATACAGTTTCAAACATCAAATGCCCTATAATTGAGTAATAATAATAGATGCAGCACTCAATTAACACTAAACAATATATTGTGTTTCATTTTTAAATGCCCATAATATTAAAAAAAAATCCAATGAGTTACGTCGCCATCTGTTATCTAAAAAGTAAATTAATTTTTATAGTTTTTGCAAAATCCGGAGATTAAAAGTTTACCGCTTCGTCCGTCTTATTTTGAATAATAATAATTAATCCAACGAGAAGCATCATAAATTGAGATTAAAATTATATTTCTGGAAATGAAATTACATAATGAGTAGCCAATAAAAAAAAAACATCAATCAGTTGCTCAACTTTCCCGGCAACATTTAAAATGTTAGTGGCGCCATCTGTTATCATATTTTATTTTAAAACTTTTCATATTTTTTAACTATTATAAAATGGCAAAAAGCTTCATTTGCAGGATAGAGATGGGTTTTATAAAAATTTGTAAATGCTAATAATGAGTAAAATCGTCGTTCAGTCCGACCCTACTCGAGATACACACGACCCCCATTATCTCCCCACTCCGTCGACCTTTAACTACCAAAATTTAATAGCATCAATTCCCCCAATAAACAAATTTCCCTGCATACTTTCAGAAATTTTCGACAAAAAGTACGAAAGTTAAGCTTCAAACCAGTAGCGTACCGTGGGTGTCAGCCGCCCGGGGCGAAGGAAAATTTCGCCGCCTCCTTATTTAGGTATCTTAATTTAAAAGACTAAAATTCAGTTTCGTCACAGAATAAGTAATGAAAAATTCCGTGATAGTGTTGCCACCTTTTTAAAATCGCCGACCCTGACGGCAGGCGAGTTCTGTTCGAACAGAAGTTTCTGACTCATGCGTATATCATTTTGCAATGAAGAATAATTTGCAGTGCATGCTGGTTCTAAATCAGTTACAGTTAGCGACTAGGGAGATTTGGGTAGGAGTAACGCAAGTAAACTAGATGACTTAGCCCTATTGGATGTTGGAGGTGTATAAGACTACGAATGAATCGCACAAGCAAAAAAAAAAAAAAACAAAAATAAGGTCAACAGGTTGCGCACGATATCCCCGGACGGCGAGTCGGATGGTAACACTATTCCGTGCTCATTTCATACGGTCCGAATCGTAGGTGGACGAAAATATGAAATAAAGTGGTTCAAATTCTTACAAGATATTATTATTATTTATTGTCAAATTTTGCTGCCCCCTAAAACGTAATTTTTCCGCCTCCTAAAAAGTGCACCCCCTACGATACGCTACTGCTTCAAACAGGGTGAACAAATCGTGCCTACCCCATACACAATAAGACCAAATTTCAGATTCCTAATATCTATTAAAGACACATCTATATGCGCACACACATATAGTATATTATGTAAACACGTGTGTGTACATGTACCTGTAAGTGTACCTCTGTGTGTGTGTGTGTGTGTCTATATAAACATAATAAAACAATAAATCAAATCAAAGTTTCATTAAACTATTTTAATAAATCGTAACAACGTATCAATTTTTAATATTACAACTATTTTGTACTTATAATACATAAATGAAAGCATAAATCACAATATAACATTTGTTTTTATATACAGCATTGGAAGACAATATTTAAAAAAAAAAAAAAATTGTAACAAGAAACATAATTTGTTGGCATTACCATATATATAAAGCTCTGTACAACTTTGCTCATTTGTTCAATTCAATATTGCATATATATTTTTATATCACAAATATATTTTATTTANTGGATTTTATTTTATTTTATTTTAGCTATACTAATATTTATATTTCAAGTATTTAAAATGCAAATTCATTTACCAATAAAGAAGAAATTCTAATTAAAATCAGTACTAGTTTGAACAATTGACATCCTGAGTCAACATAGTGTCAGTATTAATATTTTTTACTCTAGCCTTTTAAATTTTTGGTACTCTGAACCAATGCTTAATTGGCTCTTATTTATCTACAGTTACTCTTAATTAAGTAACAGATTATTATTGGAGCCAGATAGTCAAGCAGAAATCCCAGGAGGAACCCTCTAAAACTCAAAACCTGTCACTCTGCAAAATCCAGGAGAAACTCTGAATCAAATTCTCAGAAATAATATAAAACCTTATATAAGATGCAATTTAAAACATATATAAAACTTACTTTGTTATATTATGAACTTCCCTTATAGAGTCACCATTCTGTTCTGTGACTGCTACTGTAGAGAATTGTATCGAAGAAAGATGTACTTTAAAGAGATGCTCTCGAAAATACTTTAAACCTTCGTAAATGAGAGCTAATAAAAATATTCCTATTACAGAACCAACAAGTCCTAAGAAAAACAAAAATTAATAAAAATTATTTCAAAATAAATAAAGAAATTTAACACTTGTTATAGAAATTCAAACTTAATATTACAAATGTGGAAATATTATTAATTAATATAGTATTAATGACACTTAATAAAATCTCAGTTACTATTTCATTTCATTCATTTAATAATTATGAAATTTTACTAATTAACTTATGAAGAACTTATTGTATGCTTAAAATAGCTCTCATATAATTTTCATAGCAATATATTGATAAAATAATACTATGATAGTTATTTCTACAGAATATTTCCTGTATATCACACTTTTTTTTTATAAATTATTTTTTTAAATAACACATAATATAGTGTAAACCATTGAGCAGAAAGAATAAAATATATGAATTATAATATACAGTTATAATTTATCTCCACCTTACATAGATATAAGATATGTTTTTTTTGTATAATTCCCTTATTTGTTTGGTCCCACGCATAATTTATTATGCAATTTTTACATTAGAAATGACACTTTACCAATGTAACATTTTAAAAATAAACAATTTACTTAGTGGCAATGTTCAGTGACATCGACGACGGTAGCCTTCTTCCAGCCAAAGAGAAAATATCCGACTCCCGATCCAAGTACCACGGCAAGACATAACCATATGTTATATGTCATGAATATTAACATTAAAAAGTAACTGATAATCATTTGTACAACATGCAACACAGTTTGGAGACCATGAGACCAACTCAGCATTTTATGTCTGAAAATATAAATAAAGTTTTCATCATATGGTTACTTTTAATAAATACGAGTTATAATAATGACTATAATTAATTAAACAAACCATATTAATTTGGTAAATTATTTTAAAAAATAGATTTAATATAAAAATTGTTAGTAATTACATTTAATATTTGGTAAGCTGATCCAGAGCATCTTTACTGCTATTAAATCAATTTTAAAATTTGAATATTTTTATAATAATAAAGTTTCCTATTTAAAACATTTTTTAAAGTTTATACTAATCATTACTTAGAAGAAAAAAAATATAAACTTTGTCAATCTCTTTTTATAAATTCCAGTGTAGTATGGAGCTATGTTTATCATATATCCCCTGCTGGACACTACTAAATTTACAATGTGGCTATCCAAAATGATACTATGTGAGAAGAGCAAATTTAGGGAGTGCACAGGATACCTCTCTGTGGAGTTTATTCTGAGTAAAGCAGGTAGTAAAAAATTTTGTAAGGCATATTATGTTTCCTTTCTGCATCCACTCTAATGATTTCTGGATCTGGTACTGTTACATGATAGCAGTATGAGACAATTTTTTATTAAATGCTATATATGGTGTGTCAGAAATAGAAAGACCTATGTTTGAAGTAATTTTTCAAACATAGCTCCAAGCATACATCAACAAATCACAACATGGAAAATTGTACAGACTGACTACTTGTTATCTAACTCATGTAAACAAAATCTTGCTTTTGAAATAAAATTAACACTTAATATCATAGCATTTCATATATTGTCCTATTATTTCTGACACATCCTATAGAGCAGTGGTTCTTAACCTTTTTAGTGGTCAGCACCCCCTGAATTTGAAAATAAGCTCTTGCACCCCCTTAAAAAATGTATGTATATTTTTTATTTAAGAAAAAACATTTATTCATGCAATAAAGCATGAACAAATGCTGTGTTTATTTACAATATATATTACTATATAACATAAAAAGTAATATTTAAATTTTAATGGCTAGGTTGTTGTTGTTTATTCATAATAATTCTATTAAAATGAGGCTCTTTTTTGAAAGAGCCACACGTAAGTCATCAGATGCATTTAAGTGATTTCTGGCTTTTATTTTGATGCAAAAGTGCTGTATTCAAGGTATGCAAATACGTCTCAACTAGTTTCTGTATGCATGTGGCAATGTGACTACATTAACTGCACGTACTGTATTGACGACTGATGACAAGCACTATGTGCTGAGAGACAATAGAATAGAGAGTGTAGAAGTGAAATGGTAGAGAATGAAGAAGTGGGGGTGCTGTGTTGCTGGGTACCACAGTTTGTAGATAACATGGTCGTCTTGTTAGTATTTTTTTTTTTAANAAATTCACATGCTTGTTTTTAAAAAAGGTTTAAGTTCTATTTTCCATATTTATTCTTTGACCTGAACATGACGATTTAAAATTGTTGAAAACATTTGTTTATATAGTTAAACTTTATTTTTTGGTGTTTATGAAGATTTTTGCAAAATAAAACTGACATGCTGAACCATTACATTGTTTTAACACAACAATCATAAAAGATTACCAATCTCTAGGCTAGATACTGGTGTTGCAACGAATAGTATATTCGGCCAGGAGCGTGGCAGAATATTCGTCTATTCTGCCAAACTATTTGGCTTGATTAATGCACATACGAAAATTGGCGCGCAAACTGCATTATGGCAAGGACCCTTCTCTCCATTGGCCTGCTGTCACTGCGCTTTGCCAATTGCATTAATTATTGACAGTTGTAGCGGACAGACCAGAGTGTCATGGCAGTAAGTGATAAATGATATCAAATGTGAATAACAATGAAATGACCTACATGTGTAAATAACGGAAAAAGAACAGAGAAAGACGTGAAGTGAAAATGTGAAAATAAATGTGAAATTGAGTTGATAACATAATCGAACAAGTCGAGGCAACTTATTGGCGCGAAATTCGTGGCCGTCAATGCCAAACAATTGTTGTCATAGACTTCGGAAAGCTAAATGCTTGTAATGAAAGTCATTTAGTGTGCACGGGCGAAAGCCTGGGACCATTCAGGCTATCAAGCTGTCTGGAATCTGTGAAATCATAACTGTGACATATACCGATGTATCTGTCTCTTTTCTCCGTTATCACCAGGCTATGAGTCACGTAATTATAAAATGGAAAAACTACGACGGAAAAGTGAAGAATCAAAAGTATCGTGAGTGCGTATTATGATGTATGCATAGGCATACGTGGACTAGAGAGATAGAGGAAAGAGAAAGGAAAGACGAGCGCTTAAAAAGGATAGGCAGGGTCAGACCCTCAGATGTGTGCGACAATTCTCGAATGAATAGGTGTGTACATGTGCTGATATTTGTAATTATAAATTGTAAATACATGTGACTAATATTATTTTTTTTTATTTTGTGCATGTTATAAGTTATAAATAAATATAAACAACACTACCTGATAACATTAAATCTAAATACCAAAATGATTAATTTACTGTGTTTTTGTTATTTCTTACTCTTGCTTTTAGGTATTCGGTATTCGGCCGAATAGTGATTAAATATTCGTTATTTGGCTGAATACCGAATAGTAACCAAATATTCATTACATCACTACTAGATACTCTTGGTATACATAAGCATGCTGCAGTAGAATATTTTATTTATCAATCGCCTCTTGCAATTTTTATTAATTTTATCAAAGTTTAGTAATTATCCTTACCAATGTAAATGGCAAATTGAATATTTTTCCTGTGAATTTTTTACAATATATTTTAGAATAAAAGTTAATGAGAGTTTTCCTAAAGTCATTGCTTTTTCCAAGTGTTCGTAAAGGCTACACTGTGATGATGAGTAGTGACTTATTTGATCAATTGATCATCAAGCAAAGCATGTCTTGGAAATGATGAGCTCAATGCTTAATTTTATGAAATTAATTCAGTGATGATGTCATTAAACCTTAACCAAATAGTTATTGATGAGTATCAATGACTTTAGGAAGACACTCAATGAAATATACAGTAGTTTATTCATGTTATTCATAAAAATATGAATTATAATATACAGTTATAATTTATCTTTCCATTTCTATTCTGTTTTTCAAATATCAATATGTAATCAGTTCAAACACTGTTATTCTCTAGGAATTATCACATGCACAGTGCATGTGATAATTCTTAAAGAATAACAGTGTTTGAACCAGTTACATATTGATATAATACACAGATTCAACAGAAAAATAAAACAGATTAAAACTTAAAAATTATCAATTTTTCAACTAAACTCTGTGTTTAAATAAGACAATCTCAGTCCTCTTAACTTCAAAATGTTAGGAATATTGACATTGTTCCTCAAAGAAGCTGACATTGGATAAAAACAGCAAACACATAAGTTAATTAATGCAGTTTAGTTGTTTGAGTCACCCAGTTTGAGATTAATTGTCCAGTTTGATAACTCTCATCCCCAGATGTGTTTGGTACTTCTAAGCAATATACAAAAGGAAATACAATAAGCAATATTATCCTAATTCAGCTAACTTAAAATAGATTTCACTTAAAAAGGTACTAGAATAAAAGACAGCAAAAGTGAAACCAAAATGGGATAAATTTTAGCACTGTACTAGCTGACAGTATGCCCAAAATGCTGGAAATTGACAGCCCTCCTATGTTAAATTAATACTCTGAGTCAAAAATTAAAAATATTTTTTCTAATAACATTATGTAATATCCTCTGCATATATAAACAAATAGAATGATATTACTAATTTTTCTGCAAAATTATTAATATCATTCTGATAATAAAAATAACTCCAAATCCTTTAAAAAAATTTGCTTTATTGGAGTTCAGCTACTAGAGTGACTTCTAATAAAGCAGATTTTTTGCAATATCATTCTGATATTTATATTTTAGAACCTATATATAATATTACTAGTTTTTTAATATGATAGGATTATTTTTAGCAGTTGCAACATGCCAAAGATCTCATGAAAATTACTTTGTGATAAGATTATAACACAAATTTATCAAACTATGAAAGATAAACGACTTCCAACCACTTAACACTGCGTTGAATAATAACACTCGTAAAAACTATGAAAAGTTTCATAAAAAACTTTATGTTATTTCTGATCATTAGTTCTTCATAAAACAGATATTGCAATAGAGTTGAAAGCTTTAAGTTTATATTATAATAGTCTCTGTTTTGAGTATTGTATAAATGCTGTTAATAAAAACAGAAGAGCTACTTTGCATTTGTATTGCTTTTATGTGCTGAGAGACAATAGAATAGAGAGTGTAGAAGTGAAATGGTAGAGAATGAAGAAGTGGGGGTGCTGTGTTGCTGGGTACCACGGTTTGTAGAGAACACGGTCGCCTCATTCATATTTTTTTTTTTTAATTTTTGAAATTTCTCTTGCACCCCTGGAAATGCTCTCTCACACCCCAGGTTAAGAACCGCTGCTATAGAGCATGCCTTATAACTACAAGTACAGATAATATTATTTAAGCTATGTAATTAAGCTATTTTTAATAAAATTGTTATTTTGTAATTAAAAATTAAAAGCAAGTCACTATATTTGTAAATTGCAAAAACTTGATTTATTTCTTTACAGAAAAAATTTGTTTTGATTATATATCAGTTGTGATTTATAAATTCAAGGCAATCCACTAAAATATGAATTTCAAATAAGAACTGCCTGGCAATGTAGTCAAATCTGTGTTCTATTGAGACAAATATAATTTTCCTATTATATCAATTAGAATAAATTTTATAAATAAATAAACTTTTAAATNCAATATAAATAAAAAAGATCTATATGTAATAAATTAAAGAATTAAAAAATTTATTATATATAATAATTGATAATATAAATAAATGATTATACAGTATTTCAGTTCAGTTCAGCAAATATAAATATCCAACAATTTGAATTTTCCGTGAATCTTTCCATCTATTTTACAAGTTTGAATATACTATTTTAAATAGAACATATACATTGAATAGTGGGAAATTTAACCTTACATATGACTAAATTCTCCAATATTCAAATTATACATTTCATACTGTTACATAAATTTACCACTTTTCACACACTTCCATGTAATGCATATATAAAACAAGTAACAAAATTGTATGTACACAAAACATTAGCACTTCATCAAATGTCCAATCAGGTTTAAATACATTTCAGTATTTTGATATATGACTGGTCATTTGAAAACATTTTATGCATACATAATGCAGCTTACATAATAATTTAATACAGATAAAATAAATATACAAAATCAGCACTGAAACTTGAAAAATTATAGATAAATTAAATACAGATTTATTTTAAAGATATACTGAAATGAATAAAGTATATTGAGCCTTCACAGTCCACAGTATATGTATTCATGAATTCATGTATCATGTTGTTCTATATCATGCTAAAACATTGGCTGCTGCTCACTGCATTCACTCTAAGTGATGGTGGAACATGTGTGTCTTCAGTCTCACATTAGCATGATCCCAATAGGATCACCAGTCACTAAAGTGATGTTTAATGCATTGTAATTGATAGAAATTATAGTTTCTGACATAAAACTTTTTAAATTTTAGCATTTGAGTAACTTAATATTTTTAGTAATTCTTACTGAAATTTATGATTTATGAACAGCACACTAAGGTTATATGGTGTGCTGTTCATAAAACCTTGGTGTGTTGTGGGTATCTGATAAATATCTTGATGCATACACCAGTTTTCTTAATTATATACTAAAATTTTGACATAGTATTTTAAGAAACATGGTTTATAATGTTTCCCATTATTGTAAAACACAAAATCTTTTAAATATTTTTTATTAATTGTAAATGATGTAAGTATTTAATAAAAATACTTACATCATTTACTATTAAATATCTTAATAGAAAATATCTGGGTTATTTTGGCAAGAGTGTTTTCACAAAATTTCACATTTGTGGAGTTAGGTGTTAGCTCCAAAAATATAAAGATCTGACTGTATATGTTATCAGATTTTAGGTAATAGATTTTTCATATACTTTTTGTGTTGAAATGTATGTCTCTACTTGAATTTAAAAGTAATATATATTTTTATGCAAACATTAGATATTTTATTTGCATTTAATATAATTTTATATATACCATTCAGAATTTGTGAATATATATAAGGTGATCAAAAAGTAATTTTACAAAAGCCAACAACACAGACAAATACTTTGAGAAAATGAAAATACACAGGATTTATCTGTAAGCAATAAATCTGCAAATATCTGTAGGCTGTTCAAGCATTTATCACACTGCATTCTGTTCTTAAAAAATTCCTGTTCCTATTGCTGTAGCCATCCAGTAACAACAGCTTCCATTTCTTCAGCAACCATTTATGTGTTTCTTCAAATATAGGAAAACATATCAGAAAAGATCAAATTCAGGCTGTGTTAACTTCATCAAAAAGTCTACAGTAAATCCACAGTCTAGTTGAGAACCTATTCTACAACACTTTGATAGGACATGAAATTGTCCTCTCATAGGCCTACACCTTGTAAGTTGAAAATGTGTTTCAGAAACCTTTGGAATCTTTCAGGAACAAAATTGAATAACTATTTGGACATCTACATGGGCCTATTTTTCTAGTCTTCTTGGAAATGCCATGTCATAACTGTCTAGTGCAGTCATGAGTCTTCTAACCATTCAATGTTACCAATCTGAGTCATTACTATCCATCTACAATAAAGTTATACTCAACAGTTCTTTGCTTTCTAAATTGTAAACTTTATAAAGTTACTTTTTGATCACCCCATCTATAAAAAAAGTAAATATTTTCTTTTCATATATGATTAAAAACTTATTAACTCATTAAAATTATCTTTTTAATACTGGAATGAATCAAAACACACTTTAAACAACCTTTAAAGTCCAGTTATTGGACTTTAAAGGTTGTTTAAAGTGTGTGCTTATTAACTCATTTTTCTTTTCTGATTATTTTTCTGTTTTTGACACTAAGAAGTCCTTTCCTCACAATCATAACGAGTTCAGCAGGACCACAATTGGGTAGCCAAATGGTTTAAAGGATGCAATCCAACACATCAAACTTTTCATAAAAATCTGAATTGTATTTGAATCTAGATTCTTCAGAATGACAGGCTGAGATATTTATTGCATCAGCCATCCAAATACAGTAGAACCTCGATTATCCGGACTAATTGGGGATGAAGGTAGTCTGGATAAGGAAAAATTTGGATAATCGAAACAAATACTTTAATTTGTCTTTTAATGATAATACAACACGTTTTCTTTTCAATGACATATCGGTAATATTAAAAATAATTACTGTATTTAAATCATGATCAAATTTTCAAGAAACAAACGTTCATATTCAATTTGGACTACTACTGACCAACGTTAACAGACTACCTATTGTTTAAAAGGCCTCTGGTGGCGCGAGAAGACGGATTTTATAAAATAAAAAGCAGTTGAAACTGCATTTTTATGAATAAAAATTTGACAAACTATTTACAAACTGATAAATAGTTTGTCAAATTTTTATTCATAATTTTTTCGAGTAAAATTTTTTCGTCGTGTTCGCGGCTTTTAAGTAATGCATAAACCTTCGAGGCAGGAGGCCCTTCGGACCGCGAGGCATAGGCGGTGGCCCACATCGTCCATGCCTTATGCCGCCCTTGGTCATAGAGATGATGTAATTTGAATATAAATTATTTATAAATACGTATGTCAAGTTATATTTTTATTACTACGTAAAATATATTTAAGAGTTTACGACCACTGTGCTGGGTGAGACGTTGTTGAAACAAAAAAGTTACGCATTCCATCACCTACATAAACAGTGTCGTAATTCGCCAAGTGCAAATCAGCAAATTCGTAAAATTTTTGTTTATTTTGAACAATCCGGATAATGGAGGTCCGGATAATCGAGGTTCTACTGTATTCTGATAACAGATTAGTTTAATGCAATTTTTTTATAAGTAATTTTTATGATGACAAAGTCATGTCCTTCATCAAGACACTTTTTCCAATTGTATTTTAATCTTAGGTAAGTTAAATAAAATCCATGTAAGTAAAACAATTTTTATACAAACTTACATTTTAATGTTATTTTAAATCTGCTGACTAATTTTAAAGAATATTTTGGAAATTTTATCAATAAAAATGATTATTTATAAAATATTGGTTTATACTTTATATGATGATTATCTGTATTATAAAAATAATAATGAAAAATAAATTCTTACCACCAGCAGTTGAAACAGCCCACTCTTTAAAAAGTATCGTAACCTTAACACCACCATGAAAATACATCATCTAAAAATAAATGAAGCATCATTTTTAACTAGCAACAGATATAAAAGAGTAGAAATATCTGATAGCTCATTATTAAATAAAAATACCAAATAATGATTATGATTGAAAACTTTAATATGATGATGTTAATCAATAAATATTTACAATATATAGAGCTGAATGTATAGAAAATTGTATAAGAGATACTAAGGCTGTGTGTTAGATGAATTGTCCAACAACTGCTGATTATTTTAGCTGCATAAAATTTTGGTTAATGAAAACGGTACTTTGTACTTATAAACTGCCGTACAATAGTGATAAAGTAGAAAAAAATGTATGTCAAAAGACAAATAGCATTAATATCACAGTTTAAATATAAAAATCAGCATAAGAAAATTTATAAATACCCCTCTTAATGTATTTAATAATAATACAAATTTAAGTGCATGCCAATGTTTGCAAATAATCTATATCTCTCTTACACCACATCAAACATGCTGAGGAATTTATAGTTACATAATCACTTCTCATACTTCAGCTACTATATTTTTTTATACCAAACAGGCAAAAGATTGTAAAGAAAAAGAAAAACATACTCTAATATTTTTGATCTAGTCCATAAATAAACTGCAGTAATCCTGAAATATTTTATATTTACTTTTTATCTTTGGTTTTAATTTTACTTTATTTTTAATTAATTTTTTAATGTGTCATTTAATTCATATTTGGCTTCTTAAATGTGGACTGTTTAAGAGTTGACTGTTTTAGAACACTTGTTGCTAGTTTTTATTTTGTAACATTCTTAACCCCTTAACGCCCGTTCATTAATTCTTTAAGGTTAAAACCTGAAAATGATCTATGGACTGGATCAAAAGCATTAGAGTGTGTTTACTTTTTTCTTTTTGTTTACAATCTCTGTCCGATATGGCATGAAAATATAATGCTAAGGAATTTTTTATCATATATAAATTCAATCCTAAAGTTACAACTAATATAAAGTTCTATAAAAACAGCATAGATTACATACGAATAAAAAATTGTCTGTACCTACGATGAGTCGCACCTGCTCATTTTAAAATAGAGAATGTGCCTGACAATAGGTTAATAATATATTTCAGATGCTCAAAATTTAAAATTTTATATTTATATTTCCCATTCAGTAAACATCTTTTAACTTTCCTTTCTGCTATTTAATCCTGTTACTCTATTTCTAATGATACTACTATTAATCTTAATTAGAACACTAAAGTTTTGTAAAGTAAACCACTTTTCCTCTTAATTTTTAAATATATTCTGAAAATTTAAATTTATACTTAATTTAAACTTAAAAATAAATATATCCTTAATTATCATGAAAAATACATGTAATTTTATATTGATAATAAAAAATCTAATTTTCCACAAAACAAAATGATATTTAGCTGAAATTATTACTGTTTTACAGTTTAAATGAGAAAGAAACTTGATAAATGTTTGATAAAATAAAGTATTATGATAAATTATTTCATAGAAAGAAACATATTTACTGATGTCAAACAATTGACAGATTATATCAAGCAATATTATTATTACTATTAATAATTAAATGTAATTTGGCACTAGAGGTAGACATAATCCAGTAATCATTTAGCTTTCATATATAAATATCAGGTTTTAAATGTTGATACATATTTACTAAGATATGAAAAACCTATAAACAGAACAGCCACAATATTCCTATACATAATATTGGGTCTTGGATAAAGAATCTTCACACACCGGATTAATGTAAAATAATCTCTTAACAAACCTTTAACTGGTGGGAAATATGAATAATTGTCCACACAAACTTTTTCGGATCCCTCCTGGGTCCTTTTTCAAGCTACGATTCGTCCGTAAAGATTTGTTAGAACGAAGACCAGCAGTCTTTGGAACAAAATTTCAAATTGTTTCAAACAGTTAATAAATAATTTTGCTAGTTCAGAAAATGTACAAATTAATTAATTTCTTTCAATTTTTACTTAATGTCTCCTATTGCAAGGTAATAAGTCAGTCTCGAAAAAACCAATGGACTAGGTACATTTTACAAATAAACACTACTGGGTTAATCAAGGAAATAGGGTATCTATTTTTCATATAAAAACTGATATAATAAAGATACTAATAGAGCAATTTAGTAATAGATTTATTGTAGATTATTATAGGGTTATTATAATCAATATAAATAACTTTTTCTTACAAAACGTTATTATGTCATATTTTATTTGCTACAAATGATATTAACAAAATATTACAATATCTATATATATAAAAATCAATTCTTGTTGATTTGTTGGCTAGTTGGTTTGTTGCTTTGTCCTTTATACAAATCTTTATTCTTAAACCAATCTGGACCAAAGTTTGTATAAGTATTACTTAGACTCAGGAATCAACACTAAGCTATATATTACTAAGGTGACCAATCGTCCTCCTTTTGTAAGTTTTGTCCTCCCTCGAAAAGTATCCTCCTACATGTCCTTCTTTTCAATATTTGAAGACAAATCTGTAAATCTCCCTATTCAATCAATGCCGAACCGATCCATTGCGTGTGATGTGATATGATGTGTTTGTATTTAACATGACGATTCATCAAGGCTCTGTACATTGCAATGAGATGCAATTATGAGACACATGCTCTCTGCATGGGAGACCTTGAGAGAGAGAGAGAGCGCACGCACAAATGGCTTTATTTACTTCTTATCGAAACACGACATGGCACCAATGCATGCAGTAGAGATTATTATAGTGTATTATCGTTGCAATGAATAAAATGTTTCTTATTTACAATATTTTTTCCTTCAATTTATTAGTGTCCTCCTTTTCATTATAAAAAAGCTGGTCACCTTAATATTACCCCAAAATAGTGTATAGATTCCATATCATTTACATGTAGCACCATCTGTTGGCAAAAATAATAAATGCTAATTGTTGTTGGTTTTTTTAATGGTTGATAATAGATGTTGGTGTTTGGATTGTTGATAATAGATTGTTGGTTTGCCTGCTGACACCTGCCAAGTATCTTAATGCCTGCCTACAGACATCATCACTGTGAAATCATGTTAAAAAGCTGTTCCTTTAGAAGAGGATCCATTTATTGGGAGACAGATCTGAAGAGAATTTTGCTAAACAACTTTTGCATCTTGGTGATGGCAAATTCACTGAAGATTCAGATACTACTATGATAACACTTACTACATAAACCACAGATGAATATATGTGAGAGCAATATTGGCATCTAAAAACAAATGCATTGTTGAATGTACCCGGTGGAGATTTTAAACTCCTTGGAACCAGCTGGATTACCACCCCATAATCTAGAGTTGTAGGGTGGAGCACCAATAATCGTTTTGTGAAATTTAGATCGCCAAAATTATGCAATGGGACAAGAATGATCTTTTATCTTTGTCCTGAAACACCAAACAATTTTTTGTTCTTTACAATTACATTATTATAAATAATCAGGTCAATAAATGCATGTTTTAGTTACTAGGACCATTGTTTTTATTATCCTCTCTCAGTTCCATATTCCCCTCAAAAACCTGAGCAACACTGGGCACATGTTGCTGGTTATGTATAAAAAGCTATTTTATTTTTTATCCTAATATACACATTCACATATAATTTATATCACTAGCATCATGAAATGTTAATTAAATTATTGATTTGTTTTTGTTAAATTTCTCTCCTGTCATTACCTATGTGTGTAACAATGATTTGTGTTATATAAACTTTTGTATTTGTATTGTGTAGCAATGCTTCGTATCATATAACCATTGTATTATTTTTTATAATAAATAAACAGCCATGACGTGGCGTCTTTTATCAAGCCCGCCACTTTTTGGTTTGGTACGACTTGAAATGGATCAAAGTAGTCGTGTATGATTTTTTAAACTTACTCGTAAGGTATCCTACTCACTATCCGTGAACACATAATCTGCAACAGTGATATATTTAACAGTTTTAAAGAAATTCTTACAGTAGCTTTTATTTATCAGGAATTATTTCAATTATGAATTAAAAATTCAATCTGAAGACTGTCCAATTACAAAATTTAATTGATAAATTCATTTATTTCATTACAGAAAAATTTAATTTATTGTAAGTAAAACTTCATATACAGTACAAAACTTCATATAAAAAAAAAAAATAAATAAAAATTCATATACAAAATATAATATTCTAATTTCTATGCATTTGGAGCTAGAACTATTTAAAATGACTAAGACAAAACCTTTCACACTTCTTTCTTCACTTCTCACTTCAGTGTTTAAATTGCTAGAAAGAAGTGAGAAAAGTTTTGTCTTAGTCATAATACTCTAAATAAATAATTTAAAATATTTTTTCTTGTTTTTTAGGTTATTGCAGTGTTTATTAATTTCTAAGTTTAACCAGTTGTCTAGTAGCAGTTGTTAATATAATATTCTATATTCTAAGATGAATTGATTTGTAAAATTACTACATTTTAACCTGTGATGGCATATAGCTCAGAAAATTGCTAGAATAAAAATAAAACCTTTCATTACTTGCAACTTATAAACATGAAAGTATGGTAATAAAAAAATGAATAAAATCTTTAAAAATATCTTTGTTCTCAACTTTGGAAAATTAAAATGATTTTAAAATCTTATTAATAATAAATAAATAAATAAATACACTCTTGAAAGGAATACTTCTTACCATATGATTCATATTCATCATGTCATGCTTAGGCTTTCCAGTTGTATCATTTGTTTTATGATCGTTGTGACTGTCATGACCATTATGTCCATTGTGACCATCAGTAACAGTATGATTTTCATGCATCCCATCATGTTCACTCATTCCTTTACACGTATTTATACACTCAAATACTACAACACTTAGAATAATATAGAACATTGTCAAAAATCCATTTCTTGAACTCATTCTTCTACTCTTTTCTATTTGGTATATCTTTAAAATTAACTTTTCTTCAAATCCTGAAAAAAAAAGAAAAAAATGTTATAATTTCAAAAATTAAATGTAACACTCAAAAATTTCTTTATAATATTTCTTAATATACAGTAAACTGCTTTATGAATGATCATTTACAATATTCTACTCTTAAAACTAATAAATTTTCCATTATGCCAATATGCAATGCTGTATTTAATTACCATAGAAATTTAGCTATGTTCAAAACATAGGTTGAAGTTGTGACAGTGTTCCCCTAAATCAGGGAAGTAATTTACAAATCATGACGTCTTATGAGCAGCAGTTGGGTTGCTATTTCAGTGACCAATACAAAGCAAGAACTAGTGAGACCATTCTGCCAGTTTTAACTCAGTAAAACATATAATCTAAAACTACTAATGACTATTTGAACCATATACTGTATATCTAAATACCTCCCATGTCTATGTAATGAACACATTTAAATTTTTTAAATTTTAACTTGATAAATATAAAATTATTATTATATAATCCAAATTACTCTTATGAAAACTTAGAAACATTAACCTATTTGCATGAATAACAAAGTTCCAAGGATAAACTTTTGATTAAATCAAATTTTTGACCATACAAATAATTTAAGCAGTTTAAAATCCTTTTTTAATATTCCAGCTGAAATTATTTTTTAATGCCTCTAGCTGAAATATTAAAATAGGATTTTAACCTTACCTAAAATTATTTGTATGGTCGAAAATTTGATTTAATCAAAAATTTATCCTTGGAACTTTGTTATTCATGCAGATATGCTAATTACGATAATCTCTTAGTTTTCCACCAGAGGTTTGCAGATCTGTATAAATACAACTGATTTGTACCTGAGTGATATAGTTAAGAATTTTTAATGCTGTGTTGTTGATGTCAGATCCTCCAAGAAAAGGTCGACGTCAATTGTATATTGTATGTATTTTTTAGTATCATGTCTTTGGTGTTAAAGTTTTAACCATCTGTCTCTAGCTGGAATATTAAAAAAGGATTTTAAACTGACCTAAAATTATTTGTATGGTCAAAAATTTGATTTAATTAACCTATTTTATGAAGAAATTGTTATCTAGAGCAGTGATATGGACCAAGTGCTGGTCTGTAAACAGTTTATTAATTGACCATTACGAGCTCTTAAAATTTTATCATTTTATATATTCCATTTAAGAAACTATTTAAAAATACCTTTTAACGTCTTTTAAAAGCATATTTTATAACTTTTGTTTTTCTTTATTATTTAAACACTTAGTGACAATGACTGAAAATTGAAATCAGTCCAGGAAATTACTTGAAAACATACACAATCCATTTTTTCAAAATAATTAAAATCAAATTTTGTTTTTGTACTTTTTTCCTAAATTAGTCTAGAACTTAAAATGCATTTAAATTCATTCTCTCTGTTTTATAATCATTTTTATTTAATTTCACAAAAAATACTGGTCTGTAAGGGATTGGAATGAAAAACAAACAAAAAAAAACTAGTCTGTGAACACAAAGTTTGTGAAATACTGGTATAAAAATAATAAATTGCTAGACAATATTTCAATCCACTTTCAGGTTTATCAAAGTTAAAGACTTGTGTTTAAAAAGACTTTAAAGATCATCAAAATATTTCCAGAAAGTAATTTCTTGATAATAAATTCAGGCATTCCTTGACTTTCAAACATGATACTTTGATACCTTTTAAAAATACTTTTTCTATACCAACTTCACATTATCACACAATTATCTTACAAATAAGAAGTTTCAAGCTATTGTTCAGTGATGCTGTCTGCCAGTTTTGATTTTGGCATTGAAATTATTTCTAAAAATTAATGTTATAGATTAAACAGAAATCATACAATAAAAATTAACATTTATAACATATTTACTGTAAAAAACTGAAAATTTTTCTATCTTAATAAGAGATTTTATAGTTCTTTGGGAATAGAACTCCTATAATATACAACTTTATTGATTGACATTCAGACATTTGACTCTTATACTTGTTTTTAAAAATGAATTATTTAAAAATTTTCATTGTGTCCTTAGTGACAAAAAGGTTGCCAACCCCTGTTGTAAACTATTGCAATTTATTTTATTCTAGTATATTTATACTGTGAGAAAACACAACAAACTGTATAAATATATTCAAATATAGCAAATATAATATTTCATAAGCTGATGACATGCACTAAATATTTTCTCATTTTAATACTTCCTGCCCTGTGGGCATAAAGAGAGCCTTTTATTTGTCTTCATTACAGGGTTTGCTCAGATCCACAAAGGAGTTAGGTGGCTGTGTGGTGAGGATCAGGACATAACATATCCAGGACAGACTGCCTGGAATTACCTACCTGGATCCAATCCCAGGCACCCCAGTGGTAGGTCAACACTTACTTAGCCATTCAGAGTCATTATCAATATATCTAGGTACATTGTTAAATTAATTTGCCTCTGGAAATTGTAAAAAATTCATTACATAAAAAGAATTTGTTATATAAAAATTGCACTGATAGTGAATATATATATATAAGATACATTTTCAACATTCCAGAGAGAAATTTCTTGAATAGAGAAATTCATTATACAGGACTTCATAGAAGTCTGACTATAATATATACATGCAGTTACCTGTTGCTTCACAACTGTTCACTATATAATCTTCACTCTAAGGAATAATATAAACTTTATATTATGACCATTATATAATACTGTATTTTTTGTTTTTATATCACACCTTTGTATTATTAAATTTTTAAAATCATATATATGGGATGTCATCCTCACTTTATGACACAGATTATGGAAAATACAAAAGCTTACTTAACAGCAGTTTCCTAGGAACCAATTAAATTATAAAAGTATATCTATTATATATAATTTACATTTATATATAATATTTTATTAAAAATATCATAAATTTATTAATTTTCTTAACAACATACTCACTTTTTTGATTTAATTACTATATCGTTAATTAATTACAGTACAGGCTTGTTTAAATATTAAAATCAATTCCTGTAAATAAAAAAAATGCATATTTAAATTCTTAATTTTTTAGATAAATTTCCTCTTAATTAACTTTATTTAATAAAATTTAATTGATAATAAATCATACATTAAAGCTTACTATTTCTGGAAAGTAATTATTTTAACCTAATTAAAATTTATTTGCAATAAATTCATTAAAAGAATACATTTTTTAATACAAATTTTCTATAACTTTTTTGCTTTAATATTTAAAAAAAAAGGAAATAAGATAGAAATTTCAAATAAACATATCCTGTACCCCTCCCAAAAACTGTTCCAATATTAGAAAATATTCTATAATAGATATAAGAAAAACAGGATGTATAATGATAAAATATTTATTTTTCCCTCACAACTGTGAAAACATCACAACTGTAAAATCAATTTATTTTATATCATATTTTTATTTCTTGCTTTTCGTTGTTTTCATTTTATTCATTCATTTTATGTATGCTTCCACAGTTTATTCACATTTCCTTGTTATTGTTTCTGCTTCTCTATTGCTTGCTTCTCTGTTAAGCATTACCTGATTTTTTTTTTACTATATCATTAAATTAATTGACAAAGTTTTATTAATAAATAAAATAAAATCAATTTCATATTTTTATTTGCACCTTTATGAATCCTTATTTAATCTATTTGTAAAAACTAAAATTGAGTTCAAACATACAACAAATAATACTTTAACATCTTTTATTAAAGATGTTTTGAAATTATAAATATCAAACAGAACAACAATTAGAGAATATACAACTTTTATTAAGATAAAAATAATGTTAAAAAGTATTTTATGCATATACAAAATATACATTCTGTCTTTGGCAAACTTTAAATTTTAATAACTTTGGATGTTTACACGATAGAAACACACTATAAATGGAATATAAAAGCTTAATTCCAGAGTTTTTATATATTAGTGTTATTAAACTTTTTGTTAAATTTAATTTATTTGCGGATCCTTTTAACTACTGAAAGAAAATTTTAAATGTTTGTTACAGCTTGCAGAACTGAAGACCTTAGCAGCTGCATGATGCAGTAAAACATTACAAATTAAACTTTTATATACCATTTACAATGTATTTCTATCATGTATATATCTAGTGCTATAAGAGTTTAAAGCTGTATAAAAACTTTATAATCATTCTTTATATAGAAACTCAATATATAATAAAATACATATGTATACTGTATTTAATTATATAAGAGCTTCCACTGGTAATAAATTTGACACATTATCAAAGACAAAAACAACATAAAAAATCAAAGTATATAAATGTAATGAACAAGAATAATAAATTTTTGAATTATGCTCAAAAAACATTAAGTGTTATTTTCAGTTACAAAAAAACACATTTTTGTTTCATGAAAAGCACTGTTTAAGTAAATATTTTATATATTTTTTTATTATGAAATAAAATTATTATTCAGATAAATAATTTGTATAAACACAGAGAGAATAATGACTCAATACTATAAACAGATATATTTTCAAATTTCCAGACTAATATTAGGTAATTTCCAATAAAAAAATTTCTAAATTGAATATAAAGAAATTTAAAATGTGGAAAGTAAAATATCTGAAAATTTAGTCTTTTAGTTTGAAAGTTGTCCTATTAGAAAGCATCTGCTATTGGGTTAATTCAAAAACATTTCTATGTAATAAATTATTAACTCCTATACTTCTGTCTATTTTGATTTTGTTTTTAAATAATAACTTCTCATAAGATAAAACCAAAAGTAGAAATCAATTAGAAATGCTTCTCTTAATCATATTTTACTTTAATGCCATAAAATGCAGCAGAAATTTCTTTATTCTCTAGCATTTTCAGTTGTCTTTAAACAATCCTCAGGAAATTACATTCAAAATTACACTCTAAAAGAACAAATGCCATGTTTTAGAAAATAAAGGAATATAAAATGAATTTCACAGTTGTAGGGTTGATAACCTTACTGAAATTGCACCTATAAAACTAAGAAGTTAGATATTTTACTTTTTTATGCACACTTGCAAAACTTCCAGCAGAAGTAGCAATGATACTTGATTTTTTTATATCTTAAATCAAAAGGTGCACAACATATGGCTAGTAAACCGCATTCATCCTGCTAAATGTGTTCAGTGCAGCCCATTGCTTAAATTTGGTAAAAATATTTTTGTTAACCTTATTCAAATACTCATAAATGCATTAGCATTATTTAAATTTAAATCCGTATAATGTATTTGAGTTTAAAAATAGTTTTATATTGTTAGATTTGCAAACAAATGTTTGTCTAATGTCTACTTAAATTTGCTTTAGTGGAAATATTGCAGTCTGTTTAAACAATGGTACAGTCATAAGGAAACATAACAATTATGTGGATAGGAGTATTTGGAGGTAGGAGTTGAGAGGAAAACAAATAGGAGTAAGACTTGTAACTATGAAACTGAGGTCAAGTTAGGTTATATGGGAAGCAGGTTATTGTACAGTACTTTGCATGTAAACACACACACCTACAGAAATAATTTGTTTCATAATATTTTGTCAAATATAAAAATTCAATGTTTAAGTAAATTGCTTTATCAGAAAATATTTTATTAACATTCTGAAAATTATTACACAATTCAAAACAATGTATTGAAGTATGATTGGTTGAAGTATGATTGTTAAAGAAGTCCTCAAGCATAAAATCTAATGAGAAATGGTTTTCTCAGCATTAAAAATTTTCACTCCAAGAAAAGCATCTTGAATCATATGAAAAATATTTCTCCTTATGAATTGTCACAATTTTAACAAATCAATATTTATAAGATTTAATAGGAATGTTAAAATATTTATTTTCATTTTTTTAAATTTGTATTTAAATTAAATTATATAGATTATAAAGTACACAAAGTAATTCATCAATGGCTATCAAAGATACAAAATAGATAGATGATAATAATATGGAAACAAAAGCACAAATGGACCAGACAATAATTTCTCTATAATTGTTGCATCTTATGTATTCTATAGATGCATCATTGAAATACCTGAATTTTTCATGGAATATAATTTATGCCATATTATATATTTTATATTTTGAAGCAGAAATCTGATTTTTATTTTATTCCTGCTTTCCATTATTATAAATTACATTATTAATATTTTATGCATTAAAAAAAATGAAACTTTCAATCAAGATCAAGTTTATGTCTAAATATTAACGTTGTTTATTGATTATAATGTAAATAAAAATTTACAAAATAATAAAAAAATAAAAATGCTAAAACCATTACAATGGCATTCCATCTAAGCATATTGAAACTAAGATGAAACTTATTGTAACATTTCAGAATTATGGATAAAATATGATAATTAGAAAATTGTAAATATAGCTAAATTGTTATTAAGTACAGTACAAGTCATACGTTGCTTCTATAGAAGATAAATCCCACTGACTGAATTGAAAGTTATAATTTCATAGCCCATAAACATAACTGATGATAAAAAAAAAAAAAAAAGAAAATGGAACCTCAAAAACAATATATGGAATGACTGGCATGCTACATATAAACAGGGGAGACCAGCATGCCAGTTAAACTGACTTGTGAGACTAAAATTTAAAATTAATATCACTGATTAGTAATATTAATTAGTCAGTGTGGGCTATACTGACCATCTATCCCCGACCTTAAAAATAATATTTTCCTCTCAAATTTCAAACAAAGCCAATGTTAATTGGTGTAAGCTGAGATAACTACTGCGAGTTTCTTAAATTTAATATGTTATTTTTTTCGTTGAAGCAATTAAACATATAATCGTAGTTTTTGTTGTAACACTGACTGTTTCACAGTTTTAGAATAAAAACGTGTTCATTTTTTAATGCGTCCTCTAGAGAGGAATGTAAACGTCAGTCAATCCGGCATTCTCCCGAGATAAACCGGTATGTCAGTTTTTACAGCTCAATTCAAACTCCGAATAATACGTTTGGGACCTTAACAGAGCTGTACGTTAATTACGAAAAAAACGTAAATACTCGTGCATCGATTAATTATTAAATTAACCCATCAANCGCTTTCTCTTAACAATTCCATTGTTACGTAACACGTCCATTGTTGACACTTCCATTGTTAACACTTTCATTGTTACTTAACATTTCTATTGTTGATGGAAGTGTTAAGTAACAATGAAAGTATTAACACTTCTATTGTTGATGGAAGTGTTAAGCTTAATCCTGTCCCTCTCCCCCAGAGGGGCATTTCGAAAAATCCCTTCTTAGTGTGCGTTTTCGTGACGTACCCTAACTGTGTACCAAATTTCAGCTTCCAACTCCTAACCGTTTGGGCTCTGCGCTGATTATTATTATCAACTCGTCTCGATTATATATATAGATTCCATAATACCCGACACGCCATCTTGGAAAATGAACCTTTAAACTGATGGACAAAACATTGTCAGCTAAAAAAACGACTACAGTATAACAAACTACATTATGCTTAACACCAATGTTCAAGTCACATGTGTACTAGTGGGTTAAAATGTTTGAAAACTTGCCTGCAAAAACTCTTGAAAATCACAAAACACATTTTGTTCTGTAGCGCGTGGTACGTCGACAACAAGCGGTCAACTCTCACTGCACTGCGTCGTGGGAGTCTTTCTTGAGTAGCTAATGGTATTCCCACGTAATAGCAGTAACAAACGGAGCAGAAACCTCGGTATTCCATATTTTCCGACTATTCCATAAAACCCTCTTCTCCTCTATATGTATCTAACTTTTTAATATAAAGTGAAGCCCAAAAGTCAGTTAACAGATATATAATATTTTAATTATTATTATTATACCTGTATAAGCGGAATATTTAGGAAACTAATTAATTTTTACTTAAAAACCATCCTTTCCTTCATCATCCTATGGAGGAATCGATGAATAAAATTGCCGTACTTCACGTGTGAAATTGAAATCGATCCAATAAATAACAATCACGTGGATTAATCCAGTGATAAAGCGGATATGACGAAATAACACTAGAACAGCGCATGATCCATTGAGTGAACGGGTGGAAAATTGTCACGTGTTCGACGTGACGTGCGAAATATTTTGAACTTGCACACGATAATTTGTCAACCTCAATGCCAAAATTTATCGATCGAGTATCATTTCGATACATAAAATGATATAAACAATGTCAGTTTGTGATGAAATGGATTTATGAACGATCATTATAATAATAATAACAACAATAATAATAATAATCACGTTATTATAATCTTAATTAAAGAAATAATTCTATTGATTTTTATAAAGAGCAATCCTTATTATCATTTTTCTTGCTGCAAATTCGCTGATAATTCAGAAAAAATAAGCGTTAACATGAATTTTGCAAAGTAGGATTTCTGTCATTAGTGATAATGAATTATATATATTAAGCAAGCAAATATGTCTTAAGCAATGATAATGAGCATGGAATTTAATAAATCACTGATAACATTTTTAATTTAATATATATATATAGAGGAAAGGAGGGTATTATGGAATACCATTTACATTTCTAAAAATAAATTTACTGGTTTTTGAATAAAAATCCCAAAATCATCACGAGTACATACTATAACTAATTGTAATGAACTGTCACTTAAAAAAAATACTATTTATTTTGTTGTTATAAAAAAATTATTTAAAAAATCACAAATGGAGGATAATTGAAAAACTAATTAGACTTGATAAAACATAGTTATTTTTAACTATAAAAACCATATTTTTAAGATTATGTGCATGTCATTTCTGCTTCGAGTCTATTTACAAAAGTCACAAATATAATTTTCTTTCTCTACTCCGGTACAATCAAGGTGAGCCCACAGAGAACAGCTGAAGCATTGAATCCAAATTTTCCCTCTTTCAACTTCGCAGAATTTTTCGTTACAGAAAATATATTCAGCGTCTTCGTTTTCTGGTTCTTTAGATAATGGTATGAAGTCCATTACAGACGATACATCAGACTGGAACGATTCATCGCTGCTAACACTGGAGTCATCTCTAGTAGGTTTAGATCTATAAGGTCGGTCTAAGTTTAATTTCTTAACAGATGGTCTTTGAATGTTCGATTTCTTTTGTTGTTTTGAATCTTCTGGTTCCTTCTTTTTATCCTTTTCTTTCAGCTTTTTCATTTATCCTAGTATTCCATAATACCCGACACGCCATCTTGGAAAATACACTTTTAAACTGATGGACAAAACATTGTCAGCTAAAAAACGACTACAGTATAACAAACTACAGTTCTTTTAGTGTACATTATGCTTAACATCAATGTTCAAGTCACATGTGTACTAGTGGGTTAAAATATTTGAAAACTTGCCTGCAAAAACTCTTTGTTCTGTAGCGCGTGGTACCAACAAGCGGTCAACTCTCACTGCACTGCATCGTGGGAGTCTTTCTTGAGTACTGTAGTTAATGGTATTCCCACGTAATAGCAGTAACAAACGGAGCAGAAACCTCGGTAATCCATATTTTCCGACTATTCCATAAAACCCTCTTCTCCTCTATATGTATCTAACTTTTTAATATAAAGTGAAGCCCAAAAATCAGTTAACAGATATATATTTAAATTGTTTTCTGAAAATGTTCGAAACATTTTAAACTGCTTGCTTTATATATATATACTCGGTTAATTGACTTTTGGATCATCCTGTATTTAAATTTCTTATCTTTCAAGTGAATGATAATAAATTTAAATATTTGAATGATGTAAAATATTATCTTACGAACGAAAAACATGAAATTCTAATCAAAATTAACGTGATTTTAATTAGAATTTTAATGAAAATTATTGAATTGAATTTGATTTTGATTAGAATTTGATAACATTTCTCTTGAAAGTCATCAAATATCAAATAATTGGAAAGATTGGACTGTATAAACATTTCTAAATTTATTTATAATCTTATTATTGATTTATATTTTATAATAAAATCATAATTTCACTTTAAAGAATGTAAATTGGGGTGATATAGATAAAAATACCAAACATATTTCGCAATACAACTTTGTAAATGTTGTTATCAAACATTACTGTACTCCTATAGTATATAGGGGTCAAACTGTTATATTCGTTTATAAAATATAACATTATATAAACAATGTGTTTAAATATTTTTTTATTTAAAAAGTATAAGAATTTATCTTTATTTANAAAACTTGTTATCGTTATCTTTTTCGATTGACGTTTGGGCACTAAGAAAACCTTTATGTTGATGGAGATTGTCGCGTAAATCTATACACGACGAACAACAGACAAACAAATAACAAGAAAAACTTTATTTTACAATGCGGAGTCTATAGACAAATGTAAATAAATTTAAAAAATAAAATCAGTTTTCGATGCCAACCTCAGGAGTGCCAATCGGAATTCATCCAATTCACTCCCACAAATCTCAAGGCACAAAGAAAATCCCACACGAAACACTATGACCCCACAAAGTGTCAATTGTCAACATACGAAACTTAACGCTCTTAATCACAACGCTTTTTTAAATTCTTCCATCCTTCGACTGCTCTCTATACCAGTGTTTCTCAACCGCCGGTCCTCAAAAAATTATGTGATCGTACTGACGCAGTTGATTACGGGTGAAATTTAACTCGTAAGCCTAGTTACTTTCCACCCATCCTGTTCATGGGTGGAATATAACTAGCCGTTGAGAAATCGCTATGATTTCTATAGTTCTAACAGAAATACAGTATATAAAATTTTTAAAATGAAATCTCGCAACAGATTGCGCCATATACAATTTTAACTTTATTGCCGGAAAGTTACGGAACTCGTTGCTGGATTTTTTAAAATGTTTATTGGATCAATAGAATTTTCAAGGTTGTTTTGACCTTATCATTAGAATTTTTTAATTCAATAATAGGAAATTTCAGTTGTTAGTTACGCTCTTATCATTACAGATGATAAAGAAAACTGTTTGTTTATAGTGTATTGGTGTTTACATTTGCAAATTTATTGTGATTCATTTCATATTTTTGCTTTTGAAATGATATTTTCGATTATATTCAAGTTCATATAATTAAACTTCATCTCTGTGAAAATATTTTACTTTAAATTGTATTTTTAGAAATATTGAATCTAATAAAATCGGAATTTATTTTGGCTTAACTATAATTTTTAGGCTTCCTGCAAAAATATCTGGTGCGTTATAGCTTTGTCGGGTTCAGGCAAGTTTCAATGAGGGACCATGTACTGTACAGTGTTGATTGACTTCGGATATTTTTCTCCGAAGAAAGTTTTTGACGGAAATATTTTCTTATAAAAGATTGGTTTGGGGCCCCTTGTTGGTGAAACTGAGTATGAGAGAGGCGAGAGTTAGATTGAACTAGTGACCAATGTGAGCTTCACCTCTCGGAAAAATATGAAAATGTGTGGATCAAAGCGAATTAACATTAAATTTTAAAAAAACTTACTTAAATTGTATATGTCTTAATTATATTTAGTTACTTAATATTAAATTAGTGTAATCTTATTCAAATTTAATGTTTTATAAAACGTGTCGTAAAGAAAATATTTTATTATATTTTCCTAATGTTGTTTGAATTTTAAACTATATAAATGTCTTTTAATTACCTAAACCGAAACAAACTATTAATTTATAAATTAATAAATCTCTTTGGATGCATTTCACTTGAGTAGTCTAAATTTCTTTTTTATTTAATCCATAGTCAGTATAGGTTTCGATCTAGTGACGTACCATACATAGCCCTCAACTAGTAAGGTCCTCTATTTACTAGGGTTACCACAGACCTCATTTATACAGTTAACATCCCTCTTACATGACATACAGAACAATACAAAACACGCAACTTTATGATTTCTCACAAGGGACTACAATAAAGATGAGTCCACTATGGGACTAGCACTATGGGACATCATCACATATCTTAGACCTCTTATTGCTCTCAGAGCAGAGAGTAGACCATGTGCTAATAGAAACTGCACTCGTTAGAAAACAAAAAGATAGATAAATAAAAAAGAAAGACCTCATTTATGAGGACAACCCTCCAAAACGCATTTTCATAGTAAACGTCTTAATTTACAGTAACGTATTCAGTCAAAGGCTTCCAAAAATAAAGGCTCATTTCATTGACTCCTGTTACTGTAATGTGCCTTTACTTTTTATTATTGTAACTCCTGTGTTTAGAATTGTTTTTTTCAAGACTTCATGCTCAACTCTGTACGTCGAGTTGGTTTGTGATATTCCCCCTTTTTTTGGGTTTTCATACTGCACCGTAAGTTGCATACCAAGTTTGGTACGGTATGCGACTTATACTTTAATGCAGCAATTACTTTTCTACCGACTCTTGACCAACAGCTATTTTTTAATTAATTAATGGGTGGTTTCTAGTTTCTGCTTCTTATCAGTATCTCGTTTCGTCTTTCAATAGCCGTTACTATTCACAGTTAAATGGTATAACTCTAGATAATTTAAAAACAGTAAAATATTTACAATTATTTCCTTTTCTGGCTTTCTCAATTCAAGCGAATTATTATAGACTATAATATCAGTCTGTTGTATAATTTACAGGTAATTCCATTAAGTTTTTTTTGCTTCAAAATTTCAGAAAATATCATAACTTTTAACTTGAAATAAATTTATGGTACTGCACTAGTAGCCTACTTATTTAAGTAATTCTTCATAGAAAATTGAAATTTTCATGTTAAATTAGTGTTTGGAATTTTGGTTTTTCGGAAGACCATCAGCAATATATCCTTATTTGTATGAAAATTTTAATGGTTGCTTTAATTTACTTTCAATAAATGATAAACAATATATCAACTGTCAGCAAAATATCAATATAAATGTGGATCGTTTCAATGGCCTTCTACTAAAGATCAGCAATCTTACTGAAGACCAATCAAGAGAAATGTGGATTTCTTGTTGATTATTCTTCAACAATTTACAAAAACAGGATTTGAATTAACTTGCAAGTTATAAGTACTTACTAAATATAAAATTTAATTTAAAAGAATAATAGATATTATTTAAGAACCCATGAAAATTTTAAAGTTAATTCTATTCTCTTTAGTAAGATTATTTCAAAATATGGCATAACTCAAGCAGAGTTTTCAAAATAATAGAATATAATCACCATTTTAATGGTAATTTCGTAAATCTATATTTATAATTATAAATGAAATCGGC